TATCGGTGTATAGCCGGGGGTCGAACCTATGACTTCAGGGATAAGACTCGCGCGTTGAAGCCACGGACCAACATTGCTCTTTCCTATAATATAAGTAAATATTTTTGTTAGAGATTACACAATCAAGTATTTATTTTAAAAAGTGTATCGATTTGTACGCTCAGGCATTGAACAATTGTATTGATTTTTTGTGGAATTCTATAATCGTTTGTTATGACGTAACGTAATGGAAACGATTCACGATCTGAGAACCAGCACACATCTTGATTATGCTTGTGTTAAGGAACTCTATGATAAACGGTTAGCAATTAAGCTAAGCAGTTAATTCTTAAAATTACTTTATTGTTAAGACTTAAGATGCGATTATTTTTAAATATTACGCGATTAAAATGAAGGGAAATCTTATATGGTACGTAATAAAGACAAAGTTTAACGGTAATGCACAACCTCTTATGTCACACTACGTTAAGAATGGGATTCAGTATTTGTGTCTAATCTTTTTTACGCCTAGAACAGTTAATCTTTAACCGTTAGCTGTGAGTATAAATGTCGTCTAATATTCACTGGGTACATTTCGATAAAAATATTGTGTGTTTTACGGAGCTTATTATAAGCTGTGTTGCATGAAACATCACCAGTGGCGTGTGCAGGGTGTCCATCAGTTAAGAAATTGCGCAGTGGCCAGCACATTGTTTAGCCGTAATCTGCGCATCGGCCAATGAATGGGAGCTGCTAAATTATTTATCTACTATCTTCTGGATATAATGGGTTGCGTAAAGCATGTTCACATGTTTCCACGGCGAATTCCCACAGTGTGGTGCAACGGTGGTGAGCCATAAGCAGTTCAGTCTAACGCGTTGTCTTGGAGCAACTACTAGAATTTTTCACAGCTTAGTTTTGTGTTTGTGACTTAAACGGTGTTGTATTGTGCTCGTTGAATACTTGTGGTTTGTTGGTTTAACGAATCTATGAGGGTCTAATAACTATCTCTTACATGCAGCTATTGTTTAAAAACGTAATATTTAACATGATAGTTGTATAAATTAATTAGTAAATTATCATATGAATTTGGTTACAAACCTGCTAAGGCTAATTTAAATATCGGCTAAGGCCGTTGTCTTAATTTACTTACTTAATAATGCCATATTATATAGATTTACATAGTTAAATTCATATCTACTAAAGTAACACCTAATGAATACAACTGAGGCGTTTTGAAGCGGCTTTATAGAGAAATCAGCAAAGTATTTTGTAACATTTAATCAGTAATACAGAATAATATTAATATAAAATAAAATGCGAGGCAATAATTCTATATTTATTTCAATCGGAGTGCTATTTTTTCTGTATTTTATTAACATTAATTTGATAGAGAACGTGTTAAAAGTATTTCCACGTTTCCATTTAAAATATTATTGATGATTTTACTTTCTCTGAGGAATTGACTTATAAATTGCATTTAATCATGCGACACTCGCCACTTTAATGGTTGATTTATTTAAGTCACACCTAGGTGATTATAAATGATATGTCATAATAATAGTTTAATAATTATCGATTCCGGTGGCATGGTCCTACTGTTCGCGTAAGTAAAGGTGCGCGATACAAGTTGACTAGCGACCTCGTTCACAAAGGTGAAGTTGTGTGCGTAAAAATATGGCTATATATATATATATATATTAGGGTGGTCCTTATTTTTCGACTTTTGAATTATCCTCGGGGCACTTTCTCATTTGATTATATACCTCTAAATATGAAATACGTGTTTTTTTGTTTTTGTTTTTGTTAAGATTTAGAGGTCGCTACCAGCTGTCAAAATTTTTACAAATAAAATATTTTTTATATTATTAACAGTCAATTAGATACCAGTCTTGATGTCTCTAAATTGAGTGACAGACAAGCAACTATGGTCGTGACATCTACTTTGAAATGTGCAGGCTGTGGTCCATCAGAATTTAATGTCAATAGATCTACTATGCGTCGGTAATGGGTCCAAAATCGCAAAGCTGTGCAGATTCGCTCAAAAGCGAGTTTAAACCTAATTCGTCATTAACAATCCATTGGTAGGGTAAACTTCTAGAAGATATTACTGGACACAAAACTAAAGATCGGCTGCCAATTTTGACATCAGGATATGGAGTTTATCAACTACTCGCTGTTCCAAAATTGGAACGTGGAACAAGCGAAGCTTGTCCGTCCAGCTGTCTATGAAGCTATAAAGTCATGGAATTTGAGCTATAAAGTAAAATGTTAGACAATGTTTTGACTCTACTGCTGTAAATACCGGCTTAAGGCGTGGAGTATTCGTCCTTCTGGAGCGCAATATGAATAAAAATAAGCTTTGGTTTGCTTGTTGTCACCACATAATGGAAATTATGTTGTCAGCTGTAGTGGATCACTTGCCCCATCTAGTGCTCCTGATATACAATAATTCAAAAGATTTAAGAACAATTGTAACACTATTGACCAAAGCGACTTCAAATCAATAACAGCTGATGATGCTGAGGCAAATATTCTTGCAGAAGTGGCCGCAGACAAGATTTCGTTTGCATAAAAGCAACTTCAAGTACATGAACCTCGAGATGACTAAAGAGAACTGTTGAATCTTACTATCATTTCCTTAGGAGGTGTTCCTGACAAAAGCGTTTCATTTCAGAGACCTGCTGGTCTTCATCGAGCTAGGTGGATGGCAAGAGCCTTGTACAGTTTAAAAATGTATTTATTTAAGCATCAGTTTAAGCTAACGAAGAAGGACGAAAAAGCTGTGAGAAAAATATGTATTTTCAGTAGTTGTAGAGTCAGTCAGCACCAAGAAACGACTTACAATTATTAATAGACTTAAGGTCTTCAACAAAAATATAGCTACTGATGCGCTGATAAAGATTTTAAATAATTTGTAATTTGTCAGAAGACATAGTTTCGCTTGCGTTTTTCGATGACGAAGTTTTAGTTCAAGAAAAGAAAAATATAGTAGAAGTACTCAAAATTTAAGGCACAGAAGATTGCTTAAAACGAATAAACCTTGGCATCGCACATATCGACAAAAAAAATAGAAAACTTCGTGAGTAGTCATTCCTTAAGATTCTTCCAGACCCTAGATTTCTCATGGTGTTTTTTTTAAAAGACGTCGAAACCTGGAACGAAAACGCTGATTATATAGCTGCCAAAAATATCGTTCATTCATTGCGAGTAGTGAACGACATAGCTGAGAGGAATGGAAGAATATAAAAAAATAATTACCACAAATGAAGAACAAAAGCAATATTTGCTTTTGATGGTAAAAGAGTATAGGATAAAGTACCCTAATACTAACAATTCAACCCTTATATCTTTAAAATAAACAAATCAGATATCTATATAATATCTTAATTAATAACAATAGTTTCGTAACATTTTTAAGACCTGGGTATAAAAATAAAGAATTCTAACAAATACAGATTTTCAATTTTTATTTAAAATTCAAACCTTGGTAGCGACCTCTAAATATCATTTAAAAATTTCAAAAAAAATACTGAAACCCTTTTTTATGGTATATATCCAAATTACGTGGTGCCCCGCGACATTAAAGAAAAAAAAATTTTTCTTAGGAATAAGGACCACCCTAATATATATATATATATCTCAGTCTCAATCCCTGCACATTTTTAAGTACGTTCATTAACTTTCATATTAGTTTAGTTAACTAAGAACGAAATAAATGTTTAATGTAATTGGTAATTACATACACTTGTGTTGTAATTCGATGTTTTAAAGGTGAATTCTGAAATTAGGTCCCTATAAATGTTCATACCTTTAACATTCGACAAATTATGTCTACATATATCAAGGTCTCTTATTGTTTGGAATTTGATGATACAATCGATGCGATTAAATTGCATGCCAATCATTAGATTGAACTGCTCTGTTTGGCTGTGTATTTGGAAATACGGAAGGGCGTATAATTTTAAAAATATAAATATTATTAATAATACGTCACTGACTCTAGGTAAAATGACTATTGTAGTTGCTAGGAGTTTTGTCTCTAAACGGCGTATTAATTTTTTTTACTTACACATGCGTAGTTTAAACATTTTGGGTTGTAGTTTTTGTAAATATTTACATCAATTTAAACTTCTATCTTCTATGGCTAGGTGCGTAAATATTCGTGATAATGTTAAATCGGTGAATTAATTGACTGTAGTTGTGACTTGTATGACGAATCTCATTTAACTGCTGCGAATGAAAGTAATATTCATTTAGAATTTAGATGATGAAATCAAAAGCAATAGATTAAGATCAGGAAGTGTAACAAAATGACCTAAGTTATCAGCATTCAAGGCATCTGTTGCAGTAACGGCACATCATTACGATCACCCTATGCGCCGTTGCACAATCTTTCACTTTTGTTGCTTATGGCCGCCATTGTCGCGCACGCGCTTTACTGAGAACGTTCCCGCGTAAACAGCAAAAACCGCGGGAACGTCAAAACAATAATAGCCGACATAATTATCCATATTATGTTATCTACCGTATTTCCATTTACAGTATTGCAAATATTCTCTTTTATTTCTTTTTAATTGTTGTTTTATTGTTATAGGAAAATATAACATAAATTAGTTCGGCTCAGTTCAAGTTTTGGTTTGTCTGAATAGTAATAAAATTACGTCTTGGAGGTACTAGATTCTCCTAATTGTAATGCTAACTTAGTTAAGTACGATATGATATTTTTCTTATACATACTGCAATAGCAGCCGGAAATTTGATTACACCAATTCATTCGTGGCATTTTTAAACAACTTCGTAATATGCGTGAATTTTCAAGATAACTTTACAAAAACAATAAACAAACAAACCACATTCCTTATTCGTCATTTATTACTCCGTGCAGTTCTGATTACGCCGTGACCAGAAGACATGAAACTCGGAACGTTCATTTAGTAATTAAAATTATTATTTGTTTAATATGAAAATATTAATTTATGTGACAAGTTATTTGTAATCATCGAAATTAATCTGGCAAAATGGTCAATGGAAACTACGTTCTATATGGCGATAGACCAGCTTCAGAATCTGAAATTGTCGATGACCACGTGCATAGGAAAACCGTTGAGCGTAAAGCAAAACGCAAATCTAATAGATCAGCCAACGATCTACAGCGCTCGTTAAACTTAGCGCAGAAGTTAGATAACGAAACAGACTCGGACAAATTCGAAAAGAAAATAAAGGAGCCAAGGCTACTTCGCTACGTACCAACTACGGAAGTGCAAGAACATTTTGTAGCGGAGAAATTTGAGACCTACGACTTGAAGCCTATAGAAGAACCAATGAAGAGATATACATTTGCAAAAAAGCCAAAAAATCACGCAGATGGCTCAATAAACTACGCTTACTCCCGGTCGAGTAGCAGTTGCAGTTCACCTAATGGTAATTTGCCGACTATATCTGAACACGGAGAGCAGTATGGTACATATAGAGTTCGATCTATACAGACATCTTCGAATGAGGGAATTGGTGAATACCAAACAAAATTTGACAAATATTTTACATCACCGAGAGACGTCAAATCATTCACTGATAAGGTAAAATATACTTTGTAGTACCAGCCTGTAGAAATTAATGCGTTAAACTTTAATTGGATAAAATGTTTTATATCAATATAACTTTGAATAGTTAATTGTATATTATTGGCACCTAATAGCTCTTTATAACACACGTGGCTTAAATATGCAATTATAGGCTGCACCCTTCGTATAGGCTAAACAAGTATCAGCCTCTGAAACTAATTAAGGATTCTTATCTAAACTCAGTAGACGATTTACGTTCTCATAAGCGAAGCTTTATTATCTGTCTGTGGGTGGTTTGAGTAACATTTTCCGATTCTCATATGATATGTATTAACTATCAAAATATTATAAAGAAGGGAATTGATGTCTGACATTTTAAAAACCTAACACTTATCTCTTGTATCTTTTATCTTCGTTTTGATATCGGTAAGAATTACCTATAAGGTAATCGAATTAAGGATTATTTATGAAAACCTATTGGATAACCACCGTGATACTATGTAATAAACTCCTAAAAAGCAAAATAATTGTGCTTTAAATCATCTGTAAAGAAGCAATTACAAGTGATAACGCTATTTAATAAACGTGGTCTTAAACAGCTAACTTTCTAAGTACCATTGAACATATTTTTGCTACGAATTGAACCCTGGACTTCTGGGTTAAATAATATGTATATAAATTAAAGATGTCGGTATATTAACGTTATAACACAACGTAACTCATTTCGTCGAGTCTCCAGAGACTTTCTCTAGGGTCAAGGGGCACTGAGATGTCTCGTCTCGAACGAGAACAACGCGGTCGTATACACAATCCGCATATATTATCCGCATTTTATTACACTAAGTTGTAATTCCTGAATTCCAAATTATAAATATTTGAATAACCACGGAAGTATGAACAATCAATCACCTAAATCTAAAATACAATTCGGTTTTTAAATATTTGTAAATACTTCACTCACTAAGCTGGCTCTTTGGCCTCAGAAATGAGAAACTTCCTGCGCTCCTGTGCTTGCTGGCTTCAGCCGTAGCAGTTCCTCCTCTTCGTAAATAACTACTACATGGTAATTCACGTTAAATTGGACAAAGCAGTGTTAAACTGCTTTATTGTTATTAATTGAAAAAGGGATACATATTTCTTTCTGATTTATTAGTACCTCTTTTAGTCAACGTTATAATATAACATTAATTTTATCATAAAAATTAAATATAAAATTAAAAATTACGTACCTAATGACAATCTCTTAGTCAATACCAGGTCTTAATGGAACTGTTTATCCTGGGTTTGATTCTCAGCGACACAATCATCGATTCGGTTGCGAATGTTTCTATCAGACAAAAAATTACAAAATAATGTCCAGTCAGGGCTACTGCCTAAGAATATAAATGAAATATCTTCCTGTATTAAATAAGGACCTTTATTTCAGGGCTCACATCCCGACAGCCTGTACCGTGTGCCTTCAGACCGTGGAAGCAGTACCAGAAAAATCGTCCACATGCTGCGTTTACTTAGGTGGCCCGTAGCTCTATTTGGAGTGTGCGTTGCTCTAGCCATATTCGTCTATTTTCTTATGCCTGGTAAGTTTTTTAATATGTGCCCAATAACCTAGTAACATTACAATAGTTGATTGTGCTGGTTATTTAGTTTGAAACCAGATAATTAATATATCATAAATATTTGATAATAATAACAATGTTTCAAATATCTATTTTAAATTGTACCTACTTGACATACAAACTTTCTCGTTTATTTGATAAGTATTACTCAATAATTTCCAACAAAGAATGTTGAAGGTACGTAAAGTACAAAGTGCAATCAATGACTATACATTGGGTCTATAGTCTTTGATAACGTTTATGAAAGAAGGATTACTAGGGTAATCTCGAAATGTTACCAATGATATGCGATGAAAGTTATGTCGCATAAAAAGCAAATTATCAGCTAATATACATGTAAAAACAGTTATTCTGCCCAGCAGATCATAAATTACTTTCAAAACAATTATTGTCCTTACTCAAGTACTTTGTTACCCGGATACTTGCTACGAATTCGCTTCATAAATATTCAGGAACTTTCACTGCAGACGAAGATATTTAAAACAATAAAAGCTGCAATAAACTGTGTCATATTTTTCGAATTCGACCTTAAAATGTTACGAAATGAAAATAAGTATTTTGTCGACTCCACAGAAATTTATTTTTAGGGCCAAACTTTCGCTACACAGTTTACTGTATCGTTGGCTGATTTAGTTTAGGCAACGGCAAATATAGCACGACATACAAGTTACACACTTACACATATTAACGTAGCATTTTAGTAATGGTAAAGAACAGCTTTCAGACTCAACAATGTGTAAAAAAACGTCTGGTACCGAAATTAAATAATGATTAGGGCTCTGCCTCTTAGGAAACGCTACAATGCTTGACTATTCTTTTATTTTTACTGTTCTCTTTAATGGGGCCGCCCGTTGCACCATGTTTTTCTTTTTTTTTAACTTTATTAATATCATTATTTAATTCTTGTGTATAAATTGCATAAAAATAACTGAAATTAGAAATAGTATATGGTGCCGGTACTCCCCCAGTACAGATTTAAAAAAAGTGTTTCGGTAGGAAGACTTGTATACTTAACCAACCACCAAAAATATTATTTTGACTTTACAAAAACAAAGCAACATCAGTAAGAAACTTATGTTGCTTTGCTTTTACAGACACAAAAAGCAAACTAAGTCTTAAATGCCGTCTAACTAATCTAAGCCAAATGCAAAGAGTTTAATAACTTCCATTTATCTTGCTACTTGATTATATTTCAGATAGGATGGCTTAGGGCTATTGCTTGCTATACTAACATATACTTTGCATACTTAATTAGCCTTTTAAAGGCCAACAATTAGTGAATGATTAAAATTGTCCACCTGAGGTCAACTCCTAAATTAGCAAACATGGGTTGTAAATAAGCTTTATGCCAATAGCTTAGGTCAATTTAGTTCTCTAATTTGAATATGGCAATAATATAAGTATTTAAATTTAAATGTCTAGGTCTAGTTTGAAAATTATTTGGATATCTCGATCAACGCTTGAATGCATAATAATAGTAATTCAAGATAAAGTCTTTTTTTTTAATCTCCAAGTGAAACCTATTCTAAACCAGTCTAGATTAATTCCTATGACACATTTTATTTCCCTTAAGTGTTTGGTTGGGGTTTTAATTAATGTTTGAAAAAAAATAAGCGCAACAAACGCAGAAAAGTGTCGTACATTACTCTAAATAATTATTTATTCAATTCTAATAACGTTCTCGTTCCGGTTGGAATTCTTTAAAAACACATCTCACCTACTTCGTCAATCAAAGATCCTTTAAGAAATTGACGCATTATTTTGGTTATGCAATTGATAGGGTATTATTAACGACTTACAGGTCAAAGTCAAGATATTCTTACGAAGAGACGTGCTAGTGACTTCTTGAACCCGGCTTTCTCCGTTAAATCAACATGTTTCATCTTTAGTATTACGTCAATTCGAGCACAAATACATTTGTCCTATTTACATACATTGTATTGAATATTCAGTGTGGACATTTTGAGGTGGACACGCGAGTGTAAGCATTGCCTAGTCGAAATACAAATAGTATAATCTAGGCCATCATTTAACCTTTAGGTAAACTGAGTTCGTATAAAATTTAACGAGATTTAAAGTGATAGTCTACGTATCAAATTGCTTTACTGTTTATTATGATAACACTTAAAATATATTATGGCTGCGTACCTCAATTGTAGATTTTTAGTTATACTAAATATATAAGCCTTTATTCGGACAAGATACCATTTTACTTAATCTAGAATATACATGTTTCAAAAAAAAATCAGTGTCGCTACAACCTCTTTAGGTCTAGGCCTCAGATTTCTCAATCTGTTTCATGATCATTTTTCAATCTTATAGCCAAGTAGGTGATCAGCCTCCAGTGCCTTAATGTACATGTTAAGTATTGAAAAATGTAACTTAAATATATTTGAATATTTATATTCCCTCGACAAGATTGTCTGTTTGCCTTTTGTTGGCAAAGGCCTCCTCCAATTGGCACCTTAAATTTCTGACCTGGGCAGTTCGGGTCCATGCTACGGCTCTTATTTCATCGACCCACCTTAGGAATGTTCTACCCCTTTTCCTCTTCATGTGACCTGTGTACCAATGCATTAATGACTTGCTCCATTTTGACTAGTCAATGTTAGTGATGTCCTTTGTCTTACTGTTAATAAAAATTCAGTAAAGAAATATATTTAATTTATTACGAGTGCTCAGTACACTGGTTGGATCTAGACTAATCAACATGAAAAATATTAGAAACATCATCATCTTTTGTTTCTGTGTGATTTTTGTTGTTGATATGTTTATTCTGTCAGAAAGTTTTTCCCCATCATGCTTCTATTCATTACATTCTGACATGTTTCAAGTTTTTTGGTTAATGCTTTTGTTAAGGTCCAAGTTTGACAGCCGTAAATCAATATAGGCGGAATGCTCGTGTGATTTTTAGTTATTGGTTAATAATATTTTATTCGTATAATTGATTAAGGTATTTAGTTACATACATAACTTCAATCCGGTAAAAAATTGTTTTATTATCAAATGATTAGGGTATTACTTTTTATATTGGATACTACAAATCCTTAACAAAAGTATAAAAATATTCACCGACTACGTATACGTAGAGACAAGCAGGTCATTGGTCTACACCAAGGCGCACAACGTTGCAGACGGTTCTCATTTATATCACATAACAATTTATTGTTCCAGATAACCTGGGTCAAGAATTCGATAAGATAAACGCAACTAATTGGGAAGAGAATTTCTCCAGTGCTCAATCCTACTCAACTTCCTCTTCGACGTCTGGTCCACTTAGCAGGAATATAAGTAAATCTGTTAACGGTAAGGCACCTGCTAATATTTTTTCACAATAATGTTAGTTTGGACCCAAAGGGCCAAATCAAATCTACGTAACAAACTTCAATAAGTTAAATGATTTATTATTTCATTATAACAGCTGTATGTTTATCATACTAGATTTTACGCTAAAGCTTAAATTTGTTTAGAATCAGTCGTCAGTAGTGTCTGTCCTGGTTTGAATTATTTATAGAAATATTTTAAAACAGGTACGAAAACTTCTGAGATAGATTTCAATGAAGCTGATAACATCACAAATATCTCTTCTGTAATCGCAGAATCCAGCACCACAAGAAAATTGCCAATAACTCCCGTCTTCCCGACCCATATAGAACCCGAGGTACAATATGGAAATGATGACGACAGTATGAGAAAACCAAAACTGCTTTTTAATACAAATACACCAGATGAGTCCACATTCAGGCCACATATAACGCATCATCCTGAAAAACCATTGGCGATTTACTTCAAAGATGCTGAAGCTGTATCCACAACAACCACTGAGAAAATTACCACAGAAATAATAAGAAAAGCTGAAACCTCTAATACGTTGCCAAAATTGGAAGAGAAAACCACAAACACTCCTGTTTTCGCACCACAGCCTAAACCTCTGGTTCCTATAAACGTTGAGTCGCCGGCAGAAATACCGAAAACTTATTATGCAAGGTTACAGAATACGTATAATTCAAACTCAAAAATTACGCCTGACATCCAGGAGTATTACAGGCGGCCAGAATATGAATCCAAAGTGAAGTTCACCTCAGGTCATTCAAAACTTTTTGGTATATCTATAGAGGATTCAGAAAAAATTAAGTCCACAACTCAAAGCTCGTTATATAACACTAGAGTTTCTCCTACACTTCCCACTTGGAAAGATAGAGATTATAGCACTACTAAAAATCCTATTAACTCTCTATCTGATGGTAAGCTTTGATTTGTATTCTGGGAGCATGCGGTGTATAAAATATAGTAATGAACAAGGTGGAGCTTAGTTATATAAGCTTATACAAGAATGTTATATATGCGTTGATTATTATAGAAACTAATAATTAAAAACGTAATAGATACTATGATTTACCTAACAAAATAAATAATATAGAAACAAAATTTTGCATTAAAAGCACTTTTATGTACACAAACGTATAAAGAAGGTCGCCGCGTAGTAAAACTTTAACAAGCGTTGCGTAATATATACTTATTACAATGTTACAACTTAGATTGACTTAATAGCATGCATTTGTGCCTAATAAGATATTTTCTGACCTACATAATATTTTGTTACATCATATTAAAATTATAACAAAATTTTACAAACGGCCTGCTATGCCACTCCATGGTCGGTGATGGTTTTTGTTGGTGTAGTTAATTGAATATAAAAAATATTCTTTATTAATGAAACACTTTTTAATTCTAAATATACCTCGACAGTAGAGATTTATTTCACTTTTATTAAAGCTAGTATCGATATTTACAGTGCCCCAATGCCGGTCCACGCGTCTTTCCATATGTCGAGGCATCTTGCCCTACGACTTAGCAGGTCTTCCAGCTAGGATTGGAAAGAAAGAAGTGACTTTACTGCTACCACAGATTGAATACCTGGTGGCCACTAACTGCAGCGACCGAGTGCGACACTTCGCCTGTTCACTATTAGAACCAGAGTGCAGTCCACCTCCTTTTTCATCAAAACTACCCTGTTATAGTTTGTGCAAAGGTATGATTTTAATATAGTAATTCTAGAAAAAAAAATCTTATACATTATTGTAATATATTGCTATTACCGTCCGCAAAAACAATATGTTTGTGTGAATTTGCATCACTTCATAATATGATGGAAAGAGGAGAAAATGTCGTACACGTACGTGAGCGTCATATGTTATTTTTTTGTGTAAATTTTGCCGAATTAATTACAAAAGAACTGTTATTTCACAAGGACAAAAGTATGAAACATAAATAGATGTTTATAAAGTTTAGCTGTCCAGCTTTTACTCGGAAAAAACCAACAATTAAAAATGTCTTGCGACGGACTCGTATTCAATACAAAACTCAAACTCTAGGACAAAATTTACGTTCCCGTATAACAGCTTATGTTACTGTTAAATTGTAAAAAAAAAGATTTCATTGGAGTGTGCTTTAAAAATGTGTTTGAGCTCGTGGAACTTTGAGTAATAAATCCAAATATAATTTAAATAACTTCAAGAAATATTTCATAGCCGTACTGTAAAGATTTCCGACAAAATAGTTTTTCAATGACCATTGCGTCTTTTTTTCAGCTATCGCAGACAGTTGCGAAGGCTACATACCAACGGAGCTGTCGCCGATCTTCAACTGTAACCAGTATTCGAGTAGCAATTGTGCCAACGCACGAAGCCCTTGCTTCGACAGGGAGCTGACTTGTGGTGATGGCACCTGTGTGCCCCGGGATTGGATCTGTGACGGAACCCGGGACTGTCCCGGTGGAGAGGATGAGGCGCCTTGTTCCACCTGCGAGGAGAATGAATTCCGGTACACCAATTCACGTAACTTGGTTTCGTGATAACTTAGGGTTCGAAAGATATACATTTTTGTGTATGTTAAAGTGTCTTAGAAAACTTAGTCAAAATTGTCCATTAAATTATATCTGATGGTAATTGCATCCATAGAATTAGCTATTTCGCGTCCAAATTGATCTATAGTAAACTTGCTTAATCATTACTTAATCGCTTAGTATCCGTAAGATTTAAATGCGAGTATATACTACCAGTCATAATTTACTTATACTTATTTATAATATTAATTATAGGAATAATCTGCTATTTAACTAAACAACCATTCCAGCCATTAAATTCCGCTTAAAATATTTTGAAATCGAAAATATTAAAACGTTAGTAATTGTTGAACTTTTCTCACATGTCACGCATTAGAGTAGATAGTGTATTTACTATCTACTCTAAGCAAAACATAGCTAATCCTAACCGAAGAGTAAAAAACTTGACATTGACAGGTGCCAGTCAGGTCTATGTATTGTGAAGCGTTGGGTCTGCGACGGATATTCCGACTGCCCTGATGGCGATGACGAAATTGACGAATCTTGTCGCTCTCATACGAATGGGGAAGTGCAAGAACCAGGGGAAGAGCTAGCCGGTTCTGCACCTGCTCCTTCCATTCGCAAACCTTACAGACAACCGCAGTCACGTCAAAACAATGGTATGTGATTATATGAAAATAATGGGCTTCATTTTTTTATTTTTTACAGTTTTAAAAGGATTACAATATTATGATGGAAGCATAAACTAGGCATAGACACATTTTTAATATTCTATTGGCGTTAATGTCTGCATCTGTTTCATTTTTCATTTGTTTGAATAGGCGAGAAGGTGTGTTCTGCATGGCATAGTCAAATTTTGATTTCCTTCATGGTACGAGCAAGTGTTACTTGCATACGTAGCTAGAAAGACCAGAGCACTTTTTATAATCCATTTCTTGGTTTGTGAAACTTCCAGTTGAGGTATTCTCGCAATGTTGACTTCAAAAAAAGAAGGAACTATTCCATAGATATAGAATCGAACTCTAACATTCTAACACTGCACAGTACTTTCTAATAAATTTAAAGTATTTTTACAAGTACCAAAAAGTAAAAAGAAGCTATGTTTTGAAAGTACTGAAATAATATTTTTCAAGTCATTAAAAAAATTTATCTACGTGGGTTAATTTAATTAAATATTAAGCGCCTATTATATTTACCTCTCAATTTCTGGTAATTCAAAATTCTCGCTTTTTTATTAATTACAGATAGATTTTCCCATTCATAAGCCTCATATTATTGTTGTCCTTATCGCTCCGTGTCATATTGAGAATTTATAAATGGGACAAAATATAGTATTTAAGGCTTTAAGTTAAAGTTCTAGACTATTTATCTTTTTCATGCATTACATTTACAAGCCTTGATTTAGTTTATATTTAAAATCACCGCACTATTATCGTTGCGAATGCAACATAACACTAGTTAATATCTTCTATTTTGTAGGAGAGACAGACAGCAAGGAGCTGTTAATGACAAGTGATACGACGAACGCTTTGAAACGTAACTTTACAAGGCGTCCTTCGCCTTCTCGTCTCACACCCTATTCGAGACCCATGCTTAAATCCCGCAAAGAACCTGAACAAACCACGATTGAGAATTTAACAGAAAAATCCGCGGCGTCGTATAGAAAAAACTTCAGGAAACAAACCCAAAGAGTACCTGAAAGTAAAAAAGATGTATCTGAAGATATGGATCAATTCTACGTTGACGTGATAAAGGAAGATGAACGAACGGCGGAAACGCCTCCGCCAGTTGCGACCAAATTGGACAAGAGCATAGACAACTTAGAGAGAGTCATTGATGGAGCTGGATTATTGAGGGTATGTTTTATTAGTATTTAACTATCGATAAATTTAAAAAACAAAAGAAGATAATGTACTTTACATTCTCTATACAATATAAAGTATTGTCAAACCGGAACAACACTACCGGAAGAACACTGCCCCTTATAAATAAAAGATTAATCAGTCAGCGCAATTACACTCTTATGAGCATAACTATAGTACTCTTTCGTCTCTTTCTGACAAATTTTGTTTTAGCTGTGATGAAAAAAAACAGAAAGAGGTTTAGTATTTACTTTTATTGGCGTACGTTCCACAAATACGCTATTACTAGAATATTAAATAAGCGATAAATTGATCTAATATTAAATTGATATTCTATTTTTATTCAACGAGTTTAATATTTAAATTTCAACAGAAAGCGGCCCTTGCCCGTAAACAGGATTTGTCCCGTGAAATGAACGCTACAGAAGAAGACTTTGGTTACAACAGTGCCCACGCATCGCCATGTCCCAACGAGGAATTACGTTGCGTTGACGGCCGATGTATCACTTTGGCCCAACTGTGTGACGGAACCATAGACTGTAGCGATCACGCCGATGAGGACAATTGCTATACATAAATGGACAGGAACTAAAATTTTATTACAGTGTACAAAGAACGTATAATTTAATGTTTTTAACCGCTGGTAAAGCAGTATTTGGTTTTTGCCGCTTCTGGGTTAATCCAGGTCGAAATGTATATTCAACGGATGGGTTCTTCAAAAAAAAATTGATAGACATTAAAAAATGGTCACACGACAGAATGATTTCCGTCCATATTAATTTAGTTTTAGGAAATTAGTGTTTACTTTGAAAACTCGAAAACTTAGCTGTGATACAGAATCATTTTATAGGAATTAAAATCTTCATTTTAATTATTAGCTATAGGTTTCATTCATTCGCGATTCATGCTTTTAAAATTACATGTTTCCATATTTCATTTCGAATATTAAATAAAATATAGTTTAATATAGATGAAGGATTAGTGGTAATATTCATAGACGTACCAAAAGCCTAAAAAATGTTGTCTTTTAACAGTTAATAGATGTAGTACCTACGTCTAAAGGAGTATATAAATATACATATATAAATTTTTAAGCCAATGAAAATGACTGACAAATATTAAGCATAATTCCAGGGGATTTTGCCTGAATGTCTCAAATTGGACAAAGATAGTTGTTTTTCATTCAATTTAGTTTTTATTTAAGTACAAAGCAGACGGACCCTTTAATATTTCCCAATATATCTCAGTATTTGTCTTTAAAATATATTTAATACACATTATTACAATAATTGGTTTTAAATTTTGATAGATTTACAGTTGTGTTAATTGTGCCGTAATTATTAACATAAGGCTATAATCCGATTAATACATTTAACATTTACATAATATACATAAAATTATGTATACCTATAATGTCACATCACCTAAATCTACTTGTCTCTGTCTTGGAATTAAATAAATATTAACAAATACTCACATATAACTTAAGCTCCTTTTTTATTAAAGATATAAGATTGTAAATACACATAGGTTGTAATTATTTATTATTTTGTAAGAAGCATTAGAGATCCTAATCCTTCCGAAAATTTTGTAATTATTGTAAAAATTGAAAAGCGGTGTTTTTTTCTATACCATTAAGTCCAGAGTAATGTCATAATAAATTGTAAAGAGTAGGCAATTTTCAAAATTACGAATTTAAGTAATTAAATTCTAATTGTTAATTTATATTAGTATAATAAATATTATATATCATATCATAAGTACGTTATTCATTAAAATAAGAATAAGTTTTTAAATATTACAAAATCTTAACAACTATCGTAAAATATTCTAAGTTAATAATACGTATAATTGTTAACTGTAGATAAGTTTAGTTAAATAGGTAATATTTAAGTCATCTTTTTTTGTAAAAGCCATGTGGTAATTTTTACGCTATTAATTAAATATTTTATTAAAATATAATATTTTAATATTCTATAGTTTTGTTTCATTACCTACAAAACATAAACGCAGAAAACCACTTCTTTGGCTTCTAACTGTATTTAGGGAAAAATCAAAGTCGAGACTTAGCGGTAAGTATAACACCTGGCAAAAACATATTTTATTGAACTGAATCATACCCTTACTTTGTATAATAAGATAAGAATAAGATATTCAGATAGATAGATCTGAATAGATCAGAATTTCTGTAGATCAGAATAATCAGGATAAGATTTATTCAAACATTCCATTATCACGGGTTTCCAAGTAGCCTGGGCATGTGTGGTTTTATAGGGTGGACGCGGCCCATCCGGCTCTTCTGTTCGCCAGTGTATACGTACATTTACAGTATTTATTGTCTCTTCTGCTAACGCATATTTCAAATTTCTATGACCTTATGCACCAGGCAAACTTTTACGTCAGGCGAAGCAAAATCCCGGATGTCTGTTTTTATTAAAGATTTATAATTACCCATTACTCACATAAGCACAACCATTTATAATTTGCGATTCGAATTAGTTACGGAGTCACGGTGACTCAGAATATCTGCTAGATCTATCGAATTGAGACTTTAATATGATACACGAAAATAATCTTTACACTATTGACTGTATAGTTTATTTTCATTCAATCGGTTGAGTTTAACAGTTAAATTTGGCAGTTTTTATGCTATAGTTGTTTTTCATTGAGATAACGAAGCGATTACCTCATCGGCCAACACAACTACTGTTTCGCCAACATATTTATTTGATACTATATAAACCACATCTGATTTGATTGTATATTATCTGTCGGAAATAATAAGAACTGATTGGATCTTAAATATAAAGTGAAAACTGAATTGGTTTATTTCTGTGGCGTTGAGCTCATGGCCAATTTATATGAAATTTTTTCCTACCTAACATAATATACAAATTTTAGACAGAAATTTATAGTATGGCTAAATACAGTCAGAGTTTTTGATTCATACTATCAATAAACTTTTTAATGTAACTAAACTATAATATATGTATATGCAAACAAATAAAAAAATTAGATTGTAATATTTAAATACCACAACTGGAAATGCCATAATATGGGGAAAAATAAAGTAGTTGAAGTTATTTAAATTGCCAATTGTATCCATAAATTTCTGCATCGTTTTATAGAGTACTTCAGTTCACCCTTTAATTCGTATCGTGCCGCGATATGTAGTACGTCATTTGTTGATACATTAATTGTCTTTTCAATGTTATTTACTAAAGTAAGTAGTTATAGTAATTTAGCAGATAGCCAGTTAAGCAAGTGTCATCGACCGCGGGGTGGTAGAAAGTGGTGACTCACGCGCACACAGGTCCAGGCTGCCTTGACGATTCATGTTACGAGGTAGCACAGGGCCGGAGTCTTCAATGTATACCAGGAGCAATGTTAAAAGTATTTTAAGTGGTCTACTTTGGTAGTTATGATAAACTACACAGATTTAATGGCTCTCACACCCAGTGTACATTTCTTTTTTATAGAGCACGGGGAAAACGGGCAGGAGACTTACTTGATGTTAAGTGTTAGCCCATGGACACTAACACTGCGATAAGGGTCGCAAGTGCGTTGCCGGCCTTTTTAAAATTGGTACGCTCTTATCCTGAAGGACCTTAAGTGGAATTGGTTCGAAATTAATTCTGTGGGCAGGTTCCTCATAGTGGTGGTGCGCGGAAAACACGGCCCTAAAAAGTAAAAACCACTAAAGAAGAATATCTCTACAGTAATGCTGGACAATGAAAGAGGGCGCAATCAATAGCTACTTTTGACGTATGTATAGGACCGATACAGGTTCCACACAAAATCGGGTTCTTAATTGCCTTCATTTTAATGATACGGTTACTGCTTAACTTCCTGAGACAAAAACCTTGTGACGTTCATGAAACAATAATACTTAAATAAAATAAAATTCGGACGTATGTACGAATTTTTCACCAATTGTTGTCTAAGATAGACACTACTTTATATTGTATGAGAGTATTTTACCGTCCGCAAAAATAATATACGACGTTAACTGAGATGTGAATGCAGTACGTCATGTTGTCTGCGACTATTATCTTTAGTTTGTTTTGTTTGGACAATTAATAGCAGTACTTACGTGTAAGTATATTAAAACTAACCAAATGAGTCAACCTCATATTATTTTGTCAAATACCTAGGTATCCTTTCTTCGATAAAACCAGTTATATATTCCCGACCTAGTCCTCAACTATGTCCACTATTTTCTATAAGACGACAGGTTTGCAGACGAAGAATGAAAGTAAATAAACACTGCATTCGTGAGGTAAACAAACCAGGTACTGGTTTTACCTAACTCGATCTTGTTAGACAACCCATAGTACATTTATAACGAATACTTTCTAAATAAGTGTTTCTTTAAACGTTCAATCGAAGTATTTGTGCCATACGACCGCATTTTTTGTAACTAAAAATGAGAAAACTTTAAGCAATACTTAGATCTCAGTTACCAATAAATAATTCTGATTACTTGCCACGTCATGTGATGATAGCAAAAGCACTCGTAACACCTATATACCTACCTTTTTAGATCTACGTTTGAAATAAATTAATAAGATGTTGCGCAAAGCTAATGAAAATGTTTTAATGTAATTTACAAACCTTTATTCTATAAGTTATTAGATTTAGAAAAGTTTAACCTAAAATGATAATTGTAACGAAGGCTACAGTACAGGTGCCAGAGGTTTTACCTACCCCATTTACTACGCTAAAAAAACTGTTTAGGTTAATACCTACTACGCAAAACTATATGTTTTATATTTATTTATATTACGTAATTTAATAAATACAAACTTCGAAAATACTTTAGCAAAAAACTATCATAATATTGTGGTCATTGAAACTCAACAGTATTTTATCTACTTGGTACCACATAGTAACGTGGTTGGTAGCTTTATCATCAATATAATGAGATGATAAAAATTAATATAGGTAAAGATAAATTATTCATATTTACTAATAAAACCTATATTTACTAAACACAATAACGATGTAGAGTTGTCAAAGAATGCGATTACTTATGGCATTGCTGAACTGAATCGAGTATACTGGTGATTCATTTCTCGGAATTGACCTTGCTATGAGTCATTCGCTAGAAGGCAGAGTTGGGGATACCGCGCCTGTCTGCCGGTTGCTTGCACAGGCACTCTGTAAAAATAATTCCTATTTATTAATCTTTAAGTAAATATTTTACTCTCGCAAAAAATGTGGGTTGGAAAAAAGAGAAGGAAAAATAAATAGTGGCAAATTCATTGATAATTTTTTGTGCTTTTCCCAGTTGGATATCATGATAACAACCATGACGTCATTTATATTATTGAAGGTAAGTAATCAACAGTTTATTATTTACTCAGTAAAAAAAATATTTTAGTATGAATTGTTTTTGAGTCTTTATATTAATTATTAAAAAATAATAAATAAGATTTTTATTTGACTACCGTAAGCGTTTGACATTTTGACGTTTACAAATCATAATATAATACGTTGAAAAGAAAAACAAGTGTTCAGATATTTTATCTCTTTCATTTTTCATTCAACATTGCTCGAAGTGACAAGGAGAGTAGATATTATGAATTGTATCATTAATAAATAGTATTACCAAACAAGAATTTAACAGGTTAGAAAGAAATAGAATTATGTATTGTAAAGTGTAATTCTGTAAATAACTTTAATGAAGTGGCCAAAAGCTATAAAATATGCAATAATACAAAAAAATATACGACAAATGTACAACTAATTTAATTGTTTTGGTTTATTGTGTTGGACCTCGCGAGGCGATTGGGTTTATCTTTCTTTTGTTAGGTAGGTATAAAAACATATCACTAGAATATTTTATACGGCGTTTATCAGCTGTGTGACAATAAATACTATTACTTTCCAGACGAACTCGTTTTTGTTGAGAATGAACAGGGAGGATAACGTGAACTGGTTTCATGGAAAGATTTCTCGGGAAAATGCTGAGAAACTTCTCAAAGAAGGTGCTTATATTTTCAAAACAATTTTGTTAATATTTTCAAACCAAAATTTGGATCGTTCATGATATGTTTACTTTCCAGAGGGTGAGGATGGTGTGTTTCTAGTTCGTGAGAGTAATACATCACATGGCGATTATGTATTATCTGTTTTGCATCAGGTTTGTTAATTTTGAGCTATGCAGCTACCAAATATACCAAATATTATTCTCATATTTATTTTTAAATTTCTGATTAAATTTATAGGGTGAGGTTGTACACTATCAAATACGACGCCATGGAGAAGATGCATTTTTTTCAATAGAGGAACATACCACGGTTCATGGGTTAGATACTTTGATTCAGCATTACCGAGGTGACTCCAATGGACTTGTAACTCGCCTTTCAGTTGTGTGTAAAGGTCAAGCTCCGCCACATGAATCTAGAACACAAGGAACTACCAACCTACTACACAGGTTAGTTAGAAATGTTAAAGAAAAAAAACATCAGACAAGAGCAGTGTTTTAATGTTTTATATTGGTTGTAAATTCCCGCTAGTTTCCTTGTAGATGACAAAAAAACATATATATAAGCTATATTTAAATCAATCCTCAATTTCATTGGAATTTTATATGTTTGACAATTGGTATTCAAATCATGTATTGGCAATCAACACTAACAATAAATGAATCATACAAGACATGTTATGAAGAGACAATACAAATTAGTTATTGTTATCACTGTCATTATACTTTTAACTCTCAGGGTAAATAATACTAATCATATTAAGGTTGTCTTAGAAAACGAAAGGAAAGGGAGCCTTTAAAATCTATGTTTTCTATTATATTTTTCATGAAATATTTTTTCTCTATTTGAAATGTTGTTGTCAATACAGTTACAAGTCTAATAAGAATTTGAATTAGGAAGTCCCAATAAGGAACGCTTAACTCAAATTGACCTTAATTTTTACATACACTTATGTAGCTTGTCCTTATCATTCTTGTTTAAAAAAAAAAAAGAGAAATTTAATTAGTGAATAAGTAATTTGAATTAGGATATACTATATTATATTTAATTAAACTTATAGGATTTGAGATAAATAAGTTATATTGCCTATTTAAAAGATCTTCTCATCACATTTTATATTACAAGGAATTAATTCTAGAAAAATTTAGTTTAATTTATGAACATCAAAACTAGCACCATGTTTAAAAAAAATTATATAACTATCTTACATATTGATGAATTTATCAGTATATCAAATCACTGATTTCTACAAGGCCATTGACCTACCATTTTCGCTTGCAACACACACTGTAAACAGTGACAAGTTTATTGTTGATTTCCTGCTCAGCGCAGTGTTCAATATGCTCATACAATAAATATTGAGAGAAGGACACTCATACTTGTACACAAATAGCTCTGACATTTATCACTGGCTCTCCACTTTAATCCTATTAAGGCAAGGGCTTTTAGAATTGATAAAACACTGGCTTAAATAATTTTTAATACAATTAATATTCCAGACATTTAATTTATTGGACAATTTATATTCTGTGAGCACTGCGCTGACATCAAGTTCCATGACCTGATAATATATAATAATATCTTCCTTGTTCCATTTTCTTTTATAAGCATGTGGGTATCCACAGCAAGGCATAGAAATAAGTAATACTTAGGAGTAAAGCCTTTACTACCAATTATTGTTGGTTACTAACACTGACAATAGGTAATCAGCCTTCGTAGTATAATAAATTAAATGTATATAAAAACTCCCGTGACTAAGTATTCTCTAAAAAGTTTCTTTAACCATCTTATTACCTTGACTCTGTTTACCAGAAAAGGTTACAAAAACGTACCATAAAGGCCGCAGCACTGCCCTCTGTATCATAAATAAAAATTCACATAGATGATGCCTAAACCTTTTTTAATATATACAAATTACACATCCTCAGTACCGTATGGTTTTTAATAATATACACAAACATCTATCAATTAGGAGAGTTGTAATGAGTCATTATGATAAACATTGATTCACCATCATCAAACAGATGTATAGCCAAACTGTTGCTAGTTGCTATGATGACAACATTCTTAAGATATGACCAATGTGTACACAATGAGCTAATTACAAATATTAAAACAGAACCAATTGGTTTTTTGTTATAATTTATTTAAACAAACTCGGTTTTATTTTTCATAAGACATACATCCTATGTAACTGAAACGGTAGAAGTTCTTACGTCTTCGTTTTGTATAGATAGTTCGTAGCAAGAAGAGTAAGTTTTAATAGAGAAACAAAGTCGTAACAAATATTAATTTTAGGTGGGTTCGAAACACCACATACAAAGGAGATTAATAAGGAATTAACCGTTATAGAAATTCCGTAATTCAAGGCATGAACATTTATACTGTAAAAATCAGTTATTCATATTTTTCTGGTTTTATTTACGTCTTAAACACGACTGATTGGAGTACATTCATTCATGACGCAGATTTTAGCCTTGATCTACTAAGTTACTTTAAAATATAAGTGAGGGTCATTCCTATTAAAATAATTGCAAATCAGCATATTAATGGGAAAGTAAGTAGAGTATACACTGCTGGAAGTCTCTTACTTTGGAGGCCAAGACACATTTTGGGTAGCAGAGCCAGCGGATTTAGGGTGTAGTAAGATATTTATTTATTTACACTTCGTTACCTTATACAAAAACATACATATCAAAAAGCAGGTTACATAAGTGATTAGGCAACGGGTGGCCTTATCTCTAACAAGCGAGATAAAAATTAATAACAAATAATTTATTTCATATCAGAAGATTCAAAGGCATCAGTAAGAATAGTCTGCTATGAATATATCAATTGACCATATCTGGCGTTATATGGAAAGAACGTTACATTGTATGGACAAGGCAAACCGCCAGTTATTTCGTTTTAAAAAGTTTGAGGTTAAATAGAATGACATGAAGTTTACTGTAAATGATTTCAGAGCGACGGACGCTGGAGAATTAAACGTGGTATCACAGTTATTAGCTTGTGGTTACCGCAATAGAGATGCAAAGAATCAAGATGGGCAGACCGCTGTTCATATCGCTGCGAGATCTGGAAGGGACAAAATTCTAATGAAGCTTATTGAAAGTGGCGCCACAGTAAATGTACGGGATTCGTTTGGATTCACACCGCTACATGTGAGTGCGCCTGAAATATTGCTTTTTGTGCCTCTTTATGGTCAAGCCCTTTCTAAGCATTTCGGGGCCAGAATGTAGGTATATAAATTAAAGATTTAATCCACCACGCCGTCAAAATACCGCCTAGGGCATAAACATAGTTGTGTTTTGTTTCTAAAACGTGTTCGCTAAGCTTCGTAGGAAGTCCACCTAGGACACTGCTATAATGCTTTACGCTAGTACTTTACGTAAAAAATTGAATGAAAGAAATCTATTTCTACATAGCTGGGGTTCAAATGGTTGGGAAACGTACGTTTTGACCGAGATTTTCAAGCAGGGAGCGCAAAATACATAATTGATATATTTGATTATTACGAATAATATTGTTATTTCAGTACACTTGCCAAAATAACTTGCCGAGTACAACGGAACTGCTGATAACGTATGGGAACGCCAATTATCAGATGCGGCACGCGCCAACAGGAAAAGTCCCACTCCATGACGCCGCTCAGAGAGGAAATATTGAATGTGTAAAGGTAAAAAGAAATGATTTATTGTAGAAGCTTTTTTTATTGTTTGTTTGTTAATGAATATTTACTTTTACAGGTTTTATTAAAACTTAAGGCTCCAGCCCACCCAAGGACCTTAGCTAAAGAAACTCCAGCTCAATTAGCTAAGCAGTATGGTCACACAGATTGTTATCAATTGCTCAGTAAGTTACCCTTACGTATAAAATACCGCTTGTCCATAAAAACGCGGCAAAAAAGCTCGTGAGTGGCTTTTTGTATCACCAGTAGATAGTGGTTCCTGATGTTGGCTTCAGTGTATAATTAATTTGGATTTAGAGAAATGAACTGAAATATAACGATTATTGTTAAAGATATCCCAATAAATCTTGATACTCCTGACGGAAGCTAGTTTATTGTATTTTATTTAGAAACAGTAAAAAAGCCATTATGACCATTATAGCGTTTAGTCATTACAGTTATAACTTATCATTTCTAAAGAATCTATAAACGCTTGAAGTGATTCAATAAATATCAGCATAAAAATAATGGTTTTTAGTTCACTTCAATATAACAGAAAACGTTTAACAATAAACAAGTGTTATGGGGTTAAAAATATGGGAGATTCAAACTTCATGTAGACAAGTGGACCATAGAAAAATAATTTTGCAGAAAACTACAAGTCGGAGAATCCAAATACGTGTAAAAGTCAATGGTACCATGGTACATTGAACCGAGAAGAGGCAGTGAAAATCTTAGAGGACTATTGCAATCAGAACGGTTTGAGGGACAAGGCGACGGATGGCGTATACCTCGTACGTTACAGCGAACGACACACGGGCGCGTACGTTTTGACCATGCTCAGCGAAAATACGCCTTATAACTTCATTATTAGGAAAGAGGTGATTATATTATTTCTTATAACCACAACTTTTTGAATTTATGATTTGATATGTATACGAATCAAGCAATAATTATGTTATTTCACTCAGTTCAATTCTTGCTCTTTTACCGTTTTAATGCTAACCTTGAAGGTCTGAAAGAGTTTCAATCAAACAAACTTTTAAGGGAAACATTTTAGAATGTACCTTAGCTTGCTTATTTTAATTTAAGATTTGGTACAAACTTAAAAATATTGCTCACAATTACCGTACATTTTCAGAACGATTGGTTATTTATTGATAATGGGCCGTACTTGGAGTCATTAGAGCGATTAATAGAGCATTATACCAGTGTCCTAGATGGTCTTCCTACGAAGCTCAGCGCGCCTGTACCGCCTAAACCCAAACCGCCGTTACCAGAGGTAAAAATAATTTTATTAATCATTTATCAATTTTTAAAAGTAAGGCTAATATTTACCTAAAAATATATTTTATATATATAAAAATATAATTATAATTTGTTTTATATATTATATAAGACAAGTCGTGTTATTTACGTCATTTATTTCAACGGAGGAGGGGTATTATTCCAACATTTCGTCGCACTATTAATTTATATAATATACAATAACTCAATTAAACAATTCAATTAATTATTTATCTACCGTTATGTTTGATTCCATATTTCAATTACCAGAATTTTTGAATACTGATAAAATTGCGTAAAAAATCTTTTTAATTTTGCTAATCATAAATCATAATTGTCATAGACATCACGTTATAAATGTCATAATTATACACTTTAAGACCTGTTATTTTTCCGTTTCAGTTTTCAACAATGCCCCGCACGAAGAAACATTCACCGTGTCGAGTCAATTCAAACCAGTCATTATCTTTAGTGAAAAACGATATATTGAACGACAACAAACCAACTTCGCCTAACAATAACAACGCATTTGAATTGTTGACGAGAAATCTCTCGTTTTCTTCGGACTTTAATAACGATTCTCTGAATAATAACGAAGACCTAGATGGCGACACTTACCAAGTACCTGTGAATAACAGCGCTGTGACGTCCTTGGCTGAAAATTATAATGAAATAGCCATTAATTCTGATGGTCAGCTTTCTACACTGCAAGGTAAAAATTAGTAGAAGTTTTTGAGCAGATACAAAAATTCCTGTCATTTTTGAAAATAATTTTAACTAAGTTTTACCTTTGTAATCGATTAAAACGAGTAAAGCAAATATTGCCAAGGGCTAACTAACTCATGTTGGTCATTAAAAAAAATTAAGAAAAAAAAAAAATCAATGGCGCTGGGAACGTTTTAGGTCTGGGCTTCAGATTTCTCTATCTGTTTAAAGATCTTTTGTGTTTTTTTAATAGGCAAGTAGGTGATCAGTCTTCTATGCCTGACATACGCCATCTACTTTTTGGGTCTAAGGCATGCTTATTTCCTCACGATGTTTTCCTTCACCGTAAAAATAATGTCAGAGAACTGTGTTTAATCCTATGAAATAATTTTTTTGTCTCTTAATACAGAATTTGTACCATTCACGGAATTGACTCTTGGTGCGGTTTTGGGGGAAGGTGAATTTGGTTCCGTATTACGAGCGGTATATTCGCCACTCGATGCGCCCGCGCAGCAAGTCGCAGTAAAGACCTTGCATTTGCAGCATACGGACTCGAATAAGAGGGAGTTTCTCGCCGAGGCGAAGCTCATGATGGCACTACGTCATCGATGTATCGTACGACTTATCGGAGTCTCGCTGGTTAGTATAAATACGTTTTCGTAACGTTTTTTAAAGTGCGCTGCCGGCCTTTACGAATTGGTACGCTCTTTTCTTGAAGGACCCTAATACGAATTGCTTTGGAAATACTTCAGTGGGCAGCTGGTTCCACATAGTGGTGGTGCGCGGCAAAAACTGCCTTAGAAAACGCTCAGTTGTGGAACGAAGTTTCATTTAAGTGTCTGTTACTTTAATGAAAGAGAAATAGTTTGTGATCTTAAACTCTTAACAGGGTCCGCCACTAGCGATGGTGCAAGAGCTGGTACCTCTAGGGTCTCTTCTGGAGTACCTCATCCGTCATCCTGAGAAGGTGTCCCCAGGGTATGAGTTAAGGCTATGGGCCTGCCAGGTGGCCGCTGGGATGCGGTACCTCGAGCAAAGACGATTTGTGCATAGAGACCTTGCAGCAAGGAATATATTGCTTGCTAGCAGGTAAGTTTATATACCAAAAAATGAATTTATAAATACCTAGGTTTCGATTTATTTTAAAACTAGTAGACTCGGCCAAGCGTTGCTGTGGCTAAGATTTTTGTTATATTACATAGTAGTAAACTATTCAAGAGAAACGGCAGAAGAACACCAATCCACCATGCTTTTTTGGTGGTTATGCCATTAAATTGTAGCTTATGTCAAACGTTGGTAATTATTTTGATAAGGATCAATACCTAGGTACGAATAAAGAGCCTTTTCTAGTGGTGATATTTTAATAAAAAAAAATTAATAAAAGGACGCTTATTGTGACGTAACTATAAAAGATAAAGACATGCTGTCGCGACATTTTTTATAGATAGTGATGTGTCCTGAAAAATTGTTGCACATCATTTTGTTCTATCATTAATAATTTTCGCAGCGCACACGATTGAAGGAAGTTTTTTGTTTATTTTTTTACACCTTGGGTTAGATTATTCAAGTTTTAGTAAGCATCCCTAATTTTTCTGAAAATGAAACATAGCCTATGTCACTCGGGAATAGTGTAGCTTGCCAACGGTGAAAGAATTTTTGAAATCGGTCCTGTAGTTCAAAACAAACAAAAAATCAAACCTTCTTTATAATATTAGTATAGATTACAATTGGTTTATACTCTTATTTTTAATTCCGTAGAATTCTGACATTTCATAAGTGTTGCTACTAAAAAAGTTCTCCACCGAAAAAGGGACAAATTTGACTTATTTGAGGGCAATTAAAAAATGCTACGTATTTTTATGTTTTACCTTCAAAAGGTAAATCTAAATATTTACTTACTCAAGTGACCTAATACAAAAATAACAAATATTTCAATATCACGAACAATATATCGGATTAACTTTAATTACTTTATTTTATTCTTTAGCTGGCATCACTGTCTACTAATTCCAGGTTTAGTAAACCTTTTAAAAAAAAAATGTTAAGGTTTGCCATCAATGACATGTCAAAAACTGATAGCTGTCAGAATTCTACGGAATTAAAAATCAGAGTATAGATTAATCTTTTTAAAATACCATTAAAATTAAATTACATATTGCACACATAAAGGTTGATTGAATTTTTATGCGGTTTTTCTGTAAATACTTATTAACAAATGTGTTTGTTCGAAAAAGGTTTTCTTAAATTCAGAAGTAGACATTTGGTACATATTCTTAGAAGTAGTACGGCGTGTAAAATTCTATACTGAACAAAGGTTGGATATGTGAGAAACAGTTTAGATCACATTTAGAAAATACCTTCAAATATTTTTTTAACATTAAAGCGAATTTTGAATTACACTTCAATATTTGGTTAATTCTAGGCACCAAGCAAAGATTAGTGATTTCGGCCTTTCGCGAGCATTGTCCGCTGACAGTTCATACTACAAAGCCAGTAGGGGTGGCAAATGGCCGATTAAGTGGTATGCGCCGGAGTCGTACAACTATGGCACCTTCAGTCACGCGAGTGACGTTTGGAGCTATGGAGTCACTTTGTGGGAGATGTTCTCTTACGGGAACCAGCCTTACGGAGATATGCGAGGAACTGAGGTGAGACAATTTTTTTTACAGAAAAGGGGCAACTCATCTGTTGTTAAGTGATACCGCCTATGGACTCGTGAGTGCTTTGCTGGACTTATAAGAATTTGTACGCTCCTTTCTTGAAGGACCCTAAGCGGAATTGGTTAAGAAATTATTTGATGGGCAATTCCACATATCGGTAGCGCGCGGCAAAAAGTGTTCAGCCGTAGAAAAATATGATTTATGATATTATTAAGCATAATCATAATTTTAATTCATTCCATGTTACTTATGGGAATTAAATCTCTAACCGTATAAATATATTACGTCTTGAATAATTGTAGCTCTCCCAAGGGCTTTAAGTACCCGCTGACTCGTGCCCACTCTGTGGTGTCAGATGTTTTCTGAAGATGATTTTACAAGCATTTAAATTTTGCATTTCTCACACGAATATAATAAAATGGCAGTGGTGATTTTATTTTAAATACATTTTTCCTTCACCCATATGTATAAGAGAAGTGTATTTTAATCGCGACGGCCTATTTTGATTAAAAGGCCGGCAAAGCACTCGCGAAATCTCTGACATTGAGTGTCTATGGGCGGCGGGGCGGTATCACTTAACATCAGGTTAGCCTCCTGCCCGTTTTTTCTTTTCTATAATATAAAATAAACGTCAACATCAACTTATTCATAAAAACTAAATTCACGATGCACGCTTTAAACTAAAAAAGGTACTCTTTCGTCTCTTTCTTTCTGTTTTGTTTTACGCTATGAAGGAAAGAGACAGATGATGATAACATGTTCTAAACTGGTATGTTTTTTAAAGAGCATGGTAGAGGTGCTGATGTATGTAATTCAGTATATACTAGAAGAAGTTAATTTATTGAAAGTATTTTTCTATTATTTGCATAGTCTGAGTGTCAAATTAATTTTTATGTTTTAAATTTATCCCTTTAGGTAATTCAATTAGTCGAAAGCGGTGAACGCCTCTCTCGTCCTGAAAACTGCCCTGACGAGATCTATCAAGTGATGTTAGACTGTTGGGCTTATACGCCCGACCTCAGACCCACATTTAGCAAACTCGTCGACGTCTTTTCTCACCACCCTGATTACGTCAACATCAGCCAGATTGCACTTGAGAACGATGACGTCACCGTCTGACAGCGGGTGAAAGTGGCGCCCCCCGAGTATAGACAAAGTACAGTGTGGTTGTCGGGTGTCGTACGTCGGGTGGCTGTGTGTTTCTGTATTGGCGAGTTCGATGATGTGGCCTATGTTTGATACCAATGACGTCACTGTCAAAAGCGCCATGTTTAATCATTGGAAAATTCTAAATTTGAATTTGTCATGCATTGAAATTATATCTGATATTAACACATGCAAGTGAAATATATTATTAATTTTTAACATCGGACTCGTGGTTATAGAAACCTGACTAAAATAAATGACTTTAAAATAAATAATGATTATTATATGATAATGGCCTAGACTAGATGACGTCCTAAATGTAGGTGAATTAGAGTCGGTGAATAAAAATAGAAATCTCAACTAGTATTTATAAGTATGGTAAGGTGTGATTATATGTGCCTGACTGTTAAAGTAAATAGTAAAATTAATGTACAAAATCTAGTTTATGGACTTCCAATGAAATATCAGTTGAGTTGGCACATAGCTAATCAAATCCCGTATACAAATTTTATACTAATGTTAGTATGCATTTTTGATGATTATTGCTTTTATAAATGAATTTAGGTGCATATTAAATATTCGTGCATTTCACGCGTTTACATACGTAAACAATACAATGCTTTTATAGTAATTTAAGTGATACCATTTGATACAATGTGTACATTCCTTTTTCGGGTAGATTATAGAGAATTATTTTATTATATGACTAATATATTAAATAAATATAAGTATGAACCTTTATGATAAAATGCCATAAAACTATATGTATTGCCGTGTTGGTTGTGTTTTGTTAATGTACAAAATTTTAATCGTAGTTACCTAAATTTTCTGTTATTAAAGAATTTATATTAAATTCTATTGTACGAGTCTGATTTAGTATAAAATATTATTTTTAATTATTTTAACAGATTATATCGTAATTTTTGTTGAAATGTGATAAACGGTATTTATGATGAATAAAATTAATTCCATATTTCTGTGTTTTATTTGTGAGTAAATAAGTGAAGAGCGCTAAATAAGAATTTATAATTCCTTTAGTCTCTCTACAGTTTCGATTTTAGATATAATTTGAGAATTATTGTCCCAACTTTGAAGCTAGATTTAGATATGGGACAAAACAAATTCAACTGATTGTTTTCTATGTATATGAGCGAAGTGCGAACCCTTTTTGTAAGCTAAAAACGGACTGAGGAGTGACAATGAAAAACGAAACGATTGTGCGCTCCGTTAGTGTGATTGGTCAATAGGATCTCTAGTGCAATACGCGTTGATACGTGATATTTGATTTTTCTTTTTTCCGCCTTGCGTCTTTTTACATTCTCAGTGGTTATTAATTAAAGCTGTGTTACAAAATATGATTTTTCTAATTGAGGTAATAGTAAAAATAAAATACAGTTCTAACAACACCTAATATATTCGGCTACAATCAGGATGATGTTATACCCTAAATCGCGCTAACAAAGTTCTTCCAACCGCTAAGGCAAGGTGCAACCTTAGTCTATGGGGCCTTAGGGCCGGCAAGTCAGTGGTGAGACTGTTAGAAGATCCTCTCTTTAGGTTGGTAGAAGACAACACATCCACACAGTGTAATCGACAAACGAGAAACATACGACATATTGTAAAAATTCTATTATTTATTGCGTTGCTCTTAAATTTCTAAATTATTACTATATAAAAAAAATCAATATGAAACGTTTATAAAACTATCCCGACGGACGACATTCATGATATGGTGGAGGTGGTGTTTCAGAGCGCTCCACATTAGTATTACCCTCCCTTCCCCTTGTTGGTTGCGAATTAAAGGGTGCACTTGGAACTGGTAATACTTGTCTTCTATATATGGGTGGAGTCTCCATGTTTGTGTGAACGACAGCGTTCCACAATAAATGGTTCCTCATATCCCCTTCCCGTCGAACTCTCCGGCGCTCTCGTCTTGATTGCGGGCGGCGACATCTCAATTGACCACAAACACGACGCAGCCACACGTATGTCGCTATAATACCTATCGCCAATCCTATTTCCAGCCCAATGACAAACGCTTGAAGGGCCGAGAAGTTTCTATCGAACTTCTGGAAAGGCGTCAAAGGCTTTGTTTCGTTACAAATACTCAAATCAATTGTCGTATTATTCGCTGTAAGATTCCATATTTCGCCGATATCTACTGGTTTTCTCTCAACATGAAGCATAGACATTATCTTTTCAGACATAGTAGGTAATTTCTTCTTGCAAAACTTCTCGTATGCTATTCCACGGGAAACGATCCATGTTTCAATGGCAATGAAATTGGCATTACACGGCCAATAATCGTTCCTTAATTCTAGTCTGTTTAGTTTTCTTAAAGGTCGCAAAACATCTAAACTTAAGGTAACCAAGTAATTTTCACTTATATCTAACTTCTTAAGATTGGGCAGCCTCGTAAATAGACGATCTGGTAAAGATTTTATTCGACAGCTATTGAGATTAAGGACCTGAAAGAAAGCATTCGTTGTAAATAGGAATTACTACAAAATACTTAGGGAAATGTTGATAAAAAGGCTGATAACGAAAAATGGGTATAAAGATTATCATAGGCTATATACACTCCTTCTTTTATTCAGCACATGGTTATAAAAATAGTATTATAAATATCGTACCTGTAATTTATTGTGCATAATTAAGGGTTCGTTTTTCAACGTCTCTAAAATATTAGACGATAGGTCGAGTATATCCAACTGAGGTGTGTCCCAGAATATATCAGAAGGGAAGTATCTTATTCGGTTGTTGCTCAGGTTTAAATCTACGAGCTGATCTAGCCCGGAAAAGGCGTGTAGACCAATCCAAAATATCTGATTGTATGACAGGTCTAAAACTTGAATTGACGTGTATCCCAGCTCCTGAAACCATAAAGTCTTAAATATTTTACACACTCCTGAATTGCGGTTGTATTATTATAAGGGGTTATGATTGTTTAATAATTCAAGTAGGAGGGTCTTTATTCAATATTAGATGTATATTTGTGGATATTCATTTGTTATCTTAACTTTATATACGTATTTGGTATCTTGTTTCACAAGAGAAAAATATATATGGTAAAACATTGTTTCGATTTCGAGAACATACATGAATTGATTAGTCATTTATTTGATGTCTTTATTAACAGTTGCACATTTTCCTTATAATTGTTACGTATGACTGTCTTCTTACTATGGTGATAGAATTAAATATTCATTGTTACCCTATTTTCTGCACTTTATATTAATCTTACCTTAAAACAAAAATTATCCAGTTCACTAATAACATTGCGACTCAGGCTATAAACTTGCACTTGTTTTGGCACACCCACTGCAACACTTACAATATTTTGATCGACACAACTTGCTTTGTTTAACCCATTTTCTGTATCACAATCACACTGCTTTGGACATGAAACACACAAAGTACTATCCAATGATAAAATTACTATAAATAACAAAAGCAACATTTTGATGCGTCTTTAAGCAGTGCATTATAAAATGGTTATGATCTCGAATTGCAGTGACGCCTACATACGTAAAGTAGAACACTGTGCAAACTGATAAGTATTGTTGTGATTAGATAAACGTAATCATTATATACTTGTATTGGTCAGTGTTTTATAAATAAAAAATACCAAATAGTTAATAAAAAAAATATTATTTGAAAGAAAAAAGTAGATCTTCTCTTTTAATCGTTTTTTTTATGTGTGTTAAGATTACAACATAAAATTAATTTAAGTGTAAAAGTAAAGTACAGTACAGATATCGGCAAACATCTTGAACATTAAACAGGGAGTGGGGAAAAGTTTTGCGCAGCGCGGGACACAAACGTCAACTGATTTACCAATCACGCGATCGACACGTCACTCTCCCGCCGCCGAACACCACCGCCCCCCTCCCAGTGATACCTAAAAATCGCTTCTGCGCAGGCATGGACATTTGTTCAAGATGTTTGCCGGTATCTGTACATTTTAATTTTGAAACATAGTGCGTACTACTTGTGTAAACCAAACAATATTATTGATAACTTCAAATCTATATGGAAGATTAAATAAATAGAAGAACAAAGGCCATTCTTATGGCTTATGTATAGAAATTAAAACTCCGTAAACTTACAAATGTTTTTATTTATTGAACTATTGTAGTTAAAACCTCAGTATTTGTTTCACAATAGTTCAGAGCACGCACCAATTGTCGGGAACTGCATTGGATTGCATGATTTTAACTTTTGTTTAAAAAAGGTTTTATTACAAGTCCATACGTGTAGGACATTTTAAAAAGGCTTTCGACGGAATAATTTCATATTTAGTTTAAAAGTTATGTACGTAATATTATAAAATTATTGCTTCTGACTGCGCCTTGGTTGTGGATAATAAAATAATACAGAAGTAGTCATATTCGATTATTTTGACATGGTTGATGTTTAATTAAAATTAAAGTAGGCAAATAATATTAGTTACCCAATAAAAATAAATTAAAACCTAGTAAGCGGAAAATAAAAGAATGTTTATAATGCAATAATTTAAATCGAGCTTTGATAAACACTTTTCTATAGATACGAAAATATTACTTTATTAACGAAAGTATTAAGTGCTTTACAGCAGCCAGTTAGCAAAAATTCACTTTCATTTAAATGTGTAGTATTGAGTTAGAAACACTTATATTGTAAATCTAATCCACATGAATAAAATAATAAAATGCAATATATTTTGGTGGAAAACTTCTTTATTTATAAAAACAAATAACCCTTAACCTAATAATATAGAGTTGTTTCTATTTTGTGAGTTAGGGGGGGTAACACCTCTTCATGGTATAGTCTATGCTCTGAATAGCGTTTCTAACTTCATACAGTGAGCCACTGAATCCATCAAATATTATTGCTAATTTGTCAACTGCCAGAGCCTGTAACAGTATTTAAATTATGTATTGTTTTTTCTTTATTTATTAATTATATAGTTTAAATCTTATATGGACGTGGAAATTCTGCAACGGTTTATCTATGCCTGTAACTTTACTAGACAATTTAATTATTTATTTATTTACACTTTGTTACCTTATACAAAAACATAAAAAAGTAGGTTACATAAGTTATTACCCAACGGGCGGCCTTATAGCTAGCAAGCGATTTTTCTCTCTTCTACTTATTATAAAATTCTACCAAATTTTTGTACATATAGAAATTGGAATTGAAAATAACTTATGCACGTTAATATGACTTGCTTGGTTAACAATATACATATATTTTATTTTATAAACAAGCTGTAAAACTTTTGTTTTTGATTAAAATCAAAATCAATTGATTCAATTGCTTATGTTTAAGTCATGGGCAAGATTCTGAGAAGAGATTTATAAATATCATATATTATTCAACCTGTGTTAAGGACGCTTCTGCGATTTGTTCCATTGCTTCAGATTTTTTTAATGACTCTTGACCTATATGAGTAAGAGCTTCTGCCTGTTTTGCCATTGCATCAATCTATAAGAAAAATTTATCATTCAGGATGACAATTTGCAAACAAAAATAACTTAATACTTTTCAATTTCAAGTTTATATATATTTATTGCTGTAGTTGTTTCAGCACTTATTTTTAGTTAAAAATATAAAATATCTTACATACCATTGTACCCATTAGCTTCCAGCTTTTTTCTTCACAATCATTAGTAACCATTCTATCATCATTGGGAACCTCATATGCATCAACAGAATCAACAGAATTGTCTTCTCCATTACAAGGCTTGTTCATTATTACTTTATTATTTCCTATAATAATCCTTTTCTTATTAAGATATATAAGCTATGAAAATAAGCAATATTTTTATAAATAAACAGCAACAAGTTTTTTAATCATTTCCCAAGTCTTATTTGTGAGTAAGGAATGATTCAGTTTTCGTTAGATGCACTAATTAAAATAATGGAAATGTATGATTTGGATATTGAAAATGAAATTGGTTATCCATTTATTGCAAGGCAATTATATTTTTGTTCATCTGGGCTTTCTTAAGAGAAAGTTCAGACTTGGCTATGGCTTAGTCCATATTATTTATCACAATTGTCAAAAGCACAGCATTTTATTCACCAACTTTAAAAACTCAAAGGTGAGACATAATTTTTTGTGAATTAGTGTATAAAGATTGTCCATATGGATTTTGTTAGTAAAAAAAATATATTTCTAAATTATCCCGACTAGAACAGACATACACACATAGGTAGCTGTTGTAATAATGCTATAAGAACTATAATATGTTTTATATTATAATATAAAAGTGTCTTATAATTTTTAACAACAGATGAAGGTCAGCTTCTTATCAGTATAAGAATGTATACTCACTTCTCATTTGATGTAATTTTATTATCCTTTTATCAACTGATGTAAGGTTTAGTCGAACTTTCCCTTGCTTTATTGATCTGCTTTTTACTAGAACATTTCTTCTTTTATCTTGCCAATACTTTAACAAATAAGAACAATACATTTTAATATAAATATCTAAAATCACATTCAAAAGATTTATTGATATTTTATATATATGTATATAAAATATCAATTTGAATCAATAAATAAGTTACCTCACTTATAAAAACAAATTTACCTTCATCCAGGCACTAGCACTTTTACGTGCCCCATAAATCGAATTTACAGTTTCAGTTAGCTCTTCCCACATTTTTCTAATCCTATGAAACCCTGCATTTCCATTTCTCAGTTCCTGCCAAGCCATTTCTGGATGCTGTTCTAAAAAACTGAGCACTACTTTTACTTGAGCTGGTGTTGGCCGTAATCTCTAGAATTTTTAAGTAATGTACATACTTAACAATTTAAGTGAAAGTTTACTCTACAATTTATATTAATGTGTTGTGACAATATCTACTAGCTAATTATTACCTTTATATTCTATCTTGCCTATTATGAGATATGTCCTGAACTCTTAGCAACTAGCAAGATATGCACTGTGCAATAACTTACTTGCTTCGTAGAATTTGGGTTCATTTTTTTAATACCATCATTATTGTTGGACGACTACAGTTTTTACTTTTTATATTGGAGAATGGAGGGCCTAACGGTTTTGAAATTGCCGTACCTGTATTAAAAATATCTATTCCAGAAGGAATAACGCCACAAAAGACATTTTTACACCCTAATAAGATCTTTCTGTATAATGTGTGCACTATACATAGGTAAAATGCAAAATACTATTACAACTAGCTAAAAATAGCAACTCACCATTTTTACTTGAGTCGTTTAAGATTAAGTATTAGAAGTTGAAACACGAAATAAAAAAATCGAAAAAACAGTGTTATAGAAATTAAATTAATTTATTATTTTTTTGATACAAGTTTATTAGCATTTAGCAAGTCAAGAGTATCAGTATATTATCTATGGCCGAGGTTCAGTGGACAGATTAAGAATTGACGAATTGATTTATTTATTATCTCGATACTCGGTAAAATATGTCGGATATTACCTGGTGAGCACGGGCTGTGTGCTAAATAAATTTACAGTTCAATTATAATAAATATGAAACTATATTTTTCTAGTTAGTATTATAATATATACATGTACTAATAAATCAGGTTACCTGTGAAAATGTGTGGAAATACTTCATTCTAGTTGGATCAAAAATTAACATTCGAATTTCGAACGATGATTTGAATTAACACTTCATTTAATAAATATACTTATAGAAGTTTTTTATACTTAAATACTAGCAACATAGATGATTTCCGAAATTAGAAACCTGCTATTGAAATGTATAAAAGAAAACTATTCCGTATCGTTTGCATGGGTTCCTGGTCACTGTGGAATATCTGGAAACGAGAAAGCCGATCGTATAGCCAATGAGGCGGTGCAGAGTGGGGGTTGGGTGTTAAATACCACCGCACTTTTTGACGATACTAATTATCTAGGAGTGTCCGGGGGACCTTCATTGGAACACCTCCAAGTGAGTTTTGCTCCGGAAACGCGTCTAAATATTTTTATAAAAAATTTAAAGTTTTGTGTAATGTATTAAAATTTGTAAACAATCCGCCATTTTCTACTTTTCTATTGGTTATAAGTGATGTGACGTTCACTTAAAAAAATCGTGTTTTTAATTTATCGATTGTTAATAATCGTTTTATTTATTTATCGATTATTTCCTCATTTTTGAAATTTAAAGTTATAGAATAATCAACATTGAAATTAACCTAATTTCGTGTTGATAGATTATAGGGTTCCGAATTTTTTTGAAATTATCGATACCTACTCGTCTGTATTTTCTAATTAGTACTTGTATTTCATTGTTTGCAACTTTCTATATTATTTAATTTTTACTAGAATAAAGTGTTTACTTTAATATCCAAAAAGTACCCAAAACCGAATCAGAGCACCCCACTATCCACGTGGTCTTGTCTGTCTTACCCCTAGAGTGTATATAAATAATCGGAGGCGCGGAGGAAGAGGCTGCATTTCCCGTAGCGCCGGAGCTGTCCACAAAAACAAATATTATTTAGATTGGTTAGGTTAGAGTTAGTATATGAATATTTGGTCGCCGAAGGCGACCAGGACGCCGAGAAGCCGAGGCTTGAATAAACAATTACTATTTAGATCGGAGCTGTCCACAAAAAAAAATATTATTTAGATTGGTTAGGTTAGAGTTAGTATATGAATATTTGGTCGCCGAAGGCGACCAGGACGCCGAGAAGCCGAGGCTTGAATAAACAATTACTATTTAGATCGGAGCTGTCCACAAAAACAAATATTATTTAGATTGGTTAGGTTAGAGTTAGTATATGAATATTTGGTCGCCGAATTTTCAATTATTTTTAATATTAAAATCGAATACAAAAATCGATTTTCACTTTAAAAAAATCGATTATTTTTCACATCCCTATTAATTTTATAAACTTAATCGGCCATTTTGAATGTGGTTTATGCTAGACTAGCGGTAATTAGTTTTACAGTGCAAAGTTTACTTTATAAATCTTTATAAAATTTTTGACGCGTTTCCGGAGCAAAACTCACTTGGAGGTGTTCCAATGAAGGTCCTCCGAGACTCCTAAATAATTAGTATCGTCAAAAAAGTGCGATGGTATTCAAAACTGTTACCATTCCTGGACTGAATCTTGGGGTCAGGATAATTCAAAAGGTCGCCATTATCGTACTATTCAACCTTCTATAACCATTAAGCCCTGGTTTTGGAGACTGAGATTCGGAAAAAAAGTTACAACAATACTGTCTCGTATGCGACTGGGACACGTCCGCACCCCAGCTCATCTTATTAAGCTAAATATTAATGACAGCCCTACGTGCGATTGCGGATATGATGTAGGTGATTTAAATGACATCATGTTTATTTGTTCTCGACGCGACCGGTCGGCTCTTTTCGAAGTTCTCATTTCCCTTCAAATTCCTTTCCCTTCATCCATATCATGTTTACTTTCAACATGGGACCCACATGTATATAAACTTTTAGCAGCTTTTATCTTAAGTAATGATATAAAAATTTAGACAATATGAACGTAAATATAAATATATGTAAATATCTTTTCTTACACTCCTTTTTTATCTAGCTTTATAAGAATTGATCTTTTATTTTATAGATTAATTATTTTCCATTCCTAAATTCCGTTCCACCCGATATTTTTTTTTTTTACCCGTTTCCCTGTTTTGACCCTGGGCCACAATGCACAAACCGTGCGGGCCATAAAAAAAAACTTATTCTATGGTTCCAAGCACATGGAATGTCAGTATGTCACCAGTGTGACCAGATTTAGTAGATTTCTACTTTTTTGGTAGATTTTGAGGTACAGTCAACAGAATTTAGTATGTAAAAATTATTTGGTATATTTTAGTAGAATTCACGCTTTTCAGTTATTCTGGTCCTTTTTTTGGCATATCGAATAAAAGCGAGGTATTCCTCTTTCATCGATTGGATTATAACTATTTATTGTTTATTCTTTTCGTTACCATTCGTGCCGTGAGCATAGAGTGTGATGTGGGAATTCCTTTATTGAGAATTTATATAATCGAGTTTAAACTGAAACATAAATATACACAAGGATATCGCAATGAATAGGAGCAAGATCCCTTATTTAAAGTTGGTTATGTAAAATATCTACAAAATTTTACGTTATTTTTCAAAGTGATCAGACCCTTATTCATAAAATTGAAACAGACATACAAAACATGATGAGTTCCATTTTGAGTTGCTTTATGAAGATAAATTAAATATAAAAACTACTCCGCTTCAGTCAATAGATCTGACAGATGTATGTTCAAGTTAATGGACACAAAATTGCTTTATGACAATGTTACCCAACATAAAGGCGAAAAATCTTTACTTTAAGTATCATTTTATACATTTTTGTTTAATTATATTTTTATTAAGAATTGAATTTAAAAAAAAAACTTGGTTTCTTTTAAATTAAATTCTTATTTTTATTATTCTATCGTTTTATCAAGAAAACATTCATGTTTTACGTTGTAACACAACAGCAAAAAAATATAATAGATTTTCTTGTTCCTTTCGGTAGAATTCAGTAGTTTTTAACCTCCACAAGCAGTAGATTCGTCAATTAAAATCTGGTCACACTGTATGTCACTCATAAGTCAGTCATAACTCATATGTGTAACACTGAACACATTTGTTTTGAAATATCGAGTACTCCGTTGATACGACTTTAGACTTCCTATTTGGTTATTTATTATGGCATTGTAGCACATTTAACATTAAACACTATCTTGAGTGTTATAAACATGTCCGGCTTAAACTCTTTATTTGACTGTTTCGAAGAGCCATCTTCTAATGAAATATGCTTACAAGTTCCTAATGTTGACAATGTGGAGACATCGTAAGTATTTTTACCTAACCTTTTACTTCTAAGTTATAAGTAAACGTTACCGATATCGCGGTATTCTTTCTATAGTTACATAAATTTTATTGTTACACTGTACTCTCTATGTAAACACCTTATTTTGTTATAGAAAAGATGAAAAAATTCAAAAAAAGAGAGCTCACGAACAAGTGGAATATGCTGATACAGAAGTTCAACCAGAGGATAATAAGAAACTTAAACCTGATGAAGATGAGAGTGATTTATTAGCAGATCTGAAGTAAGTACTGACAATATGTATCAAATATCATAAGTAATTAGACTACTTTAAACAAAATAACAAAACTAGCAGGTATATCGTTAGAGATACACATTTCTGTTTTAGTGACAATTAAAAAGTAATTATTATATTGTTAGTAAGTTTTAATTCCTTTATAATTCTTAGAAACACATAAGTGTAGGAATAACTTAAAATAATTTTAAATTTATATCTTTTTATTTCAGCTTAGATTTAGCTAATTCTCGAATAGTCATTCACACCCTTGAAACACATGAAGGTTGCACTCATGAAGTAGCAGTGCCTCCAAATCATGAATATTTACCCCTGGTTCCATTATCTGGTACTCCAGTAAAACAGTATAGTTTCATATTGGATCCATTTCAAAAGGAAGCTATTATGTGCATTGACAATCTGCAGTCGGTACTTGTTTCTGCACACACATCAGCTGGAAAAACAGTTGTTGCTGAGTAAGATTTATTTATTTTTGTCAATACATATTAACACTATTTTTTTTTAAATTGATAGTCAAATGTGAAACTCAATAAATGCTCAATAAATAAATAAATAAATAAATCTAAAATATTATTTTTAAATATATTCCAACTCCTATGTAAAGTTGATATATACTGTTTCAGTACAAATATTTGTATACTATTCGACTGATTTAAAAATTATTTTACACATCTGTTGTGAAAAGCCCTCCGGCCTGGGCTTTAAAAGTTATTTTATTATTACTAAAAATTTATATTGTCACTTAAAAGATTAATATGTATTTTTAAATCCAGTGTAAATGGAATAATATAACAATAAGCCATTAATATGTTTATAGGTATGCCATAGCATTATCCCTGAAGAAAAAACAAAGAGTTATATACACAACACCCATAAAAGCTTTATCAAATCAGAAATACAGAGAGTTTTCAGAGGAATTTATTGATGTTGGTTTAATTACTGGAGATGTTACTATTAATCCTACTGCATCCTGTCTTATTATGACTACTGAGGTACACACTAGTTAAATTTACAACTGATTCAAAGAAATTGATTTAACTAATATTTTATTAGGAATTATAGATTTACTTGATATTATTACTATTATATCACTTATTACTGGCACTTAAATAAAAGATGGACCATCTGGAATATTGTAATTTTTTAATCTGTGACATTGTCACACATAATTGAAATATTTTTTTTATAGTAAAAGTAGATACTAAGTATTGTCATTTGGCATTTTTTTGATAAGATTTGTTTTAACTACAGATTTTGCGGAATATGTTATACAGAGGATCAGAAATCATGCGTGAGGTTGGTTGGGTTGTGTTTGATGAAATTCACTACATGAGGGATAAAGAAAGAGGTGTTGTATGGGAAGGTAAGTTGAAAATATAAATGTATGACTATCTAAGTAAGTATACTGTGTACATTTTAAGGTGTTCAAACAATTTTAGTTACAATTTCTCCTAGTATACAAATTATTGAGCAGTTAAAAATGATCTCTAGTTAATAGTGTTGTTAACCATGTGAAGAACTCAACACTTTATTTCTATACAGGCTACCTGGATTTTGTTTCTTACATTATTTAAATATTCTTAATTTCTAATTGAAGTTATATTATTTATTTCAGAAACTTTGATTCTTCTCCCCGACAATGTTCACTACGTGTTTCTATCTGCTACTATCCCCAACGCACGTCAATTCGCTGAATGGGTGTGTCGTCTCCATTCGCAACCCTGTCACGTGGTCTACACCGAATATCGGCCCACCCCTCTACAACATTATATATTCCCAGCTGGAGGTGACGGAATCCATCTAGTTGTTGATGAGAAGGTAGGCAAATTCATTCTTATAACTATTTTTTAATTTTTTTACCAAAATTACAGTGCAATGTATATATGTGACAATGTATATTAGCTTATTAGTGTCTTATCAGAAATTATGTCCTTAGCTATTTTCCACTGGTATTTTGGGAACCCTTTTGGGTGTAAACTTTACCAATCCTTTAGAAATAAAAATTCCCGCTTAAGGAACAAATAAAAACGATAAAATCCAGAAAATATTACGCAGTTGATAGGTTAAATTTCCAGCCATAATGTATTGATAGCCGTTGCCTCATACAAAATGCTTTAATCACTTTTACAGGGTCAATTCAAAGAAGGTAATTTCAACACAGCCATGACAGTTCTAAGTAACGCCGGAGATGCGGGTAAGGGTGACCAGCGCGGGCGTCGCGGAGGCTTCAAAGGGGGAAATAATACGAATATTTTTAATATCGTCAAGATGATAATGGAGAGGAACTTTGCCCCAGTAATCATATTCAGCTTCAGTAAGAAGGATTGTGAGCTGTATGCAATGCAAATGGCGAAATTGGACTTTAATACTAGTAAGTACAGCGATTTTATTTTAATTTTAATCACAGTTCTCCGATGTCAATTAAAGTTTTTTTTATAAATTTTTACGATATAAACAGGAATGTATTAGTTTTTTCAAACCTCGATGTTTTAAAAACTGGTTTCTCTCTTAGAGTTAAAATTAATCATAGCGCAAAAATCACCGAAACCAAATAATACTAGCAAAAATACAATTCTATACAATTAAGTACGCGATCCAATGATTTTTTTAAAGGGCATTCAGAATCTGAATCAAGGTTAAGAATGAGTATATCAAAAACGTAGTGGTTTTTGACATAGGGCGACAGTTTGCGCTGAGTTTTTGCTTGTTTAAATCTCAATCTTACTCTAATCATTTGTTATTTTCCTTTTATTACTAATTAGATGTGTGAAATTTAAAAGAAAAATCACTAGTGATTTTTTTAGGTTACTAATTCAATTCTTTCATTACCAAATTTTTCTTGTTTATAAGTTTATGTATTTTCTTAGTTGAAGAAAAGAAACTGGTTGATGAGGTATTCAATAATGCAATGGATGTGTTATCTGAGGAGGATAGGAAACTGCCGCAAGTTGAGAATGTCATTCCGTTACTGAGACGCGGTATTGGAATACATCACGGTGGTCTTCTGCCCATACTTAAGGAGACCATTGAGATTCTATTCGGATTAGGACTTATTAAGGTATGTTTTAAGCCTAGTAGTGTGTTTATTTTTTCAAGAACACAAAAATTATTCTCCCTGTTCAATCTTTTATTTAATAATTAAAAATATTGTACTCGTCTCCGTGTATAAATCGCACTCATTATATGGACGAAATTATTAAATATATAACAAAAAAAAGAGTGTGTGTACTTATGTATACGCGTTAGGAGTTATACTTCTTTGGCGTATGGAAATAATGTAATAATTTTTAAATAACCATGTAACTAAATTATACATACCGACAATTAACCTCAAATCTATAAATGCACTCAAAACAGTTTATTCAAATCAGTTTTGTCACTAATATTCAATATATATAGATATACTAATAAATAATAAATTATTAGTAAATACTATCACCGTCGTATATGAAATTGATTTAATAAAAACACCAAAATAATATTTATTTATTCACACTGTTTAATTGTACTGTTAAAACACGTGTTCTAAATATAAAAATACTAGAATATACAACTTGAACATAGTTATTATCGATTTTTATGCCACCTAGAACTAACTTTACGACGTAGAATTTAGGTGTCGGTGTGCGCGCGATCCGTAAAAATTCACTCTCATCAATTTTCTCCATCGCGCCAAAAGAAGTATAACTTCAAAAAAAAATTAAACGAAATTCATAAACAGACGCAGATCTCTTTAACGAAAAATCTAAGTCGAAAAGATATGACGATAATTATAAGAGCTATAAATAAACTACTTATTGCCCTAAACAGAACAATTTTCGCGGTAGTTTTAAATACAATTAAACGAAATGCTGGAACAAACTGCCACCTCCAATCCGCGGCATTCAAGGCATTTAGGTCTTTCAAAATAAAACCTAAAAGTTATCGTTTGGAATGTCAGCCGGCTGGGTTGGGAATTTATTTGAATTGCATATTTTATTTTCTTCGTGTGTTTGTGTTTGTAAATAGATTTTTTTTCAAATTCTGTGTTTAAATAATTTTATTTCTATTGTTAAAATATTTGTTTTTTTTTTCAGTGTATATAGCTTAATCCAAGATAGTATTCACGATAGTCCGCTGAAAGTTAGTTTTGCTGGTGACAGTAACTTAAAGCTGAGTTAGCCTATTTATGATTAAAGTGATTTTATATATGTATGTGTGCTTTAATCAAAGAAACATTTTTTTTCTCTCTTTTCTAATTAGAGATCTCTTTCAGGCACTATTTGCGACGGAGACCTTCGCTATGGGCCTCAACATGCCGGCGAGGACCGTTGTTTTCACCAATTGTCAGAAATTCGATGGCAAAGATTTCAGATTTGTAAGTTACATTTATTTATTTCAATTTATGTGTTTAACTCTAGCGCTGACCGTTATTGCGCAGAAGTAAAAAACAAGGTACCTGAGGGGGGCTAGCGGAATGAAGAGCGGGCGCGCGTAGCGTCGATTGGCTCTCCAGTCGCATTCCGTCCCCCGCACCGATACGACGCCCCGTGCACATCCCGTGTACAGTCGCGTCATTAATATTATTGTTACTGTTGTTACGTTTTGTTGTTTTTTGTTACGTTTGAATTTGTTAGTGTTTTGTTGTTTGTTTTTAAGTTTGTTTGTGACTTTAAAGTGAATATGCCTAGAACCAATACTGTTTTGAAAAGACAAGCCAGGAAAGTGGTTTATGACGTGAATTGTTTTTTAAAAAGGGAATCTAACGAATTAATTGATTCTTTGAAACAAATCCAAAGTGAGATTGAAGGCGTGATACCGTTCTCTGATTCAGATTAATAAAAGATTACAAATTAAAAGATAATGTTTTTGGAAATACGTTCTATGTACAGACACTTATTTACGGTCTTATTATATCTTATAGATAGGTAATATTACATGCGCGACAGTAATCATGCGCAGCAGCTATCCTTCACATTTCGTTCAGCTTAATATCGTTATTTAGGTAATCATTTATCAAAGTGGCATATAATGTATTGCGTGCGCGACAGTACACATGCGCAGCAATCCCCTCCACGTATCGGCCAGCGCTAGACTTACGTACCGCTGCCTATATCTATGGTTTATATCTGCTATTATAAACATGTGTGTAGACACATGTGCGTGCTTTATTTTATAGCATGTGGGCTAAATTTCGTAACGGGCTCTTTAATAAAATATCAAAAATAATTTGAAATTGTTTGTTTATGACTAGTTTTTTAATACTCTTAAGTACTGGATTTTAAAATTTCCCCAAAACGCCTCCCTAGACAAGATGGCGTACGATGCGTGTAAACACGTAAACAAACGTCAAATTTTACGTATTAATATTAAATTACATATTGTTATTATATATTATATTTATGTAATATTATAAATCAAGTTCAGTCTACGACAAAATTCTCCTCTCCAACTCCATTAGCGAATACATCTTACTTATAAGGATACTACTTAATTGTCCATTCGATAAGTCTGATCGTTTTGTGTGATGTGACTGATTAGTGAAAAACAATTTTTTTAAATGCATATTTTTTAATAATGTTACAAGTTATTTTAGTTAATTATACTTTTCCAAGCGAGATTATACGGATTACTCTAAGAGAGACTTTATTTTTGAACAGTCAAACAGCCTATATCCACAGCTATATAGCAACTTAGAGATCAGTCTAAGTGTCATCAAAATCGTTAAGTTTTAGAGACGGCCACACATGTATAAAAATGACATATTTTAATTTATTTGTATTTACTTTTATTTGATTAGATGTAACTTTGACACTATTTCGAAAATGCTTAAAACATGTACCACATACCACGGAATAATTGTAATCTAGTTACCCATAAAAGGGGCTCTTGGGGGGGGTCTACTTTGGAGACTAGCGTTAGATCAATTTTGTCACAACCTTATTTCTGTCATAAATATTTTTTTATTATTATTAATTATCTAATTGAGGTGTTTAAACATATAAGTTAATGCTGTTCCAGATAACATCAGGCGAGTATATTCAAATGTCTGGACGTGCTGGGCGTCGAGGATTGGACGACAAGGGGATTGTTATTTTGATGATTGACCAAAAAGTGGCTCCTAACACAGTAAAGTCCATGGTTCAGGGTAAAGCGGATCCTATTAATTCGGCCTTCCACCTCACTTATAATATGGTAATTTTTAAAATACTACTAAAAATTTGTTACATAAAAATCTTTACATAGTTTATATTATGAAAATAATATCTCTGAAACAAGTCACCCAGTTTTAATTTTAGGAAGAATCAAAATATAATTTACTGAAATATATACATTTGAAAGTTAATTAATATAAATCATAAATTATCATTTATTTATATTATATTTATAGATCTGGCAATAAACTCTCCGTCACTAAATCGCCAAGTTTTTCTTATACAAAACGATTGTAAGGCTAAGTTATGCTTCTAATCATATACTGTATTAAATTAATATTTAAAACTATTCTTAATAATTATATTAAGAAATTGAAATCGAAATTTCAGGTGTTAAATCTATTGCGAGTGGAAGAAATAAATCCCGAATATATGTTGGAGAGAAGTTTCTTCCAGTTTCAAAATCAGGCCGCTATTCCAGATATTATAGAGAGTGAGTTAAATTTCGTTTCGTTAGAAATTCTACTAAATTTTGTATGAAATTTATTTGTATTATGTTTGGTATATACCGTCCGTACCTTATGTATATGTCACCGTAAAATTGTAAACACCGTTAGATTGTAATCTATCTCGCGAGATTGTGAACTGTCGAAAGATTGTAAACCTCAACGTACTTATAATAATACGTTAAATTGTAAACAGTAGGTTCAGGTTCACAATCTTTCAACAGTTCACAATCTCGCGAGATAGATTACAATCTAACGGTGTTTACAATTTTACGGTGACATATACACCTGAAATCTCGCTATAAACTCCTGGGCAGCAGTTCTAGGCAAAAAAAATATTAACTAAACTATTTATAATATAGTGTATTTCTTAAATATTGAAAGATAATAATTATTGTAGGTATTTTTTTAAGTTAGGTTGGCCTAGTCCTACTGGCTTAAACGTGCGACTCGTGTGATGTCGTATGTCTGACCCATGGACTTTTCATTCTAAGTGCGGATTTAATACTCGCTAGTACGGTGAAGGAAAACATCGTGAGGAAACCTAAGCAACTTGAGGTATGCCACCTTAGACTCAAAAAGTCGACGGCGAGTGTCAGGCACTGAAGGCATTTTTTTGTAATAGTATTACTTGTCTATTATAAAATTAAACAAGCAGAAAATTGAGGTCAAGGACCAAGGGTTCTAGCGCGATAGGGTTTTTTATATATATTCCTTTTAACCCAAAACAATTCCCCCTTCAAGACTTAGCAAGACCTACGCCCGTACTCTGTATCCAATTCGTTCGATGTAATTCCTAATATCCGTAGCGCTGATATTGCAACTGCGGAATCGCACACAAAGAGTCATTTTTGGAATCTCGATCGCTGTCGGATGATTCCAAAAACAATAATTGTTTCGTATTTAGCACAGATAATCAGATAAACACGTGTTATACTTCACTGACAATCAATTATAATTTCAGAGGTTAAAACAAAACAGAAGGAATATGATGCGTTAGGCATAGAGCAGGAACACTCTATAGCGTCGTATTGTGCTCTTCGTTCACAATTAGACCTTTTGGGAGCTCAATTCCGCTCTTTTATTACACGTCCTGAATACCTTAAGCCATTCCTACAGCCCGGACGACTTGTTAAGGTAATTACTTAAACTGGGTTTTTAGTTATTTTCTAATTAAACAGCTTAAACTTTGGTTCCTTAGTTTTTGAGTTTCTGATTTCACATTATTAAAGTTTAGATTAAGATTCATTTTTGAATGTGTCAATGTTATGTGTTTCAGTTTCTCAGAAATTTGTAGACAAATATATTTCGATATTAATATGTATGTTTGTTCTTCAGCACATGTGCTAGAAAGATCAATCACCATTCTAACAATACAAATCAAATTGATAACGCCCTTTTATCGTCGCTTAATCTTCTTCTAATATATAAAATTCTCGTGTCACAATGTTCGTTCCCGTACTCCTCCCAAACGGCTCGACTGATTCGTATGAAGTTTTTTATGCGTATTCAGTTAGTCTGAGAATCGGCAGTAGTAGTAATCTATCTTTCAAACCCTTAAGTGATAAGGGGTGTCCACCCCAAAATTTTTGTTGTTATATTTTAGACAATTTTTTTAGTTTTTTATGATACAGCATACAAAAATACAAACAACCCCTAATTTTCACCCCTCTACGATCAACCCCTATTTTTTATTATAGGAGATAGTTATTTTAATTGAACTAAAAAAATGTTTCCTATACATAATATACATGGCAAAACAACGTTTGCCAGGTCAGATAGTTATTTATAAAAGTCAGCTGTATCTTATATAGATAAATTATTTTAATTATTATTTTGAAAGTGGGATTTAAAAATATTTTGAAAAGGATTCGCCTGTATAGTTCACGAATGATGTTTTATAAACATCCACAAAATTCTGCCAAGTGAAACGAATGAACAAAAACATACACTAAACAAATATTTTTTTAGATAAAAACCGAAAAATACGAATATGACTGGGGAATTATAGTGAACTTTAGGCACAAAACAAAAGGGAAAAAGGGGAAACACGAGAATCCCTTAACCGCTGAAACAGTCATATTAGTAGATACGCTGTTACACGTAAAGAAATCAAGTGGAGACGATCCAGACACTAATGTACCATGTCCACCTGGTGAGGTTAGTTCTACAGATTACATACTTTTTGAAGTGAAACTTCTTTATCGGGGTTGGAAAAAAATTTAGTGTAACATTTTTGCGTTACGCGTCACATTTTTCCGTTACGCGCCATGTTGCTTTTTTAAGTCAAACTTCTTTATCGGCGTTAAAATATGACATATAGTATGTTTTTGACTTTGAAGTTTGACAACCGATTACATTTTCGAAGTCAAACTTCTTTATCGGCGTTAAAATATGACATATAGTATGTTTTTGACTTTGAAGTTTGACAACGGATTACATTTTCGACTTGAAATTTGCTAATCGCAATTTGCAGCAATTAATTTGTAAATTGTATGCTAGGCAGTGTATCAAAATTTACTGTGTTTAAAGAAATAGTTTCTAATAAGGTCATAAAGAAGTTTCACTTCTTACGTGTGTACACCTAGTACACGCACACATTTTATTTTTTAATTTGTTAATACTAGATAGTTTTTTTGTCGTTTTTACCCTATCACTGGCTTCAATATTTAGGTATGGGCCTCAGATTTTCTGTACTTGTTTTGTGATATTTTTTTGAAGTGAAACTTCTTTAGGCGCATGAGGGTAAATTTTTACGAAACGTCACGAAGATGTTAACGTTTTTGTCGAAGAAAAGGGAGAGAGCTATTGAGACTTGAACACCGGTGGTGATTTTAAATTTTAGTTCTGGTTGTTTTAGACCAGTCAGTCAAGACAATTAATTCATAATAATTCCAAAAGTTTTCAAATTTTGATGTAAGGTCGGGAGTGGTATTAAAACAAACTATAAAATTTTGCAACCTGCTCTGCGGTCCGGAACATTGTTAAAAATAAGTTTTGGTCGTGAAAAAAATTCCAAAAGTTCTGCAAACTTGGGGAAGTTTTCGATATAATATTTCATATCACGTATAAAATTTGCAACCAACCTAAGTGTACGGAACATTTTTTGTTATTAAAAATTAATGTTTTTCTTTATTAAACTGAAGGAAAACGTTCCAAAAGTTCTGCAAATTTGACAGATATATCGAAAATAAAATGTTTAGTATGTAATAAAATAAAAAATAAAAATAGCCTATTTTCGAGAACTTACTCGATAGTACACTAATATAGGCTATTTAAGGATAAGATTAAGTTTATGTTATTATTGTATTTACACGACCTCCGACGAAATGAAGGCTTCCTCCAAATTCATCGACTTGTCTCCGGTCTTCGACTATCTTCGGTACTATTTTCCAGTCCTTCCCGCTGTCTCTTATCTTCCCAGTGGGCGTCCTCTCTTTTTTCTTCCTACTTGGGGTGCGTTCAGTATTACGTAACGAATTTGGGGGGGGGGTCCTTTTGTAAAACGTTACGATGCGGGGCGGGGATTGAATTACGCGTTAATGTTAATATTATTTTCGACTTTCCAGTACTTTACATAATGGTAACTTTTAGGTATAAAGAGTGACGAGGTGGTCACTAAACGTTTTACGGCTTGTTACCATTGGGTCAATAATCTCCAAAAATTGCGGGACGTAATACTTGAACGCTCCCTTGGCCATTCCTACTAACGGTATTTTTGGCTCATCTGTAATCACAAACGCGGGCAGTGTGACCGGCCCATTTCCGCTTAAACTTTTTTTAATGGAATAACGACATCTATTGCGCTGTTAGCTTGTCTTTAATTTTCATCCGAAGAATTTGAAGTGTTCCTTTATTCGTATAGACACCTAAATACAGTTCTTCGTGTATTTAAAAACCCCTTTTTAAACAGACGGGAGATGTTGAAGTCGTTCCAGTACTACACACTTTGATAAATCAAATAAGCTCGCTGAGAGTCTATTATCCGAAGGATTTAAGACCAGCGGATAGTCGGAAGTCCGTACTGAAGACAATAAATGAAGTGAAAAAACGTTTCCCTGACGGACCACCTTTGTTAAATCCAATAAAGGATATGAAAATTGACGAACCAGTGTTCAAGGACTGTGTGGATAAAATCAAATTGTTTGAAGAGAGGTAAGCTTTGTAAAGTGAATGATATTTAATGATCGAGGTATCAAAAGATTTTTTCTGTCTATTATGAAGATTATCTCTCTATCTATTCACCTGATACACCAGAAATAGTAATCATATTATACCCAAGTCGGTTAATGTGTGTAATTTTGTCCTAATAAAGAAATTATAGTGTTTATACAAATACGATTTGTCCGTCGTTCATAAAATAATAACAATCTACCCTAAAACTGTGCTATCCTAATAACGCACTATGTATATAGCCCGAAGTTTTCGGAAACAATAATTGTTTTGGGTCGGAAGTCATATTGAACATACAAGTACTTGCGGAACTCGCTAAGTGAGGCAATGTCGCATTATTTAATATTATTAGGGTTATTAAACGCCCTCTGTCGGTCAAATGTCACTTGAATAGGACTTTAAAAAAAACATTTTGTTAATCAAATATAAAAGCGTTATTGCTTAGCTTAAATTAGCTGCTATAACGTCAGAATATGGCACAGAAATGATCGTATTCACGCATATGCATTATGTGTAATCTAAATGACAGCCTTGGAATAGTCGGTTTTATAAGTAAAAGTTTTTTAAATATTCATTTTACATACAATAATTTTAAGGTTATTTGCTCATCCTTTACACAAAGACAAGAATCGAGGAGCGCTAACAGCCGCGTATGAAAAGAAACAAGAAATATATGACGAACTAAAGCAAGCGAAAGGTGAACTTAAAAAAGCGAAAAGTATTTTACAAATGGACGATTTAAAGAAACGTAAACGTGTTCTTAGACGAATGGGATATTGTACTATGTCTGATGTTATCGAACTCAAAGGGCGAATTGCCTGCGAGCTCAGTAGGTAAGTGCTATTCCATAGAGTTTTGTTTTAATAAAAAAATAATTTTACATTCATTTTTTACGTAAGAAAATCCCACTAAGGGGTTTAGTGTTGCTACCTGAAGACCCACACCACAGATTGAATTACTATAAACTAAAGACTAAAGAAAAAAAAACTTTTGCATCTATAATACTTTCCATTTTTAAATTTACTTGTGAATTGGTTGATTGCCTCGACCAATGACACGCAATCCGAACTTTGCTCATTTGTAACGTCAAGTTCCTTCCAATTATAAATCACTGTAAGCAACGGCAATAAGTATGCACAGTACTTCTTACATTAATACTTGTAAAAAGTGATCATGTTCTCGTGCTCCCCTACCGCTTTCAAGCGCCTCTTAAAATCGTTGTTGTAATTGTTTTGTCTTTTGTGTATGTACTCTAAATTGCTGTGTTTACATTTTCGTGCCTATTATTGATTTCTGTTAGTTTCGTTACTCAGACCTTTAAAAAAAATCCATAAAATAATCTAAGGAAACTTCACACGTTCGTAATTATAACTTTTATTGTATTTGTGATGATAAATAAAATAAATCACGTGATAAATAAATTACCTTAAAATGTTTTTATACGCTTCAAGATTGTATGAAAATAATTTGTTTAATAATTGCTTTAAAATTACTGAATTATAAACAAACCTAATACTTTGGGTTGATATGATTAATTTTCCACAGTGCTGACGAGCTGTTACTGACAGAGTTAATATTTAACGGAGTTTTCAACTCATTGACACCAGAGCAATGTGCAGCTTTAGTAAGCTGTTTTGTTTGTGACGAGAATTCGACGCAGGCTTCTGCCACTGGCGAGGAGTTGAAAGGTGTTTTAAGACAATTACAGGTTAGAGATTTTAAAATACTAACATATTTATCACAGATAAATTTCTCCTATTAAATATACACGCGTGTTTTGTTATTATTAGTTTCATCACAAAATTCATTGCGAATTAATAAAATAATCATTGACACATACCATAAATACGGAATTATGCATAAAACAAAAGAAAACAAGTTTATTCTTTTTTAGCTATTTTTCTAAACCTATGTTGACGATATTATTATTATCTTTAAATTATAACTTTTCATAGTTGCATACATAAAACAAACGGTAATTCAAATGTATACTAATTTATCGTTATGAATAGGGCTTTTCATTTGTGATAAAAACGGGTATCAAATGTGCTGTTGCGAGTAATCTATCTCCATGTAATATTTCCTCGACTAGCGTTGCATTAACAAGATTTTATTACACATAGTTTAAGACTTTTAGGACTAGAGTACTTACTTATATATGTAATAATAATAACATTTTATTAACATCACAATAACACTAAACATGAGAAGAAGAAAAAATACGACAAAGAACTTACTGCAAAAAGCCGTTTCATCCGGTCAACCCAGACGTAAAAAATACCAATTTAAATAATAAAATAGAGAATATATTTATGTTGTAATTTACATAACCATAAAACAAAAGTTCATATATATTTAGTTACAAAAGACCCAAAAGAAATTTATGCGCTGACTACTTTTGCCACAATATAGCTCTAATATAGTTTATTATGTTACAGGAATATGCTAGAAGAATTGCAAAGATATCTATAGAAGCCCATATGGATTTAGTAGAAGACGAGTATGTGGGCAAATTCAAATGTACGATTATGGATGTTGTACTCGCCTGGGCCAAAGGCGCGAATTTCCTGCAAATATGCAAAATGACAGATGTTTTTGAAGGTAAAAATATTAGGTATAATATAAACGTTTAGTTAATGAGTTTTCGTGTTCACAATATACAAGGAACTATAATTAATTGATTTATTTCTGATTAATATTTACGGTTACTAGCGAAGCTTTTTCTTAATCTGCCATTAGGGAGCGTTCAAGTATTAAGTCACGCAACTTTTGGAGATTATTGACCCCCCATGTAATGTTTTTTTCTGTACGCAATAGTAAAACGTTTCGTGACCACCCAGTGACTCTTTATACCTAAAAGTTACCATTATGTGGTGTAAAGTACTGGAAAATCGAATATAATATTAACATTAACTCGTAATTCAATCCCCGCCCCGTATCGTAACCTTTTACAAAAGGATCCCCCCCAAATTCGCTACGTAATACTTGAACGCTCCCTTAGATTTAATTAATACTATGAATTTTAGCTTAGTGAACGATTAATGTTTAACGACACGCTAAGGACGTCCACAAATGGGCTATTTGACAAAAAAAATTACCAAGAAAACCAATTATTCGTTAGTGACTGGAATCTATAGAATTATATATGTTTTGTTTTAAATAATTCCAAAGCGCCAAAACGATTCTCTAGGCATTATGGCCATGCCGGTAAACACGTAAACAAACTTCAAGGCTTTTACGTGTTAACTATTATTCTTAAACTACACAAATACACATATTAATTTTTGATCAAAAACATCAAGGAAATTAAACTCCGAGAGGTCCTAATACTGGACAGGCGAAGGCATGGTTTTGTGTCACGTGACTGTCAGTCCCGTCATAATCATTAAAACTCAATATTTGTAATAATGGATTTTAGATAAATTAATATAATTTTACGCTTTATAAAATCATTATTAATTTTTACCTAGGGGCCGTTCAAATATTACGTAAGCACTATAAGGGGGAGTCTTTGATTTCCATATTTGGTGATTACGTTGACAGTAATTATTACATTATTTTTTTACACATATTACCCACTCAGTGTCTATGCTTGAATTGCATTTTCGATGATTCCTACAAAAATTCATACTTTTATGTACTATTATTTTTGAGAGCTTTGCTTACGTTTGCTGACAAGAGGGGGGGTTAAAATTGCAGTAAATCTGTTAACGTAATACTTGAACGGACAAATACTGACACAGCCAATTTTACAATTTTAGATATAATGATATAAATATTATTTTAGGTTCAATAATCCGTTGCATGCGTCGCCTAGAAGAGGTATTACGTCAGTTATGCCAAGCGGCCGTAAATATTGGTAACGTTGACTTGGAGAACAAATTCAGTGAAGCCATTAAAATGCTCAAACGAGACATCGTTTTCGCCGCCAGTCTTTACATGTAGTTATTACAATAACATGTAATTATGTTTTATAATAAATCATCACTTTCTCTATATATTTTGACTTTCATTTATGCAAGGATCCATAAAACGAAACAAAGTATTGAAATAAATTTTTCATTAAAAATATTTATGTTGAATTTAAATTTATCGCGATCTCTTTCCTGCTCTGCATGTGAGAATGTAAAACGCAAGACAAAGAGAAGCATTCTATTGTGATTGGTCGAACGGGCCAATTTAGAAGTTATATGATGCAATGTGACCATTATTATATTTGCCATACTTTATGTCTGTTTTTATGTCTTTTTTTTCGCCTCTTCCCACAGGTATGGCATTATCAGACATATATTTATGATCATACAGGGACTGTTTAAAAATTTTTTAGGCTGGTGCAAATCGTTTAGCAAAAAAAATGGCTGATTTTCGGCGGTATGGCGGCCATTTGGAACCGTCGCTGAAAATGGCTGCACGACGATGATTAACTGTACAAAAATTAGCCTGGTACAAATGGTTGATTTTTTTTTATTTAACGCATTCGCGTCGGTATGGCTGGCTGTAAGTCACACCGGAGAAGTAGGTTTGGTATGACACTACCGCATCCTATTTTTTCTAACGGAAAATACTAGAATTTTTGTGGAACAAATCGTTCCACAAACGACACTCGTAATTAATCCGACGAGTTCGACTAACGCCCACGCGATTGGGCCGCCGGTACCAGCGCTATGATAATCATTTTTCTTTTTTTCATTGCGTATTAAGAACCCCTGAAGAACCGCCATACTGGTACAAATGACCCAAAATTTTGTGTCACTATCTCCCGGTCTATAATGACATGAAGCGCGTCAACGCATATTAGAGTAGTGATGCCGTTGAACATTCGAATTTTCGTTCGTAAATTCGTTTCGTATTTCATTCCCAACCCTTGGAAGAATTATCTAACCCTTAATTTTAGCTTCAAACTGAACATACTGTTTAAATAGGACTAAGGTGATAAAGAAAACACACAGACACAATGTTATAAGAGAACTTTATTTATTGTAATTACAGTTTATCTATAGCGTGAACTGGCAAATAACAAAAAGAATATTTGTCTAGAATTACACTAGAGAACCATTTTCACAGTCGGCCGTGTCATAGACAACAATTATAATACATCCACTAATCAAACAAACTGACGGCGACATTGACTCACGAATTTTCAATTAACCACAAATTTCGAGTATTATCTAAATTCTAGAAGCGTTAACGAGGGCACGATAGTATATTAAAAGGATGAAACCGACGGATGTGTTTTTTTAGAAAAGTGATTACACCGATGAATCGAATGTCGTACATCACCGTCTTAAAACTTACCACGATTACAAATCTTATTAAAATATTTAAGAAGACCTCTTTCAATGGCGCACTGCAAAACAATAGGCTAAATAATTGAGTTTTACTCTATCCTTTTATTTCTCTACTTACGCTACGATGATATATATGAAGCTACTATGGCGGATTTGGAAATTATCCTAGATTGACTGAGGCCTCCTTAAAACGACTTTAGGACAACAATCGAAAATATACAAAAAATCGCTTATTTAGTATTTGGTGCCTGATTTGATATGTCCACGAAATAAACACGAAATGAATACTAACCGTCTAGCTATTATTGCGTAACTAAACGAGGTATCTTTTGTGTCTATGATAGAACTAAGCCCGCGCTGTGCAACTCGAAATATACGCACGCGAGCGTCCCTATTCTATAGAGTATACACTATTATTATCAATTTAATACTTAGTTAGAGTAAACACGCCTCACGACTGCTATGGAAGACTCGACGCTTTCAAGAAGCACTTTCAATACATTATTCGTTAACACTCACTGGTAGAAACGATTACATGTTTATTGACTTCTTACTGTATAGTTTATACAAAATGTACAATATTTCAAAAGCTTTCTTCAACAACACTGTAAATACATAAGGATACAACATTATGAATAAAATGGAACCACTGACAATCTCTGGAATGCCCAAACGTGACTACGTTTGTGACTACATTCCCGAAGGAACGCTATTTACTTCACATTATGAACTATGTACGAGGCCATATATTTATCTATGATACATAAAAATCGTTAATTAAATTGTATGTTGCAACGGAATAATAATAATCAAAATTATGTTCTACGTAAAACTATTATTCTCTGTAAATTTTTTTGTATCCTATTAGTGCTCTCTTTATATGCCATCAAAACATGTATTTTCGTTTTAATGGGCTTGCTTTTGTCCAAGCGAAATAATATAATTGGACACTTGAAATATAATACTGCTGTATTTGGCACACAATGTGGTAAATACTAAGTAATTTGTACTATTTCAGAGCTTTGCGGACATTTACATATCATATTTTATATATAAAAATGGACAACAGCAAGCACTTAAAGTTATACACTTAGAATACCATCAACGGTTAATTTTATACAATTACAATAGCAACAGTATAGACAAACAAATTGTAGTGTAAATGGATAAAATGCTATAGCGAGACTGATACTTCACAATAATTTAGAGTAACATTATTTATTGAATTTAGGAAAATAACGTTTAATAGACCTCCATGACATATGTAAGTACTTCTGCTATATAAATTGTAAATGACCAAAGTTACGTTTAATTTATATTTAAATTAGTGGCACACGTTATGCGTAGGCCATCAAAATAGTAAATATGTACAATAAAATACGAGAACTTTCATTTTCTCTCAAATATTATTCAAAGATTAGGCGTGAAAATCCCTAGCAACTACTTAGTGAAATCACTGCAAGGACACCGAACAGTAAAAGTCGTTGAATATATTAGACCATGGAAAGTTTAACTGAAAGATTATATCTTAAGATGGATATCTCATTATTTTCTCATAGATAAACATTATCTTCAATAACACGATGTCGCTCACAGCAACAACTTAATTTACATAGGCACACATAAAATAATACTCTATTAATGAAATTTAGCTCTATATACATAAAGAGTATATTTTCAATAAGTTTGATCTGGAGAAAAAACTGAATCATGATCAACACAGGTAAATTTTTCTAAAACAGTAATTACTTTAGGTTAAATCATTTATCACCTATTAACATCTCTATAATTTATAAGATCTCCAAGTTAATCTTTAATTAAATTTAACAAGATATTAGTTACCTACCTATACGCAAATGCATCGTAGTTATAATATGAGAACTGAACAAAGAGGGAAAACTTTCTAAACCGTATCTTACCTTAAAATAAATAATCCTGTCTCAAAACAAGATCAAAAGTTCACTTGGTCGGACCAAAACTTCAGTCGATAAAATTGATCAAAACTCCTAAGCATTTCACGTAGACTATACTGTAGTACTCGGTCTTAGACATTTAGCTTTTCTGGAAAATAACTCCTCATTACTCGACCTCTTAAAAAGTATTTTCAGAATATAGAAGTGTAAATTATTTCCTGAAAACGTCTACCCATTAGAGTATTACCAGACATTGGTTTACGACAAAATCAGTCCAAGCATCGTCCAACAACACACGCGATTCGAACACAACGTACATCGACTCGCCGAGCTTTCTTGATCTAGGTAAAATGATAGTGATATGAAATTCGATATGGTAATGGAAAGCTATTGCGGTCGATTTAAGGGCGGGATAGTCACGTGACGAAAGAGAGGCATAGCCGCAGTAATAGAACACAAGACAGTGCGGTTGCTGCTTCCAATCGTCCGGCGCGTCCACAGGACTGGATCTCGATTTCCTAAAAAAAGGTACAATACATTTTAATCGGGACTTTTAGAATTATTTTTGAAGTTACTGCCTTTGGCGCGTTAGGGAAAAATTATGAGAGTTTGTGTGAGTGAGAAATTTTTACGATGCGCGCGCACACCGACTCCCTGAAGTTAGCACAGTCCATTTTAAAATAAAAAATGTCCATTTCTGTAATTATATAGAAATATTTTTTTTGTGATATTTAAATAAACTTTATTTAACTAGATAATGCGTTATAATAAAACTTTCTATGTACTAAATACCTTTTTTTTCTATTGTTAGTGTAATTTTTTTGTAAAAACGTAGAATAAGGCGAAAGATAAATTTTTTATTACAATGATTTTTATCGTGTTACGCCAAAGAAGTTTACCTTCTAACGCATGTACATAAGTACACACACATGTTTTTTTAAATGTATTTAGCTTTGTTGATATTAATTGCAGCATGTGAACCTGTACATACACTCAGTACAAATAAAATTAAAATATTACAACCAACCTCGGGGTGGTAAGAGACGCATGAGCGAGGCCTGCGGCGGTGCGAGGCGCGCGGGGGGCGGCGACAAGCAGCGCGGGGCGGTGCCTCCCGAGGACGGACGTCCAGTCTTTTCGCACCGCATGGGCACAATGTGTCTACTACTAACAGGATCAGGTTGCTGTGCGGGATCTTCTGCACGCTGAATGGCCTGGAAAATATTAAATTGGTATAACAAATGTCAATCACCAAAGCGTTAATCATGCGTTATGGAATACAGCTCTCCTTCTATCAGTATAATATAAGCTTTTAAACTGGGATTGGATTAAATTGAGTTTCTTAGTATGGTATTTGGTTTTCACAACTCAAGTCCATTGAAACTTACCTTTCGCAGCCAGAGTTATGGCAATTAGTCAGTTTCCCTTTCAGCGGTTGTGCTGCGTTTAGCCTCGTCGATTGTAGTGTGAAGAGCTCAGCACTAGTATCGCAAGGCCGTACAGCTGCCGATCTTGCAGCTTCCCGTGGAGGTTCTCTTGGCATGTGAGGCGGCGGAGCGCTAGGCTCATGATTAACATCACCTACACCGTCTATAATGATCTCGTACGTGCCATGGTCTCGCTCTAAGTCCTCTTCTCCTTCATAGTCTTCGTAATCTATAGAATGCCCTAAGGGATCTCGTTATACTGTTTCGTTAATTCGTATAATTAAGAAATTAATGGTTAATGTTAGAGATAGTAAAGCAGTTAAATTCATTACTGTAACTCATACATTTTCATTCTTATACAGTTTTTGTAGCGCTAACGGGGAGGAAAATCACTAATAATGAATTAAACTGGTGCTCACAATACTAGTTGGATCGCAAGTGCAATATAAAAGGACTTACCGCTTTCATCTTCCGTATAAGGATGAGCAACAACAGAATCCCATAGAGGATACCACACTGCTAACAAACGAGTTAAATATCCACCGAGCCAAGATAACGGTTTCATTGGTGCCAACTTATTTCCGTCCCCACTGAATTGGTTTCTGGAATCTGGACACCGCCCTTGGTGGTCGTGAACTATAACTTTTTTGTAGATTTTGTCTTGAACCAAAGAATCCATTATAGTCCCGTCCACCTGTCCGAAGAATCGTCCTGTTTGTGATACGTCCTCTGATAGAATGATAAAGCCATTATCATCTAAAATGTAGCAGTCAAGTTCGTCCCCAGCACACGTCTTTTTGCAGACACTTCCGGCTGTGCACTGGAACAGAATAAAAAGTAATTTAAGAGCGCTGAAGGCGTGGTATGGAAAAAAAAAGTTTTTTTTTTAATTCAGATAATTACCGTTGATGTTACATTCAGGAAATGTTTAGCCAACGAATCTAGTTGAAAGTGCAGACCCACTACCGCAGCTGGAGCCCTGTGGCCCCTTGATTCTACAAACACGGCGTGAGTCGCGAGCACTAATGGCGGCTTGCCATTGAAGTCATCTGCCTCAGAGCCATCACGAAATGGCACCGAGAACACAAAGCTCTCTGGCTCGATAGAGTGATGTTCTACTGCGCGACGATACCATTCAGAATCAAAAGATCGCGCGTATTTCTCGCTAAAATGTCTGAAATGTAATTTATTTATTTTATTTATTCACACTTTGTTGCATTAAAAAAACACAAATAAGACAATACATCAAAATTATAAGGGATGCAACGGGTGGCCTTATCGCTTCCAGGCAACCCTATAAAGGGAAAAACTAAAAAAAGAAATATGATGAGTAAAGTGCAAGAAGGGCATAAACAAATTTTATATAAAAAAAATATGGAACCTTAATTAAATTTACCTTTTATTATTGTCATAAAGTATGTGATTGGATATGGAACCTAAAATATTGTATTCAAGTTCGTATGACCTACACAACTTAGATTTTATAGTGTTTATTTTGTTTTTGACTTTCATCAGCCTAGTCCTAATAAATTATAACTAAATATATCTTAGGTTGGTCGGTTTGTTTACGTTATAACGAAGTATTGTTCTTAGACTTTGTAATTTCCCCAAGAAACTGTTTCTAGTAGACATGTGTTTATTGCTTAAAATTACTCACGGATCAACAGAGTCGGTAGATCTCGTTGTGTTTAGATTTTCGGTCCACCTCAGAAGACCACTCCGTGTTGCAATGAAGGACATAGTGACCACGAACTTGTGGAATCGGCCTTGCCTGTAAAACAATAGTGTCTTAATTTCTATTTTATATAATTTAGTTAATCCATAGTAGGGAATTAATATAATTTAATAATAATTGAATTGCCACACTAGACACTAGTTTCCGCCCGCAGCATTGCCCGTGTGGGTTTCGTGTCTTTTGGCAATACTTTTTGAGACCTCTTCGACATTTGTCGTTATATTTCAGTTACTATACATTCAATCATTAATTATACACTTAAACATTGCTCAGGAATCAGTTATTAGTTGGCGAAAACTGTGTAAATATCTGTTCGGTCGTTTTTGAGTTTATCGCGTGCATAAAGGCAGACGCGGTCGAGGTTTCCATTTTGATAAGATGTAAGGAGTAGTTTTATTTGATAATTATCGTTTTGAAGTTGGAACTGTACTTGTGTTGAATGTCATAACTTAAATTATTTTATAAAAACAAAACTAAGCTAAAGTTTAAGTAAAATAACATTAATCGTTAATATTAATCTTACTTAAATGTAAATATCTTATTACGAGTATAACCATATTTTAATATATTAAATCAAATTATTTATTTACTAGCGACATAGACCGATTTTCTTGTAATATAAATATTACATTACAATAGTATGATATACTTTGCTGATAAATTAGACGGCGATAGCCATGGGCGGATCGTGAATTTGTGGGGCTCTAGGCTATTATGGGGAAGTCCCCCGTAATAGACGCGAAAAATACACCGACTGAAAACAAGCTACGGGGGGGGAATTTTCCATTCCGTTGGATAAACGCGCATCGCACAGAACCATACCAAACTTATGATTGAATGTTTTAAAATTTCAGATATTTTTTTTAATTCAAAACATCGCCTATTGTTTTCAGTGGGGACTTGGGGCCTTTTGTATCCGCGGGGCCCTGGGCCGCAGTCCTTTAGCCCTTAAGTAGATCTAGCGATAGACATCAAAATAATAAAACAGTATAAGAATGTAGACAAAATATTTCATAGAATTATTACATTTGCACATAGAAAATCCTTGGCAGCTTTTAAAAGGTGATTAGCTTACATCTATTTACCTGTTTCCTTGACAGCTGATTTTGTACTCAATAACTTAGTCTAAATAGAAATATACATATGTGTTGAATAACTTAATACACACAAAACATTATTTAATTAAAAGTGAATTACTAAAGACAGTCATATAATAATATAAACCCATAAATTAGCCAAGTAAGCTAGACTAGCCATTACCATAGACAGACCATAGGAGCTTACATATTGTGCATGTTACTCTTAAACTTTGATTTCATTTGAAGAAGTTTAAAATCATGAAAGGGGTTTACTTAGTATTTAAGTCTTCTAGCCCAAAATGCCGATAATTTTACGTTACCTTGTCAATAATGCCATTAATGTCGCTATCGGGCTATTTGTGTGACAAACATAAATTATTAGTGATCGGAACAGTATAGTGCAGTATTAAAAACATGCAAACTTAAAATTACTACGTTTTCTCGTTTCCTTAAAAAAATGACTGCATTCTTCAGATAAAAAGGCGAATTAAGAATGTTACTTTCTTCCTTTTCATATTTTAAAAATAGTTTGGAAAATCCAAAAGTGCACGCCTCATAGCGGTCATTCACATTTAAAAAAAATCTAAAACAAAAACTCTAGTTTTTTAAAACAAAATAACAAATAAATTATTATCTTTAAGTCTCACGCTACGAAGAATATTTAAACATACATATTTAGTGGCGCCATAACTCTAAGGTGAGGAACAGTCGTATTTTAGTTTTTTACAAATTATAATTAAACGACAGTACTTAGACCGCTAATATTAACTAGGAATCAGCCCAGGGTATAACTTTATATAATAAGAAAAAAAGTATTCTGGTACGATAAATTTTTCGACCAATTTCTCTGCCACATACATGGATCCATTTAAACACAGACTGACGGACGTCCATGAATGATTGATTTTAATGTTATTATTTACTATGTTAAACAAAATAATTGTTCTAAAAAATACCATATGTGCTTGATAGATTATTTAACTCGATTTTAGTGCACTCATATTATCCTGTAAGTGTTATATTAGTGAGAAAAGTCATTCAAGTTTCGAAAGACTGTGTTTTTTGACATGTCGAGAGTAGAGCACTGCGAGGCGTGCAACATAAGGACTTCCAAGTTTCATCAACAAATTATTACATTTGGCCTTCAGCCTTAATTTCTTTTCATGGTTAAATATTCTTTATAAATAAGCATGCTATATATCAAACGTTTAACTTACTGTGAGTGGTGGCTAGCATGTCCAGTATGTGCGTCCAATTCTTTTATTACCATTGCGTCTCGGACTAAGGACTGAACTAAAGTTTTATCGCCTGAAATCAAAGAAAACTCATATAGATTTTAAGATTTTTTTTGTAAAATAAAACGATATCCGTTGATTTGATTTGATGTTGCGATATAAGGGGTCACAATTACTATACCTGCTTATATTATTATAAGTTCTGTGTATATATAATATATGTAAATATATATAGTACTTACAGTAATAAGAGTCTCTCTCCTGTTTCTTATGCGCGTTGTGGAGTGTGAGCGCGCGCGGGCGCAAAGACATCCACTTCCAGCCGGGGCGGCCCGTCCGCGTCAGGAAATGTAATAATTGCTCCTCTGGAGAGTTGAAGGTTTGTTCTGACGTTGAAGCGTATTCGCAGTACACCCTAGAATTTATTTTTTATTAGGGATCCTCTGTTATTGACAAATGATTGATTGAACAATCAAGTAAATATAACGTCACTTTAATATAAATCATGATCCTAGAACATCTAAGGCTTGATTTATTATAACTACTTGACGGGTATTAATTGGCATCAATCCGTGGTATCTACCACCCAAGTCTACTATATACATGTTACAAATATACTTTACAGTTGCTTACCTTCTAAGTCGTACACCAAATTTAAAAAATACATATTTCCAATTAATACAACTTACCAGTCTGGATGAACTTTCCAGTTATCTCCCTTAAAATATTCTGTAACTGAAACAAAAACGTCAAGGATAAAGTAATGCAAGATGATAATTTTGGGTACAAGTTTTTTAAAACATTTAAAAATACATACTATTTATAGGACTATGCTTGATTTCCTGCTCCGCTTGCAGTTCGTACATTCCGTAGCCATCGGGCAACACGGCGGCGATGGAATAAGGAGTGTCTTCCACTGGGCTGTAGAAATATCGCTGGCGACGCGTTGCTACTCGTCGCATACCGTCGTATTGTACCTTTACGCCTATCTCTGTTTCACCCTCTCGCTGCTCTATCATGTCGTGGCGCAGCTAAAATTGTAATTTTAATTTTAATAAAAATACAGAAAGGTTACGAAACCTCAAAGTTTTTATTGTTTAAGAAATAAATAATATCAAGACAATGTAAACAATAATTTAACGTAATTTACAACTTACGTCAAGTAAAAGGGAGGTAAGATTAACACGGGAATTCTCATCGGAGTCGACGAGTAACTCCACGTCTGTGAGGTCAATGCTTGAATATAGCGGACGCAGCGTCTCTGTATACTAGAATAGAAGTTATTGAATTACGAATTTGTGATAATTATAAAAAAATAATATGTATTCGTTTTAATAATAGTTAATAATTAGTTTTTTTCCATATCTATAACGCTATTATTCTCGCTAATGGCCTCTGTCAAAGTGCCCATTTAACAGGCATCTCTTAGGCTCAAAAAAAAGACGGCGTGTGTCAGGCACAGATGATATCCTACTTGCTTGAAAAAAACAAATGATCACGAAACAAGTACAGACCTAAGGCCCAGACCTTAAAAGATTGTCGTGCCACTGTTTTTTTCAGTTGACACTTATTAAAAACATAAATTATAAGAAAGATTATATTTAATAAAACACTATTTTGACCGGATTGAAGTTATGTATTATTATAAATTTACAACTATTTAACATAATTTTAAATAGTTGTAAATTTATAATAATACATAACTTCAATCCGGTCAAAATTGTGTTTTATTAAATGAATAAAAGTTATGTTAATCAAAGACAAGATAATATTTACCTCCTCGTTCGTATACTGTAACCAAAATTAAACGCATATCAGGCACTATTTATGAGTTATTTTACTATAAAATTTAATCAATTTGTAATTTTCTGTGATGATAATAGACATCAGTTTTTCGTTAAAGCAATCACATAGGACTGGGTTTAGTTTTTCTTAGAGAAGACTAAAAGCGTTGGCAATTTCATATACATTTTAATTTGTCAGAAATTTAAAATGAACATGTATTTATATATACAGCAGTAAAAATAAGAAATAAAGGCGCTATCATTAACAAAAGTCAAACACAGATTAGACAGATTACATAACCGAGTTAGAATGAATATGTAAACAAAATCATATAATTTTTATTTTAGTACAATGATAAAATCTTACCAGTGGTCTCAAATCTGGATGATATAAAACATGCCCGTTGTTATCCACCATGAAGGAGTAACCGTTTACTCCAAGCTGCAAATAGAATATTGCTTTTATACAATAATCCAAGCAATTATTATCTACGTTCACAAACGGCTCAAATATGAAGTGACTGTTTTCTCCTTATAAATCTCACGTAATCTTGCAATTTATGACATGTTCTTTAAAGTTGAACTAATTCAGGCTTAAACAATATCATAAAAGTCTTGAAATGGTTTCTTCTACTTGGAATAACTGAAAGACGTCCCCACGCAATATTAGAATGGCACTTCTTCTTTGTGTACCGTAAACGACGTTTTTATAAGATTTGAAAGAAAATTGCGATACTATAGAACTAGATTTGAATAAATATTGCAATACAGCGAGGAAATGAATGACATCATTAAAGGTGTACTGCCACACCAAACGTTTTTAATTTATTTTAGTTTTAGTATAATATTATTACGTAAGTAAGAATATTGTAAATACTCTAAATTTTAATTAGATACTTTTCATATATGTATTTCCCATTCATAAGCATATCTGTTCAGAATGTGCAAACACCTGTAAACCCCCACCTGTTTCTTAATCTTTAATCTTTTTCCTTAATCGACAAGAAGGTTCTTTGTGATTCATCCCGAAACAGTTACTGTTTCGATTGAAATTCAACTCTGGACTATGCGCACTGTGTCATACAGCCCTTCAATTTAATGAACAACGAGATCAGTCTAATTTCACCGTTTTGACTAAAATACTCTTTTCGACACAGCGTGAACACAATTATATTGAAAGATACGAAAGTGTACTTTAATTAAAAGAGTGAAAGTGGAGTGATTTAGTTTTTATGAATATAGTCTTACGAATTACGATACTTTGTAAATTATATTACCTTGTATGGTGCTACGAGCTTCTTTATTTGATCGACGGGAACATCGGTACCGACTACACCAAGTAGATTGGCTTCTCTTTGCTGGAAATAACTGATTATTAGGTGCCGAACAAATAGGAAAATATTACATCACTTTATTTGTATCCATAAATATCTAATAATTCATTTGTATATGTAATGTATGTATTTAGTATCCTAGTAATATTAGCATTACCCTCTATTATTATTTTTTTGAAAAAAAAAAGAGATTTTGCTTTTACGACACTGGGGCGAAAAAAAATACAATTGCACCCAAGGCTTGGCTTGATAAAACATTATTCGGACTCTGCACCAGGAAAATCAACCATTGAGAAGTGGAAGTTCGCCGTAAATTATAACATCTCCTTCACTGATGACCAGTCTTCATGTTAATCGTGACTGAGTCGCTTCTGAGAACTTTATTATGAAGGTGTAGATCAGCAGAGCAGTGTTGGCCTAGTGGCTTCAGCATCCGACTCTCATCCCTGAGGTCGTAGGTTCGATCTCCGGCTGTGCACCGATGGACTTTCTTTCTATGTCCGCATTTACATTCGCTCGAACGGTGAAGGAAACATGGTGGGGAAACCAGCTTGCCTTAGACCCAAATACTCGACGGCGTGTGTTAGGCACAGAAGGCTGATCACCTACTTGCCTGTCAGATTGACAAATGATCATGAAACAGAACAGAAATCTCAGGCACAGAAATAAAAATTGTAGCGCCATTGGTAGATTACTTACGGTATGGTTCCTCCGGTCGAAGATAGGTACTGTGACTGACGTCATCAGCTGTCCCATCCCGTCGTCGTCCAAGCTGCTACTCTGTAAGAAACATTTAATTTATTGCATAGTCACGTTTTATCGCAAATTTTCGCCGATTGAATAAAGTAAATAGTCAATAAAGAAATAAATATTGAATGATGATGGAACATAAAAATGATATCATACCCTCCCTCCCACGTAAACGGGACTCCAGTGGACCGGGTGTATCGTCTGGTACATTACCAGTGGTCTCGCCAAGACTTCTACGAAGTGAAGGACCTTGGCCCGGATCTCGCTATGGTCGTTAATTGTCACGTGGAAACCTGATTTAATTAAATATATAAATTGCATTGTTTTAGAAGAAATATAAAACTGAATATTATAAAGCTAAAAAGTGTTTTTTTTAATAAAACCCCTTTTAGAATTTCTGTTGCGTGCGCTACGTAAACGGTGTAACTTAAAAGTTTCGAAAAACCCGCGACAAGGTTTTTAAGGTTTACGGGTTTTTGGTTCTACGTTTTCTATGGTATTCAGATTTGTTTTATAAAAATTATTTTCCAATCTGTTTTTAAACACGATATTAACCATTTTTACGATTTCATTCAGTATCTTACGCATTAAAATTATGCAAAAATCGTAGGGAACATACAACTAGTAACATAAAGTAACGTTTGCAAATTGCCCAATATAATTTAATAAATATATGTATATAATTTCACACTATACATAATTAAACATTTACCTTTATTTGTACACGCCATGTCTTTCATATTACTTCCTGAAGTAGCGTCACCACCTACGCGGTACGTGAATATTCTCACGGGCATATGTGGCCAATTCCACGCGCGGAACACACCCTTCACCCCACTAGCCCCTCCCCCCGCACCTATAACAGCTATCGCCTGATTGCACTGGCAACCCTGTCCGGTTCGATTGTACTGAAAATAATTCACTATTCTGAAAATAGTTCTAGACGGAAAGGTCGACGAACTGATTCAGAGCTCAGATTAGTGTACACCTAAATAGCTACGATTCATTCAAATCTATAAATTGTATTTAAGTCCATTAAAACTTCGTATTACCATACCTTATTGGATTATGCTCTGATCAAAGGCGATTCACTGAATTTATTTATTTAGTTGGGACCACGAATGTGTAACTTGGATGAATTTAATATACAAATGTTATTACCCTTTGAAGGATTTCGAAAGCTGTTGTGAGAGCTCCGGTTAAGTTAGCTGCACCACCAGACGGCTCAGCTCCCCAGACTGCACTTTTCAGCTCACGTATCGACTCCGGTACAGCCTATAAATACGTTATATTTTAATGTAACATTCAGCACATTTTTATGTTACTCTATTAATGAGACCCACATCGTAGCTTTTCATAGGTAGGCAGATATACAATTTATTTTAGTAGGCTCGCCGGTCTTTTAAGAATAAGTTCGCTCTTTCCCTGTCTTATTCTTAAGTCAAAATGGTTCACTATGGGCACCTGGTTTCACAAAGTGATGGTGGGCGGCAGTCTGTTAAAAAGCTGAGTTGTGAATGTATAATTCCTATACCATATTTGATCTGCTTTTGAGTGATTTATGTGAGTAAAAAATGGTTTCTGCGACTTAATTAGAATTTTGCCGAAGTATAAGTTCTAGCGACTATTAAGACCAATTTTCTATATTCAAGATTGAATATCATAAATTAATTGTTATGTATAGGTACTATTTTACAGAAAATATTGTATCGTGCAGCAGTTAGTAATTGCGCACTCGCGAGCAACAATTTCTAATTCTACGATGTCGATATTTTCTCGACAACCTTCATACTCGTAGAAGAGGTCAAGGATTTGTGTCATCCATTTAGATACATTTAACTCTTATGTGCAAATAAGAGCACTTAAACAAGTAACTTATAGTTATATACGCAGTTACGATGTTAATAATAATAATAATTATGAAAAAACATTAAATTCATTCGTTCAGATGTTAATTACATGCCTAATCAATTTAAACTGCGGCATAAAGCTTATGTTAATAACGCAGCGTATGAGTCTGCAATGCTGGCGTGCTTCTAAACTAAAGCTGCTTCCCGAGAATACATAATTAAGAGATGTTGCCGACCGAATACAGCAAAATAATTTATTCGAAAAATCTTCGTCATGCTAACAATATTATAAGGCTACGAAATAGTGGGTCTTTTTAGCAATAAAATTGGAAAGGGCTTTAAATAAATAAAATTATGTCGCATTATGTCGAGTTCCGTTTTTGGGTTGGTAGGCACTGAAAGCTGATCACCTATTAATTGTCTTAAAAATATTTAAAGACATGTGTCTACCACATTATGGACGGCTACTGTAATTATTTATTTATTGTTGTTTAAGAAGATTTACACCATTTGGTGTTATATGAATAATTGTTGTGCAAAAAAGCGCATCACATCTGCTCTGTCAAGAGTGCACCGGATAGGAAGAGAAGGAGAATAATTACGTCTCGTCGTCAAATACCACATACAGACACTTATATACTATGAATTTAAAGTACAATAATGAAGAAGTGTAATAAGTTTGTTAATTTCAGCGTGACAAGTCAAACTTGTTAGAAATACTCGCGTGTGCTTCGAGTTCTGGAACTCGATAAAGGCGCGGTCGCGACAACTACCTGTCAAAAGTGGGAACTTGCGGAATCTTCACGCTCGCGCCACAGATATCATCCAAACTTTCTACTTATAAACTGGGAAACACATTTTAGCGCTGTCACAGTTTTAAGAGAATGCTCTAGAAGCTTTCTTGAGAAGAACATCGAAATGAATGTGATGAAAATATATTTTTTTTAAATCACTGAAGTCTAAAGATACCTAAGCCTTTTAATGTGTTACAATTTCATAATATTGTTATAACCATGTTTTTAAGTATTTTTAAGTGTTTAGAGAACTTTTGGATCTTAATTTAATGCTAAATTGGACTTGACCGGGATAGTCAAATGTCAAGTGATCTGATCTCAGTAGGCACTTTTAATCTGTTGCAGTTATTACGTAACATCTTGAGACCACAACAAAACTTCCACTTAAAATGTTCTTTAGACGCGAACAAAATTTCTAGAGTCTTCAAAGAGCAAAAATATTCTTCGGAAACTGTGATAAATATCTGGAAATGTCTATTCGCTACAGATTTATGCCCCAGATATAAATTGCTATCTCTTATTGTAGCTGTGTCATCCTTCGGGGTATATAAAATGTATTATTATGTATTAGGTTATACTTTGTTTTTATTTTATGGGAGATTGTTGCTTTGACGTTTATGCCGTGAGTCAGTTTTGGGGAGTAGGCATATCTTCTATTTATTTGTAAAAATATCAGTGGCGCCTTACCTCTTAAGCCTGCGATTTATCTGTTTCGTAATCATTTGTTTTTTTCTTATAGCCAAGCAGGTCAATCAAAAACGACAACGGCGTGAGTCAGGCATAATAAGCAATCAGCCTTTTATGCCTGACATACGCCGTCGACTTTTTGGATCTAAGACATTAGTCCATAGTTTCCCTAGGATATTTTCCTTTACCGCGACCGTGTAGAGATGCGCGCAACGAAACCCCTAGTCCAACACTGCTCTAATATTTACGTAGTGTATGATTTACGTACGAAATGAATCTATTTTTATAAATTAAATATTTTATAAAGCAGGATAGTGATAGATAGTAACTTAAATCTGATCACTGGACGTTGTGCACTTGAATTTTCCTTCTTCTTTTTGTCAATCAGCACTTTATTAGCATCATATTATGGCTTGGCTATAATAGTATAGTTACTCTTCAATGAATGTTTGCTTCAGTGACTGAAGATAATTCCTACTTTAGACATTATTTGTGTAACCTAAGTGGCAAGCAGGTAGTTGAGGTTCCATTAATCTCGCGAACGCCGCAAATACAACTTTTCACTTAAGAAGAACCATTTACAAATTTCTCAAAATATTCCATTAAGTTGGATGGACTAGACAATTGATGAATTCTCTTTAAAAAGATGTTCTGAATTTCATCGTGTTTTAAATTCAAACGGCGTCTTTCATCCTACATCAATTTAGTTACTATTCATGGGAAATTATTGTAATAAATTCTATTATTTTGTTTCTTTTATTCCGGCGTCAATTTTACACGATGACTAACTCGTAAAACTCGCCAATCCGTCTCTTGTAAGCCTCTTCAAAGTAAATTAATAAATATACCTTTGGTTGCTTTTTACACAACTTTTGGGACCGTTTATGAAATTGTATTTCAAAGGTTTGAAAGGAATGTATGATTCAAATATATAATTGCTGATACAATATAATAGAGCCACAGATTAAGCGTCTGATTGAATCCATTAAGCCAAAATACACAGGCGGCAGATGCGTATCAAAAAGTGGTAGCACGCAATATATGCATTTGTCTAGCTATTATGAGAATACAAATCAGTTTTGAATATTTGTTTCTTTTATTTTCGTTAATTTCTTTCATCATGACACCAAATCGGCTATAGGTAGGTCAAATAATCATCACATTACAAAATAGCCCAATTAAAAAAAATCATGGCTAAAAGAATGGATTATTTAACGAGAATCTTCCTTTAAAGTTGAATGTTTTTGTCATTTTTTTATAGATATAGTCTACGAACCACTATTTCATAGACTTATAATATAGTTAGTGTGATGAAGCTCTTTCGAATAATCGAACCTCTCTCGATTCTAAGTGATACTGCCCGCCCATGAAAACAGATACTCTCAATACCAAAGGGCTCGCGGGTGTGTTGCCAGCCTTTTAATAATTAGTACGCTCTTTTCTTGAAAATCCATATGTCGAATTGGTGCTGAAATATTTCAGCGGGCAACTGGTTTAAAACAGTGGTGTAGCAAAAACTGCCTAAAATAACGCCCAGTAGTGAAACGACGGACGTCGAGGTGATACGGGTGGATTTTAGTAGTCTGCCAGTACGTCCAATGATGAAACTCAGCTGCAGGTATTAATCCGAACAACTCCTCTGAACACTCTCCGTGGTAAATGCGGTTGAAGATGAAGATGACCCCACATATCTACGAAACGCTAAGGGATCAAGCCGCTCGGAAATATATATTTTTTTTAATCTGTTGCCTAAGAGGCTACATACCTGAGCCAAAATCTTCGTGTAGCACTGATGTAACTCCGATACAGTATCACTGTATCTATAAATATTGACAAAGTCATTAGGTCCTAGGGTATCCAATAATGCTGAGATTGTGATCTTCGCCAGTCTTCGATATGATGATCCCATGTCGTCAGAATCGTCCAGAAGGATGACCAAGTCCTTCGGTGATGTCGCTGCTTCCACGAACCAATTTGATGATCTGAAGTCGTAGAAGTCACGTGCGTGGTGTGAATAACCATCTTCCGGTGGCCAGGACATAGCTGTAAACAGATTCTTAATCAAGCAAAGTCATTGTTTAATCTAAAATCAATCAAAAATTATTGGTGTTATCACCTCTTAAAACTACAAAACGACTCAATGGTCAAACGATAAAATAATGCTCACATACAATAACATTAAAACAGAAATCAATCAATATTTAGTAACATTTTTATTATTCGTAACTAATTACTAAGAACTAACTTTTTTTTGTTGTTGAATAAATCTCCTTTTTGTAAGCCATTTATTATTAAATTATAGTATTTACCACAAATTAATGTTTACAAACCTGGATATCTTCTCATAAACCCGGACGACGAGGCGTAATACTGCCAAGAAAGTGTCGGGTCTATTTCGTAGTTATTAACGAATAGTGGATCCAAATGCTCAGACCATGCTATCTGGTTCTGCACTTCGGGATCTGCGACAAAACAAAAAGTTATCAATTAATTAATATAATGTAATACTAATTGTGTGTTTAAAAGTGTCACTAATGTTGTGTCTAATTTGTATGACTTAATTATGTTATTTCTAATTGCATTTCAAATATGTTGTTTTGCCAATATTTCACCGAAACAATAACTTTGTGGCTGAGGTTTAATTGAATAAATTGAGCGTTAATGCAGTATCCCGTAAAAAAAATATGAAATATGCATGAAGTGATCCAAGTTACGTATCGAGGCAAGAGCTTTTATGAAGCAATTAGGGAAATTTTTATTTAACTAGCGAAGCCATTAGTGCCCTGTAATTGGTGGACTTGCTTCATTGAGCAACACTGATTGCTTTTGCCCCGAATTAAGCGGAAAAATTAATGGCACAATTGCTTTCGAAGTCGACATTGAATCTATTGTACTGTGCTTGAAATCTTATTACACTATTCAGCAGGATCCTCTACTGTTCAAACACAGAATTTCACAATAGAGACTTATATAGGTTTTTCGTCTGAATGAATAGAAAATACGACGTAATTCTATATTGTTAAGAACTTATTTCGCATTCGAAACCAGATTTAAATTAAGTTTACAATTTTATAGAGAGCATTCCAAACATAAAGAACTTGTCTGCGGAGCCAAAACCCAATTAAATTGAGTTGGGGCATTGATTCTAACATGAAAACTTTTCGTTGCGCTGAAATTCTATATGGGCTAATTGCGTTAACCCAGATGAAAGCATAATGCAACGTTACAGCCTACATCAGTAATACGTAATTCGAATGCACTTTGGTTGGTTCGAATTAAATACGCAACACGATTAATTGTCTCTAGCCTCAACGGTGAATGGTTTGGATCCGCTTATTAATTCTTATTTAAAATGTCTCATTTTGGTACTAATAATGATGTAATTGTTTATTTTTACATAAAACGTATTAGTATTAGGCCATTCTTTTTTTGCAACCTTAAGAATATTACAACACAAATTGAATTTAGAATGTATTAAAGTCTAGTGTAAGGTTCCCCCCGATATACCCGATCATAGGATCCAGACTCAGACAAATAGGCCTTTTGAATTTCAATTGTAGTATTGCGACGGGCACCGAGCACGTTTTATACTCCATTTTGTTATTTTTATATTTGTTCTTGATTAGTAGTAAGTAAGTATAAAAAGATCCATAGACAGGTTTTTTAAGACATAACATGCAAATTATTCATTATATCGTTAGTATTGCATGATTAAAATAAATACTAACTACAATAAAAAACACAATGTATTACAAAAGTGACTTCTAATGATTGAGGTCACAGAAAAAATAGGTTAGACCGTTTGTTAATAAATCATTTCACCCTTTCACAGGCCTCCGCGCCCGTTGACAATATATTACGTATCATTATTCAGCGACAGGGGCCCAAACAACGCAAACAGCCCTACATTGTCACTCAATGTCATTTAAGATGTAAGTCTAATCAACATCTTAAGAGCTTTTATATGGAATTTTTGTGATTAATATGACGTTAAAATATGCTTCAAAATTATAGAATATTTTGAAGCATATTTATTACCTATCCACATCGTATCCCTAACTTTTGTACCTACTACTGATCTGAAATATCGTGATTCATGTGCACTTATTTTTCGTGTGTTTAATTTTTTATTTTATTGTCTGTTCACTGTTTACATTTGTTTTTAATTGCTTTGTTTTGTCTAAATAACTATACGTCTTATGTATTTTTGCAGTACTTGCGCTTATCTTATCTAATTTAATTTTTTTTTTCACAGTGGCCGCCAATTTCCCCTCCTTTTTATATAATTATGTCAATTGTATTATATTTCTGTACATAAATAATTATAATAATTTTGAGATTTTCTTCATTCGTTCGGGCTTATTTAATATTTTCACATATATAAAATTCATACCTAATGCTTAAACATTAAACAACTTGCATCATTACCATAACAAAATTTAAATCAAATTGTCATATAGTATTGGGAAAATTAAATAAGGAAAATATGTTATTGTCAGTTTTACTCACTGTAAAACTAATCTACGCCAAATGAACCCTTGAGATTCAAAATTTTCAATATCCTGACTTTGAGACTGTGCCCCACTTAGTACATATTTGATTGAAAACGAATTCAGTGGATATTGCATCCTCAATCGCAGACGCACTCAGCAACGTTATGTGCACTATAGTTCTCTTTAAAACACAATTTATGATATCTGAATATTTATCGAGTAACGAGAATTCTCAATCAATAACCATCAGTTTATAGTTACGTCGTAATACAAATTATTATAGTGGTATATAATTAATACAAAAAGTTCTAGTAGTTCTAGTAATAGCTTTGATGTTACAGAGTCGCGGTCGAAAGATAATAATAAATCAACTCGTGGAAACGAGCTTCGGAAACACTGGGATGTGTCTTAAAAAATCGATACGGCCAGAGCAGGGCTATGGACCTTTTCGCCTGAATAAAAAAAGGGTCCGTGTACTTATGTACGCGCGTAAGAAGTTATACTTCTTTGGCAATATTAAAAATAGTTTGGCTTTGTTCCACCTCCAGTTTTTGATGTTTCACAGCGATAAGATGAAAACTCTTTTTTTGTATTCAATTTAGTGCAGTTACACTGATTCATCAATTGTTTTTTGTCTCTTTTCCTTATATTTGCTAGATAAAATCAGAAAAATTACATGTTTTGATTAAACAATGTGGTTAATTTTTTAATCAAAACATTACTCGATAATAATAATAATACATACGGATAGTTAACCTCAATTGTATTGAAGCACTTAGGAAGGTTGATGAGCACAGTTTTTTCACAAATATTAATTAGTATTGGTTTAAATATTCAATTTAAATCACTTCTGATTATAATTCAAAAAGCATCGCTAAATTTCTTTGAAAAAATAATCAAAACTCCTTTATTTGTTTAAAAGGTAAATGACAAATGTCATTATGGTCATTCAAAATTGTTGGCATACGAACTTCACGCATATTCTATTTCTTTTTACTTGTAGATTGTCTTATTCCTATCTCGCTCGCGCACGCTATAATCACACTCCTAATTTTGTGTCACGGGTGCGCGCGCATTGTAAAATTTCACTCTCATAAATTTTTCATAACGCGCCTAAAGAAGTATAACTTCAAAAATGAAACAGATATAGAAACCTTATGAGTGTTGGTACTTGCACGGATATTAAAATTCTGTTCTTACAAGAAGTCATAACGAAATGCTATTATACTCTATATCTTTCCCACATGGTTATATTTTTACTATTTCTATTCTGTCCAAAAAGAGTTTGAATATAGAGCTCTTTGTACAACATTATTATTATCTATTAAAATTGTAAAACTCACCGTCAGTGTTAATATATGGTGGCATGAGCACAGCGCTATAGCTGGTGTTAACGGCGATGTGGTCAAAGTGACGGCTAGGAGCGAGCATGAGACGCCGAGCGCGCGCCGCTAAAGTACCATCATCAGCGTGGACATTAAGCCATCGAGCGTCGTAGTATGTACCAGGAGTACCATCTGATCCCCCACCACCAGCCGATAATGCGGCGGCCTCTGCTGAGTCCATTATACGCTGGAAAAAATCAATGTTAGTAACGAAATCGAAAACAAATACATAAACATTATATGTAGAATTTTTGAAATTGGAATCATAAATAGTGTTTCAGTGTTATCACTAACCGCAGATACTGACAATTCCTTAACTCATTGAGGTGTATGGTACGATTATAAGTCCATAATGTTATAAGGGACGTAAGGATTAATTTCTATGGGTTCAAAACCTTCAGCTTAGCTGTAATATCAATACGTTACGAGGTAAGGACCTTGTTAAGTTGTCAACGTTTGCACGGGCGTGATATAGGGGCTTTCATTCCGTTAATTTCATAAACTGTGATATATTCTATATGTTTGGTGTATATTAACCACAAGTTTCAAGCTTCAAGCTTCGTTCACACTGTATAATAAATAACAATATTGTGTATCAACAATCAATAGATAATAACAAACAGGAAAAAGTGTGAATCTTTGACATAATTTACATTTACCAAGTGGAAGACAACTATAAAAAAGTATTTTTAATGAAAAGGTATCATCGCTAATTCAATGTAGTTGAAGCTTATATTTGTTAGGAATATTGGTTTTATTATGAAAGGTAAGATGTTTAGATAAGTAATCCGTCAAATGATATATTACCGCTTGGAAACGTAGGTCACATATTATTACTACCTGAGTATAAAGAAACTATTTTCCTAGGATACTTTCATATAAGTGAATAATTAATTTTAATCTCATCATTAAAGATGGAAAGGCGCGTAATCAAAAGAAATTTTTAATGACACTGTAAATTCGGATATCCTTTATTTTGTTTCAGCTACAGTTTCATTAAGTGCGAAATGTAGGCGTCGTTTTTTCTTGGCGACGCCCGCAGCAGAGCAATCCCCACGATTTTTCAACTTTATTGTTGAGCTAAGTTCTAGGCGCTTTTAGCCCGGCTCTTGTTCGCTACTTATTATGATACCGCCTATTTGTGTTTCTTTTACGTTGTGCTATGCCATTCATAATGAAAATTCGGCTTTATCGAAGACACTCAGTGATCTTTGAGCTATTACAAGTAATCAAAATGCTAGTTGTCACCACAATGAAAATAATATGGTTTTCCAAACAGACCTATCTTATGGCAAGATTTATAAATATTATAAATTGGTTTAATGGTATCACTTTATTCATTGTTCACCGTTTATATAACATAGATGAAGATAATGCCAAACAATAAACATTCTTCACAAGAGTACAAATTTTCAAAATTCCTAACATCTGAAGTTGCAAGATGGCACGTAGTAGTGAACGCGAAATTAGCTAAGCGTTTCAAGTTGTTTGAAGTGTTTATTCGCAGTCTTAGCTGTCGGATTTGACATAATGTAATATGTCTGGCTCGATGAACATGCGGTTTGCGTGGTCGAGGACCGTGTAATCTCATTATACTAGAATTGCTTGGAAAACCCGCTTTGAATTATTTTGAGGTATCCTTGGCTAGACAACTTTATGGCTTGGTAAAATCTAACCCTCAAAAATACTAAGCAAATAATTTTATAATATAATCTCAAATCTCTTTTAAATATTGAGGTATTAAGGTATACAGTATGAATTAAAAATGTCAATTTCATTAATAATCAGCACCACGGACTAGACTTCGTATACCTAATCCAAAACCATTTCAAGCGTAATATTAAAATTCTGAATATGCATGTTTCAAATAGAAAAAGTTTCATAAGGTTCGGTTAGCAATATTGTGGCGACATAAGAATTGCAAAGGTCGTCTACGTTGTCAAAAACGTAATGAGATATCCAGGGTACGTTCACCCGGCCTTGCAGGCAGCTGACTCCATGCGTTCTTTGACCGTGGCCAGACAAAGCTATCAACAGTTTTATTACACTATCATTACATCTTACTATCGCATCATTTGATGGTATTTTTATTTCAAATTTCAGAAAATTCTGTCAAATTAAAAACCTTGATAGTTGAAGTTAGAAAAGAAAGGATTTGTAAAAATAAGGTTTACCGAACAACCCAACGACTTCCAAAATGTACTTATAATGCTTTCATTTGGAGAATTCACGTGAACCTACACTAAAGAAGGCACCTTTTTTCAAAATTTGTATTTCAGCGTTATATCTAATATATAAAATTCTCGTGTAACAATGTTCGTTCCCATACTCCTCCGATTCTTATGAAATTTTTTATTCATATTCAGTAAGTCTGAAAATTGGTTACTATCTATCTTTCAAATCCCTAAGTGATAAAGCGTGTCCACACCAAAAAAATTTTTTTTTAGAAAAAATGATTTGTTTTTTTTTTTTTGCTACAGCATTCAAAAATACATACAACCCCTAATTTTCACCCCAGATCGTATCAACCTCTATTTTTTATTATTGTAGATAGTTATTTTTATTGAACTAAAAAATGTTTTCTAGAAATAATATACGTGGCAAACCAACGTTTGCCGGGTCAGTTATTAATATATAAATTTAAGCTAAAGCTTACACTTTCTTAGAATTTTTAACTTTATAATGCACAAAATATTTGCTACGTTCCTAGTAATTACTTTACAGCTTGGCTCTTTGCCCTGTAATATCTTCATTTTTATTGAAAAATATGCTTTTGATACGAGTTTAAATTAAAAAATCGCGCGTATATTGTAATAGGCGTGACGTTTGTAACCTAGTTACATTATTCAAAACGGTTGCATTGCTATTTTACACAAGAGAATTTAATTAAATTTGGTCTAGCCGGATGCCTTAAACTGATTGGTCAACTTTCTTTTTTTCGTTTTACATTTTAATGGAACTTTTCAAACCCGTCTCACTTTATACGTATATGTGAACTTAACAAACACCTTATATATGATATGTAATGTTTAATTAAAATATTCATAATTCGTACTCATCAAAATAGACACGCATCGTCAGAATAAACAATCGACGCAATAAATACTACTAACATCATTCAATTACAGACTCGTAATAAAACTTTTTTAATATACCGCGCATTACCTAATCTCTATGAAGGTAGTGCAAACATCCTGAGCGGTTCGGAATATTGAGTAAGTAGCCTTGGGGCGCCTAAGAGGAAGAGAGATGGAGGCATCGTCTCAAGACGAATCAATACAGTCCACTTATACAAGTCGGGTGGTGCAGTAGATGTGGGTCACGCCAGCTGCACTCGCGGGATGGTATTTAATAACACCCGACAGATATTACTTGATCCTTCCCCCTATTTACACTGGAGTTTAAGTGGTTCCCAACACTAAGTGCGCTGTCGTGAGCATATGACGGTCACGCTCGATTTATTTTCAAGTAATTATTCTGGTATTTAATAGAAAATGTTGATATGAATATCGGTCTATTGTAGATAGGTTTTATATATAGTTAAAGTAAAAGCAATTTCGCTTCGACAATAAATAATCAATTTTTTAAAGCGCCTAACAATTAGTTACGGCGTGAAGACATTGGTGACAGAAAGACTTTCATACTTTAAAGTTTAATTGTTTCAAACTTGCCGTATCTCTAAGCGTTCAACTAAGAGTTCATTTATAAATTCCACAATTACAAAAGCTTTGTTACTTAAAATATAATATAATAATTAAATATAGTATATTAAGTGTAATATGTTAATTACAACAAAAAGTCAAGTAGATGATTAGCGTTTTGTGTCTATTAACATAGTGAAATATTTGTTTGGTTATATCGCATTAACCACTAAACCAAATGGCTTCATTAATTAAAATTTACTCTCAATGTTAGAACCCATTTCTGTTCTCATACTGTATGATCCAATCCTGTCTGTCACTAGTCTTCTCCAAGCAGCTGGTGTTTTGCAATTTGCTGATGGCAACATTAAGGTCGGTAAGTGCAGCGATAGTCTCCCTAAACCTCCCCCACATCCCTGGCACTGGGCGCCCTGCGGCATGCCTCGAGAATTTGGCGGTGCGCCTTCCAATGCTATACATACAGTGTCACACGTTGTGGTAGTTTGTAGTTGTTCTTGTACTAGTTTGATGTCAAAGAACGGCTTTGTCGACTAAAATTAATACTCCTCCTATAAACGTGCTTAGAATTCACGAGATAGAACGCTTAAATTTCGTCGGTAATTATTAGAGATTAATATTTATTACGTACTGACATTTTGCACTAGTTCTAACAACTTTACGTACTTTGAGTTGAAGAATTTGCTGAAAAATGTACTAATAAATGGCATACGCACAATGATTTTTGTTCTAAACGCTGGCTTATAAAATTTATAGTATAAAGTATATGTACTTCCTTAAAAAAAGCGATTTTCTTAAACATTTAAACGATCCATTGTAATAGTAAATAGGATTTTAAATGTCTAAAATAGTTTAAGTTGCTATTTCTATCTACGAGGTTCTTTTCGATTTGTACATTGTCTAATGAAAAAATTGCGAAATTATCGTAATACTTTCATCTGTAATTAAAGTGTTGGTGAATAGTTTTTGTGAAGGGAATTTTAGTATTCGAACTTCCTGTAAAATTATGCAATACGTATGTATAGCGTAGTACGTTATACGAGCCACAGGAAAATGGACACATTGACCGACATCCACGGTTTACGATAAGCTTTATTGCTTCCTGATAGAGCTGTTGGGTGGAATACAGCCATTTATTATAAAATATAATTATTTTTTATGACTATATTCACAGTTCATGAAATAATTGGAACCACCTTATTGGTCTTCGCATTTATGTCTTTTTAATTTGTAATTTCTACTTTAATGAAAAACTTGAAAAACCATATGAAACTTTGAAGCAATGCCCACAATTAATTACAATGATTCTTTATAAAGTATGAAGCCTATATTACTCTGATTTATTACAATCAATATTTCATCATCTTTAATTGTAAAATACGTAAGCTAACAGTAGTGTAATAAAAAAATAACATTTGGAAGACATAAGCGATATTTCTAAAAAAAAACGACTCTCCATCCGCCTTACGAATTTTCAATCAGGTCACGTGTCCTGACGCGAGTTTAATATTTTTTACCCATTCCAAAAAAGTGTACAACGCTGCTAAAGAAGTTTTCACTTAAAAATTATGACAGAATTAGTATATTAAAAATGTAATTTATATATTAGGTCCTTACATATGAAATTGGCGTTTTTCGTACTGGCCACTTTAATCACGATGTTCTCCTCTTTGGTAAGGAATTCCAAATTCCAATTTGTACAGCTATTTACTCATGTATTTGTGCTTCGATGACCGTCATTCATTTGTTTTTTTCTTCTGTTTTTTTCTGTTTGCGTCACTCATTTTTCAAAATGGAAAACTTAAAGTATCGCATTATTTACGAGTACGAGTTCCGCCGTGGCACTAGTGCTGCGGAAACGACTCGAAGGGTGAATTATGTGTATGGCGGTCATGTTGCAAAAGAAAACACAGTTCGTTTTTGGTTCCAACGTTTTCGTTCTGGAAATTTCGACCTGCAGAACAAGCCCCGAGGACGGCCTGAGACCCAAGTTGATAATGAAGTATTGAAGGCTATTGTGGAAGCGGATCCATCGCAAACCACGTCCGAGTTAGCTGCAGGCTGCGGTGTTAGTAATAAAACTGTTTTAATTCACTTGAAGCAAATTAAGATTAAAAAGCTTGAAAGATGGGTACCTCACGAATTGACTGAAGCAAACCGGCAAACGCGCGTCGACTGCTGCGTTACATTACTGAACCGGCACAATAATGAAGGTATTTTAAACCGAATTATTACCTGTGATGAAAAATGGATTCTTTACGATAATCGGAAGCGCTCAGTGCAATGGTTGGATCCTGGCCAGCCAGCCAAATCCAAGCGAAAATTAACCCCAAAAAAGTTACTTGTAAGCGTTTGGTGGACTAGTGCCGGTATTGTTCATTGCAGTGTTCTCAAATCTGGCCATACTATTACGGCTGATGTCTATCGTCAGCAATTGCAAACCATGATGGAAAAGCTAGCGGCTAAACAACCTAGGCTGGTCAATCGCTCCACGCCACTACTACTTCACGACAACGCTAGACCACACACTGCACAACAGACGGCTACCAAATTAGAAGAGCTTCAATTGGAATGTCTAAGACATCCTCCGTACTCCCCGGACCTTGCTCCAACAGATTACCATTTTTTTCGAAATTTGGACAACTTCTTGCAAGGGAAAAAATTTAACTCTGATGGGGCAGTCCAAATCGCCTTCACAGATTTTATTGATTCCCGTCCGACTGGTTTTTTTAGTAAAGGGATCAATGAACTACCTATGAGATGGCAAAAGTGCATAGAAAACAATGGTTCATACTTTGATTAATTAAATATATTATATTTAAAAATATTCGACTTTTTGTTCCTCCCATACAAAACGCCAATTTCATATGTAAGGACCTAATAGTTTGTGATACATCGGCTACAGCTATTGTAGGTATATTTAAAATACGTACGTGAAGTATATAGGTCCATTGTAAAAAAGTCGATAAATAACAATTAATTAAACAACAAGAAACAAATTGTTTAATAAACTCGAAATACAGATCATGTTTTATTTAATTTGTTACGTATTACTGTTGAGTAATCAACGGTGATTGTATAAACAGAAGCCCGTACTTAATTAATAATGGAAATAACAAGCCATTGTTTGAATAAAATTATATTGGTCCAAGGCAAATTCAAAAAAATAATGATAATATTTTTATTATTATCAAAATGTAATGCCTCAAATTTTAATTAAAGACAAATATTAATAAAACAGTTGTAATGAGAGCAACACTGGAACCTTTCTCATTAAAAATGAGTTCAGAGTGAAACCGTGAACCGACTGCAATCCTTTATGAAAAGATTTCTTTAAATTTTGAACTTTCAAATAGAGTTTTGTATTACCATTAATGAATAAAGGTTAAGAAATATTACAATAACTAGAAATTGCAATTGTATTCAGAAGCCATGCATATTTTATGACTTTATTTCTTATTGAACTTTCACTTACATTAAAAGTCAAAAGTAACAATACAAATCGCTAATAGCATATGAGTATAAGGATGCCGACTGAAAAGATTTTCATTTGCTTATAAACCTGAACGTTGCCTTACCAAATTCAAAATTTGACAAATAATTAAAAATTACATTATGAAAAGGCACAAGCAATGATATTAGTATATTTTCTATTATTAGATATTTTTTTAAAAAGGTTGGGCACAAGCCGTAGGAATTTCACAAGTAATTTCTATCAAGTCAACCGCTATATCATAATAAATGCAATTTACATTTTAACGCAATTTACGCGCGCCCCACGGTTTTATCCCTTTGTCTGATGAATGCCCTAGATTGATGAGGAGAGTGGTGTTTTAACTGGTACCAAGGATCTACTGAATTATTTTTAAGCTTTTAGTGTTTTGTCTACAACATCTATTGCTATTTTTTCTATAAAACCGTTTAGCTAAGTTTTTAATTTTAATTACTAGGTTTTTTCCTGACAGTTAAAGTCAATCTGCCATTATGACGGATCTTTTGGATTTTGTTGGCAGCCATATTTTTTTTCATAATGTAATCTATTCTATTAGTCAATATTTTATTTGATACCCTCATTGAAGAGGTTGTGAAAAGAAAACCGAACCTGCAATTTTGTTGACGGCCATATTGGGTTTTCAATTTATTTTCATACAGAACTCAAATTTGCTTATCAAGCCCTATCCTCAATGTACTCGTATTAGGTTAAAAAAAAATCTAATGTATTAAGTTATATGGTCATCAGAAACAAAGGTGCGTACCAAATTTCATATCAATCCGTCAACAGGAAAGGAATCAAATTTCAATTACTAGATTTGACCCAAACAGGTCAAGCTAAAGCGTTTATAAAAGGATATTTTAATCAATATAATATTATTAGTCATTGGGAGCGACTAGTCGGCACTTATTCGGCTTTACATAATTAATATTATATAATACATTACATAAATCAATTACATACATTACATTCAATAAAAAGATGTATATTCAGATTTTAAATAAGGCATTGATAGTAAATAGGGGAGGTCAGGAAAGGAGACCAACTCTCTTCAAAACTTTTAAAAGCCGTATTGAAAAATATGTTCATGGAATAAATGTTAACGGTGTAAGGCTTAACCATCTAAGGTTTGCTGACGATATTATTTATATTTTATCACAGAGAGGCCAGCCATCGCACTAACAATGTTAATATAATCAAACGAAAGCAAGAAAGCAGGATTAACTAATCAACCTTTAAAAATTAAACTACGAACTGGATAATTGCACATTGAGAGATATCCAAGGAAAAGCAGACGCTAAGTAAAAAGATGGTCATGAACTGCGCTAGACACACACTTGAAAAGCTATTTTTCCTGATGTCGAAATTCTCTGCGTGTTGCTGTTTGAGTATCGTTCTTATCAATGCAGGCAGTATGTAGATCATTGCTATTTCTCTGAGATTCTATTAACAACTCAGACCTAATGGTGATGAGATCTTTTGTCTCGAAAATCTCGCACACGTGCTAAACGAAAAAAGAAGTAACAATGCGAAGTAAACAAAACATGTTCTAACACACTCGCGTGAAGCGGTTGCTAGTAGCATGCAAATCAGCTGTAAGCTAAACGTCTTGAAATAGTGATTTTCTTGACCGACTAGTCGTGCTAGTATAAGTACTTTCAGTAGTGCACAAAGGCCGATTAGTCGGCCAAAGTCATAGACCATAGTTGGAACATCTCTAACAATTATTATAAACACGAAGAAGTAAGCTTTTTATTTAGAGGTTGTACATTAATAATAATATATCGTTTATAATATTACGATGTAATGCGAAAATTTTGTCTGTTTCATCACCTAGAAAGGAATTCTAACCACGTTTAAATACGTAAGTGAAAGCCTTTGAAAAGCGCCTTCATATATATAGTAACGAACACGTAGTAGGAAGGTATATAATTTCATATCACATAAATGCACATAAGTATTACAAGCAAAGAAAACAATATTTCTTAAATATGTATTACTGTTTAAATACGTATGATATGGTATTATATATACCATCATAATAACATAACTGCCTTCAGTACTAGAATATAGGACCAAACAGGAAAATATTACTATTCGTTTAAGGACTGAAATTGTATGTTATCAAACTTTAATAATAACTTCTATTTTTGTACATACATCGTTCTCAGATCTAAATCAAATATGAATATATACAATTACGTTAGTAGCAATGCCCCGCGATTTAAAAATGGGTTGATTCGGTCGTAGAGAATGGAGTATATTAAATGAACATCCAAACACAAAAACATATATTTTCTGAGATTAGTACATTCTCAAAAAACTCTTCAACTTTATAACAATAAGGAAAGATGTATAAAAGGTCACTTTCCAACGAACCGAAGCTTATGAGACAATATGATATGTAAATTGTTTTGTATGAAGAGATTGGGGAATATATTTTTGATACAACATTGAAAGATTAGAAACGTAAAATTGAAGTAAGACGGAATTGTCGATCAAGAGTAATCCAATCCCTTTGGTTAATTGAATTCTGTAGCCCTTCAATACGTCGGAAGGGCTTGGAAATACAAAAAAACGTGTACAAAAAGGCGGATTGACTGAGCAAAAACAGCAACGTTAATTTATAAAACTTATATTGCTAAATTAAATAACAAACATACAGTATTTTATGATCGAGTTTATAAAGAACAAAACTGCTGCACTATTGGTATTACAACGACATTATGGTTAAATTTCTTTATTTCTAAAAAAGAAGGGTGCGTGTACTTATGTACGCGCGTAAGAAGTTATACTTCTTTGGCATTATTAGAAAATAGTTTTTGATTGCATGCAAATAATTAATTACAATTAAATAATCAAAGACTCGAAAAGGAGTCATTATAGTCAATAAAGATCAGTTTACATTTGAAAAATTAAATAAATAAATATTTATTGATATTATATTTATATTTATTATTATTTTCTAATATTAATTAGTATTGATTTAAATATTCAATTTAAATCACTTCTGATTATAATTCAGACGCACATATCAAATTTGCACTTGTATAATAAAAACAAAATGAAAACACGCGTAAATGTAGAAACTCAAAGCATTTGGATAAATATTATAAATATAAATACACAGTGAACAGAGGCGGCGTGCGTGCCAACATGCGCCACTAACTTCATTCTGTTAATTTTGTGTCACGCGGTGCGCGCGCATTGTAAAATTTTACTCTTATCAATTTTTCATAACGCGCTTAAAGAAGTATAACTTCATAAAATATTTGATTAGTGAATAATCTGATTGTGAATTTTTTTAAATGTTTAAGCCTCACAAACAATGTTACAAATAATGCTGTGTCTAATCTTGATATATTAGGATAATGTTAAGTAGATCCTCTAAACTTTTATGTGTTTACTTTTTTTAGACTTCAATATTCTACATATTACACGGTGTAATATATGTTATATATGTTTTGAAACCATATTAATAAAAGACAAGATACTGAAAGCACACAAAACAAGGAACAATATTGGCTTGGACTTCGCCTTGGTACTTCGGCGTGGCAGCTCCTAATATTTATTGTAAATTTAAGTTTACATTTAAATATACCATATATATGTTGAATAATTAATTAAAAAATCAATTCCAAAACTTCCACCACATTTTATATGTACTCAAGTAAAAAGAAAATCCTAAAAAACTTTTGATAGTAATTATTAATATTGTGTATTATTTGATAGTAATAATTAAATGTAATGCATATACTTCTAAATAAATGTTCATTTAGTAGTGATATTGAAACTATACGTTGGTGGGCCTCTACAGTCCGAGTTTTTCAAAGTCAACAGAAAATTGTGAAGCTTTTATCAAATTGAAAGTTGGGCGGAAAGCAGCCGTAGTGGGATTAGTTCAAGATTCAGAAGAATTCCAATAACAGGGTTCACAGACATGATCGCGAATATCGGCTAACGCTGAATATGTTAATGTAGAAAATTGTCTTAAAGAATTTCCTAACACTTGGCTTGACCTCTATTTACTTTTTTATTACTTGAGAAACATTCGTTGTATTTCATTTTTGTCTAAGTAAAAGAACTAGGATTATGGGATCAGTGTGGTAAGACATTAAATAGAAGTTGCAGTTTATGTGTATAACAGCGGATTTAGTGATCTCTTAAAGTCTGTTGACGCGACTTTATCACAAAAACTTCATCGCAGTGAACTGACTTATTAGGTTTGTCATAAGAAAATCCCAAATCACCCTAACATATTAACACCGCGGAAATACTATAATTATAAGGAGATACATAATATGTCTGATGAACTTTGATTGTGGGCGTGTTACGTCAATCGTATCTACCATCTACGGTCGCCTACGACACTTCTACGCCGCGCTGTAAAGGTTACGCCTACACAGCGTAGTAATAATTGTACGGTATTAATAATTGTACGGTATTAACTATTATATTTCGAGAAGCAACGTGGGCGGTTTCGTAAATGTGATTTAATTTATTAAATAAATTATAAAGTTTAAAGAACTTTATTTCTCATAGTATTGTCTTTTATTGACATAACTTTTAGACATAGAAAAACACTTTTTAACGGACGTTTCGCCTAAACCCTACCTCTTTTAGTCGATACCAACTCCGGGGAAATAAATACAGATAACACAACTTTATCTACAGCTGTGATACTTTTTGACATTCAACACCTTTTGTCTTCAGTCACCGTGACCACGCACGCTGTAAAGCACGCGAAACGTAGGTTAAATTTAAAATTATGTAAAATAATTGTAAATTTATAATAAAACATAACTTCAAATCCGTAAAAAAAGTGTTTCTTTTTTCTCATTACAAAAAATGTACTTTTATTTACATGAGAAACTTAAGAGCTGGTGCGGCTTGTGATGTGGCTGAAAAAGCTAAAGCCTGAAACTACAGGGATCTAGGCTCCGAATATGATTTTGTCCCATTCGGTGTCAAGACCCTTGGCCCGTGGAGTCCTAGCGCTATAAGGCTTTTTAAGGAAATATCAAAAAGGTTAGTCGACATCACAGGAGACCGAAGAGGTGGCAGCTACCTCGGACAAGGACTTAGTCGAGATATTCAAAGGGGGAACGCTGCCAGTATCTTCGGAGCCATGCCGAAAGGGACTTCTTTCAATAATATATTTTAGTTTTTATATTTTAAGGTTAGTTATTGCTTTTATTATTCTTTTTTTTGTATTTATAAGCTAGGTTAAATTATCATCTTGTGCTGTTTATAAGAAACTTAATATGTATATACGAACGAGATACACGTCGCCATCAGCCGTCCCAATTTCAGTCTACTACGTATATACTCATTATGATATGTATCTTTAATGCCATTTTGAATTGGTTAAACGCTAATTTCAAACTATTATATTATATTATATGATATTAATATTTAATATTATACAACATTACCCCTAATTTTAATTACTGAAGAGAAACACCATTTGATATTGGAAGAGAAACTAATGTAATTTACTCTGGAAATTTATGAAGCATACATTTTCCATAACATTTATAATGTATTCAATAAAACTTAAATGCGAACAATAGGGCCAGCGAGGCACTTTCCTCGCTATCAAAGGATGCACTTGAACAAATCCGGGGATCAGATTATACTATAATTTATATCTATTTCTGCAGCCGGAAGTTGAGAGAGTACTAACAGCATCATCGCACTGTAGCGGATAACTGTGTGAGCTGTTTTACTTTTGAGCGAAACGATTTGTTTCATTCTTAAAGCAAAAGCTCCTTGTGGTTTGTATTTTTTCAAGCGAAATGCGCAACATGAGGAATGCTTTTTGTTTCAATAATAAAATGTTTGCTCAGAGCTTCCGTCTGGGTAGCCATGTTTTATCGTGAAATGAATATAAACCTTGTTATTTTACAAAGGAATTATATAAAACAGAAACATATAGTAAAAACGCTTTACAAGTAATGTAGACGCGTCTACGTAAGTAAAGCGTACAGTCTAGGATTATTTGACGTTTCTCACATTCTCTTCTAAATGCGAATAACGATAATATTTAAGCATACCTTAACGGCGTTTATTTTGAAATCCATATGATTTTTAACTTCTGCAGCAAGATCTCGCACAAGAAGAAGTCCGTCTTTCCGAACGACCTCCACGTTGTACTCATGGTATTTCTGAAAGCAAACAAAAACAGTTTAAAACAAAAACTTTTGCTGTAATAACTCTTAAAATTAAATCTAAACATTTCAAAACGAAAAATACAAAAAAAGCATAAAGACGACGATGACGAAATATACTTGTTTAAGTTCTCTTAAACAGTACATCTGTGTTTCCGCCCATAATATCGAGTTATTGGCTCCATAGCAAGGACCTGTCAAATTTAAAAATGGAACGTTCACGTCCGGAATTTGGCGGATGCTCGCTGCCAAATTATTGTTATTCTGTGAAGGCGCGCTTCGGGCGCTGTGTTATTGAATTTCGAGCTGTACCAATGACGGCTTTGTTGCTATCAAATTTAATAAAACATACTTAGTAATACCGGTGTTAAGTGATTTTTGCTTTAAAATCTCTTCATTATTCACCCTTAAAGTATCTTATCCTACTAATATTATAAACGCGAAAGTTTGTAAGTATGGATGGATGTTTGTTACTCTTTCACGTAAAAACGTACGGAATAGATTTTAATGAAACTTTACAACAATATAAGCTTATACCTCTCAATAACACATAGGCTACAAATTTTAAAGATATTGTGTGAATTGCCCAAAAAATCAAAGTAAGAACGAAAAAATCTACCATCTGCGAGCTATTCTGGCGTGTGCTGCTAAAACCGCTAGAGTTACACATATGAAATGTTTGTCTTAAATAGTCAATATCTTTAGTAGTATTTTTCTATGCCAGCTAATATAAGCAACTCGAAATAATAATCCTGAGCCGACGAAGTCGTGGGCACCAGCTAGTAATTCATAAACACATAATTAAATATAAACGTAAATTCAATCATCTTCCTGCAACCAAATGTTATTTAAAATGTAGTTGATTTCATGGAATATTAAATTGGCGAACGAGTATTTCACTACCGCCGGACTCGAGGGACACATTGCCTAACAAGGAACCTAAATTCAATTAAGGCTGTTAATTTAATCCACTTTATACGTCAACACCATCCTTACGGCTTGCTGATTGGATTCTGTTTTCAAGAGCTACCATAATTACTGCACACATTTAAGCGTCAAAAACATTTTTATGTTAATTAATATATTATATAATGTATTATATATAGCTATAGCTATTATATATTAATAGTTCAAGAGATTTGTGTTATAAATCTTCCCTTGTTGGAATATTGTATATTGGTTAATTGTGATTCAGGAAGGGGAACGCAAAATGTGGGTCAAGCTATATCACGGGTGAATAATCAGCGATTATTAAGGACCACAGCAAAAATATATTTTCTGTTTTAATATATTAATGCTATTCAAGTACTTTTATTGGATATAATTTTAAAAATTATAAACTTATCCTTAATGTTGTGCAATGCTAATGCATTGTTAACAATAAGTTTTCAATCATTTTTCATGTAAGTATTTTGTTGTTTAAAGTTTCGCTCTTAGACTGTATCATTCGAATTAAAAAGCTGACGTTTTAAAATTATTTGAATTTTCACTTCGCTGTTTCGATTCGTGTCAGTAGACACGGGGCGAATTGATTGGGCCTCGTATGTGTAACGTTGCGGCAAATAATAAAAAGTGGAAATGCTTTGTCACGATTTATGAAGTAATCGTCCCAAGCTCACAAGTTACAGGGCTTCCCACTCACCTTGAACGTTTCACCTTCTTTTATCGGCCATTTTAATTCCACTTCCACTGTTGAGGAAGATTGAAGTACTTTTCTATTAAGAATTTTTTTTTTTAATATTTCAAATAAAAACCTATTTGCCATCAATTTTATATAATAATAATGACTGTATTATTAAAACTTTTAAATAAATGCTTACTTGTACAAATTAAATCACTTGGTTAAAAATAAAAGACGAAACTATTGTGCGTGTCGTGTGATTGTGATTGGTCATAAGAATCTCTTGTCCTACCTATTACAGACATACGACAGGATTCTTCGTCATCACGTCTACTTCTCCTTCATTCCTTTTTATTTTTCAAGATGTGTCCCTTTTTACTTAATTATTTAATCAATTGTTAAAGCCATATTAGATGTTATCCTCTACTATGTTTATTGAATAACATTATATATATATATAATTATATAAATAATAACACAGAATTGCGGTTAGTTAACTAGCCTACATATTCCTATTGAGGTTTGCTTCGGTCTACGTAATCAGCTATACTATGCATCATACGTCTTATAACGATTATGACCATGGATGATCAGTAAGAAAATAAACTTAGGATACCTGACAGAAATAATAATAAACGCCTTAATCATACAATAAATTAATAAAAAGCTATTGTGCATTGTTAAATAAGGGATAATCAAAATGTTAAGGTGTATTCTCCCTATACTAATAACGTGTGCTCTGAATTTTATTGGTTTTAATAAATTCTCTGATAAAATATTCAGTGCCAAGTCAAGTTAAGAGTGACCTAAGACCGCGACTCGTGACCTACACAATAACTCTTGAGTGTTCTTTAAGCAGTTTCATGTATGAATAGACTGTTAGAATTATGTTTTAAAGACCAAAGTCTCTTTTTAAAAACGTATAACAACCTAGTTTTTGAATTTTGACAAACAACAGTATTTTGTAGAAACAAAGGTATAAGGAGAAATTTGCTTTTTAAGCTCTCAAAAGTTTACCACATGGAAATCAATTTTTTAATATTGTAAGTATCCCTTTAAAGTAATATATCCTTTTAGTATTTGAGAGTAATTAAAGATTAATGTATTAGATAAGAATGTGTACTATTACGATTCAATGTGCGTTTCATGGCGGCACCTACACCGCAATCCTTCGATAAACTATTTCCTACGAACCTATTAGAAGCATCCACATTCCTACGTTCTTTCACTAACCATCCCAATGAATCAAATAATTCCATTTCATTAAACTACCTTTTTATGTACTGTAGAGTTTAACAGGGATACGTTTTATTATTTGTATCTTAGTTAATATAGATCTTCAAATTTTATTTTCTTTGTACCAGTACAACAGGAATTAGACATAGATGTCGAATGTGCGATTCCTGCCCGATACTGAAACTGAAAAATATAACAAAATTTGTTTCTTTCGAATAATATAATGTTATTCAATAAATAAATAATGTAGTTATTTGTATCAAAGGAAGAGACGTATCAAAGCTTAATCAGTGCAATGAATCCACGACTTCGTGATGCACAAATCAAAATATTCGGTAAGGAATATTTTTAATCTTCACATGTAACTTATGGCCTTATGGGCCGTGGAGTGCCGGAGAAGCACTCCCCAATCAACCCGTGGGTGTCCTCGAAGGCAGCGTGGGCAGCGTTTTTACCCATTTAACCTCAACATAATAGTGCGCTCGCCAAATCGTTGGCCAAGCGTGGTGAGTGTTCCCCAACATGAACAGTAAAACAATGCGAAGTCTCCCCAGTAACCGGCAGCCCTGCTAGTCCTGGCTACGGTAGCGGTCAGGGAATGGCGGGGCAAGTAGAGATCCGGCTACCAGTCTCGACAACCATTGGCCCTCGTATCTAGTAGAATTAGAGGAAGATACGATGGGCCTTGATACGAGGATAGAAGCCCGAAGAGAGGGAGAGGACATGATAAAGTTGTCTTCCGATGACATATTCCACTATCGGCTTTCCCAAGGTGGAATCGGGTTCAGTCCTACCTTGTTCTAAAAGTATCAAGCAAATGTTTGCTGAAGCAAAAATTTCAACAACCCGCCTTATGGGTTTCAGTTAATTGAAAAGTGTATGTTCAGAGATTTCGCTCCCTCCATACTCTAAGTCAAAAATCTTCGAACATTACGTCCTACCTGTGATGACTTACGAAGTGGAATTCGTATCAAGCTTAAACTGACACCAAAACTTTGCGATTTAAAAGAGTGGCGGAGAGTGTCTTGCCAGTTCTTTTCACCCTACGCCCTTGATTTGGGTTTTTTTTATAGATTACCCTTTTTTTAATAACAACGTTCATAAGTGTCCATAGTTACCGATATCAATTAATAAATTTTAATTTGATTTGACTAATTCATAAATATCACATATTTATTTATTAATAAATAACATGATTTCAAAGCAGCTGTGTTACGGCCATAATGCAAAGTACCTACATTATAAAATTTTCCTATTTTACTTAATTTAATGATTTAATAAATACCTATCAATATTTTATAAATATAGAAACGTTATACGTTTTATGGAAGATGAAATAACTTCAGAAGTGGCAACTACATGATACTACATAAATTTCGACAGAGTTGTTGGATGCACTTGGCACAAAACCACAATCTTCGCCAATCTGTATAGAAAGCCTACGCATTGTCCCTGCTATACTCCTAAAAGCAAGATAAGTAGGAATAAAGTAGGACACAGTCTTAATCACCATATATAGTAAGACGCTATCTTTAAGCGATTTTTAAGGCTTCTTAATACAGCTATATATATAAAAGCTAACTTTGCAGGTTTCCTAAGAAGGTAATTAATGCATTATTTTTATAACTATCGGTCTCTGAATTTTTTCTAGAACATATTTACATCGCATATGACCATTGCGGGGCGTGGAAAGAATTTAACCTAATTTTCCTATTCTATTCTATTATCAAGGCTATATACACAGTTAGGTCAGTGTCTGTATAAAGTGGAGCAAGGTAGATAAAGCGATGGGAAAAACCAATGCATGACTCACTATTCAGAAATAAAATATAAATGGGAAAGTTTCTATTTCTGTTTAATATCGGTGCTAGAAGTACAATTAAATATTGATATATGCTACGATTTGTTGGGTTTTATATCATATAAAATTACGCTAATGCAATTTTTATAAATAGAAAAATTATAAGAATCAATAGCTGAGAGTAACAAGTTATATTAAATAAGTTCTAATACAAAAGTTTTCCGTAAAGAATATTGCTTTCAGAAATACGACCCTAAAAGCATTTGCCGTAATATAACCCCTGTGTAATTTAGCTATTGACATTTATTTTGTGTGCGGTAGCTTATCCGCAAACCTCTTAGTTACGCCGTAGACGAGAAAACGTAGCTCGACTTTTGTGGTAGGCAGAAATATAATAAAAGAAATTATCAAAATTTAATTATACGGCTTAAGATGGAGTGTACGTTTACATTGGAGGTTTGGGTTCGATTTTCGGGTAAATATAATTTTTTGGCATAGAAAGTTGAATCAGCTCATGTGAAGAAAAATTATTAAAATTTCTAACAAGGTTATGCCATAGAATATACCTTTACATTGTTTTACTTGTACTCGTATTACTATTTTTACTTGAATGATTAGCTCAGCATATAAATGGAAACCCTGTAAGAAAAAGCTGTGTTCAGTGCAATAGTACAATATTGCATTCAAGTGTACTATCCATCCGGTCTCCGATCTGAAGGAATCCTCGTTCCCTGATACTGTAAGTAGGTCGCGGCCGCCCCTGACGCCCCTCTCTTCTGGACAGAACCAGGGTCAGGGCAGAATGCGAACTCGCTGCATTATTATAAGCACGCGTCCAACCGATCACCCCAAAGTTTACTGAAGTAACTTTCAAAGCGGTAAATGCAAAAAATACTTACATTTTGAATTTGATTCATTTTCGTGAAATGCCGCCCAAACTCCCACAGGTCCACGCCAAATTTTAACGCCCAGTTTTTGACTCTGTAACAAAAAATATTTTTATCCTTCTTACGTTTAACGTATCGTTAATTCTGTAGTAATTTAATTAGACATTGGTTAAGATCTACGCAAAATGTTTTAACTTCAATTTAAGTTGTCCTACCATGAAAACCTTGTTCTTCGATACTATTATTTAGTGTAAGAAAATTTTATAATATATTATGTATAAAATAAATTTTATTAAAAACATGCCATGATATTAACTAATACTACGAGTACAGCAAATGTTTACGTAAAAGTGTAGATAATAATTACGAAATTCTATTTAACAAATACGTATAATTATAATGTCAGTGAGCTAATCGCGTGACCCCGTTGTAAAAATACTAATGTTATGATTTATTTGAATATAAATAGCTGATATTATCGGAAAGGGCTGCGCTTGCTATGTTCAAAGTTATTTATAAAAGCTTCTAGTAAGTTGTGGAAAATATACAAATTTAGGAGAAGAACATGATGCGAGTTACTCGAACATAAACTTAACATCCACTCTTTATTCTCAAGTATGCTTTGTTGTTTCAAATACAATAAAAATTCCCCAAGATTAATTAATAGTGATTATACTTTTATTACAATGTAATATATTAAAGCTAAAATTACTACGCGAATATCCATAAAAAATATAAGCAAGTGTGGTTAAAACAAAGATAAATTAAAATTTTACACATTAAAAAGGTTTGACAATCAATTTATTCATTAATCTCAATATAACATTTAAACTATAAATGAATCTCGCGGGCAAAGTTTACCGTAACTCAATAGTTTTCCAGCACACGGTTTTGTTGAAAAACAAAAGAAGTTGGATTGTTGGAATCCGCTTTAAATATCTTGTTACTGTAATAGGTTTAACCCGAACTACGCTCGCTTAAGGACTGACCCGATTTACCCCTTACCTGATTTTACGAGCACCATATTGTTACAGTGAACCTGCAATGTTTAACTTGCAAGCTGCATTTCATAAATATGTTTGCAATTATAAACTTGACTATTTGTGATTATATTATGATTTGTATAAAACTTTGGCTTCTAGAGAAAGAAGTATTTTATATAAAATTTAATTCGCCAGTCTATGGTAGTGTACAAGTGCTACGAGTATATTACGAATTCGCAACATGAAAAGGCGTAAAATATATATGAAACTAATCATTTAGTTTTAGAACTTTAATTTGACCCAAAATAAACATATGAAATGTCACGTTTTAAACTCATCGTAATTATACCAACCAATAACTACAATTTAAATTGTAAGCAAGCGATTTAACCTTGAGGTCGAAGAAGCAAGGGCTGCTTCATTATAAGCGATGATATCGGGTAATCGAGTCGATAGTGGTTGTTTTATTAATCAGGTTGCTGGCAGACGGGGTGTCAGACTCGCGCCCTTACGTAAGGCAGCGTCCGTAGTACGCCGCCGCCCGCCCAACCCGCGCCCGCACTACCCGCACCCCTCTAGATCAATACCGAAGCCGCCTTTGACATGTGCCCCGCGTGCCGCTCCGCAAATATTTACGTTGTGGAAACAGATCATAACTAGTTTCATTTGCTCCGGTCTACCCCTACCAACAAATAAAAATCTTCTTAATTGCCTCCGTTATTGCTTTATATAGGTCTTTAAAATTTTCGTTATAACGCCGTATGTAGATTTTGACAGCTTAAACAATGTTAGAGTTAGATCTTTTGCGTCCATGATTTGAGTCCGTTTTAATACAGTATTAATGTTTTACTTATGAATGTTGATTAGCTCGTACCAATAGTAGGGAATATACCATTTTTATAATATTTAAATTAATTAAAAAGAATAGACTAAGAGTAAAGGAAAAGCAATATTTTTTTACGTACTGTTTTTTTTTTTTTTTTTAATATTTTTTTAATATTATATATTTACGTATTTTCTTGTTGCAACTCCGAACTTTCAGCGCGGAAACCGCCAATAACTGTTGTGGCCGGGGATAAGATTAAATTCAAAACAAGTAATGAATAAAAATACATATAAATTTATGTATAGTGAAAAAAAGTTTGCAAATATAAAGCATTATATTTGCTAAGAATATGTCGTACGCAAAGTCACTGTATTAACTTTTAATATACGATAAATATAATTAAATAGATATAAAAGAAGTCGTTTAATTGTAAACCTTCCCTTCGGTTAGATCAATAAAAAATTTATACATATTTAGGAACTTCAATATTTCGTTCAAGTATTATTAACATTTAATTTTTTTTTTATATACGGCAGAAAATTAGACTTGCGACCTACATATATAAAGTAACAAACAAAAGCTAACAGTTCTAATGAAGTGAGAGATAGAGTCGTTAAAATCAATATCAATTCCGCCATACATGAGTTGTGGTGTAATTGCAACAGCATAGTGTGATGTCAGTTGTCGCGCTGAAAAAAATAAATATTCCAAGCCACAATGCAGTACGATTCAGCAATATGAAGTCGGGTCGTTGACTGACGCCTACGCTTCTCTAGTAAATTGTACTACATTTGCGCCCTTCGTTTTCTTCAATGTACTCGTGTAATTTGGTAACCAATGAAGGAATAGAAAATATTATAATTTAATTTATGGTATGGTTTCGTTAATAATTTAAATAAATTCATTGCGTGCTTAACACACAATAGTCATGTCGACCAGTTATCGCGAGTGTCAAATACGGAGTAATAAAAATAAAACAAAACAATACGTATTCCAATCTCTGAATTAATTTAATTTCTTAGGTTGCTACGGAGTACCGACGCGTTTATATTAATTTCATTTGTTTTTAACTATGTTTAGTCACCTACCTACCCTACCACCTAGGGTAAAAGCATATTTAATCCATTAAATATTACGGAAGCACACAAAATTTTCTATGCCATTTTGTACATAGCAAATCAGGGTTCCTACCCTCTCAGTATAGTTATTGACTCTATTCATATGAATTATAAGATCAGTTTAAACAATTATTTTTTTATAAAAATAGATTTTCGATCATATTATCTTTCAGTCATCTTTTCTTGTCTTGAATACTACATTAGATGCATTATCAATTATTACCCTCGCATAATAAAACAAATGAGATATGTTCGCTATCAAGTTCATTAATTATAAGAAGTATTATCTAATCGATGACCTATATGTTTGCGTTTAAACCTAAGCCATTTCTCAATGAAACAAGAAGGTATAATTTGAACTGGAATAATATGTTAGTAACATGAGGACTAAAAAACCATGACGTGCTATTAATATGTCCTAAATTCCGTAAATGTGCTCTATATACAGTATACACTCTATCGATTATTACTATTTCTAAGAATTTGCGTAGTATAATATCGTTCATTATTTGGATTGCATAATTTGTACTGCAGAAGAATAGATTGGTTTAATATTTTGTTGTTCGTTTATCTTTGATTGAAGGTCATAACATGCAATATTGATTAAAATATAGTACAAAACGAGTGCAACTTTAACTACTAAAGATATCAGGAGTAGAAAAGAACTTTATGTTATCTTAAATCTTTTGATATCAAAACCAATAGATAGAGTTGTAGGGTTCTTACTCATTATGGGGTATGTCTTCTAGCTGGTTGGCGAGCGCGACCGCCAGAAGGCAGAGCAGCAGCAGCGGACGCCGAGACATGGTCGCTAGCAAAATCGTACTCCCCACATCACACGCTCAATCACCACTACTCTACATGGAACAACACCGTCGCACAGCACTGAGTTCCCAATACTATGTCTTGTGCTCGGGCACATAGACCATAGAGTACAGCCGTGGAACGTGGCGCGAATGAACCGCGGTGAGACGCCGCGCAACCCCCGCCCCGCCCAGCCGCAGTGACGCTGCGCGCGAATCATACGCCCAATAACACAGCCTTATTATTGAGGTTTATATGATCATGCATAGGGTTGATGGTCAGAGGCGAAGGCTAATACGATACGATTACGCCGGGTAACATCATCAAGCGACCCTTGAAAACGCTCACTAAGAACAGTACCCTTATCCAAATTAGTGTTGATGGAAGATATTCAGAGTTGTAAAATATTGCTGAAAATTGAGAGTCGGAAGCATAGGGTTTACACTAACAGTTTGTCACGCACATGCGTGGGCACGCCGCCAGGAAATCCTTTATTGATTCCCGCGCTCCTGATTTCTAAGAAATGCCGCAGGCGTTGTTGCCGCCAAATTTCTCCGGCATTCATTATCTAAAATTTTCCATAGAAGAACGTAATTGTATGAAGGGTGAATTGCTTTCAGTGGATGGGTAAAGGATACCTATAAGTTTTGATCGGAAATTAAACAATAAAAGGGTGAAGGAAATTTAATTTAAATTTTTAATGTTTACGTAATATATTACCATTATTATAAAAAATAGGAGTAGGTAATATTAATATAATTTGAAATAAAAGCATTTAAGCTCATGTGATTTTTGGTACGTTTTCTAGTTGCAATCTAGAAGTTTAGTCTAATCAGGTGTGAAAACTTAAAAAAACTTAAAAGTATGTACATAAAATATTTATTTTCCCAATACATTATATAACAATTTATAATCATTAATAATTGTGTTACAAAAATGGTACTTTTCTCATAAATATAAACTTCAAAAATATTGGAAGCGTGAGACAATTTGAATATAAAAATAGTTTCTCGTTCAACATAAGATCGAAAAATTTAAAACCTAATGTATATTTTAAAAAACTGTTGTAAAACATTCTATCGAGTAACATTACATTTGTGCGTTACAATGTGTACTTAAACTATATTTACACGACTAAGTTACAATACAGATAAATTAATATACCTAATAAGTACTTCTGCACTTGGTCACAACGCGACGTTCATTCAGATCTACATTAACCTTATTTTCAATTCAATTATTATGTCCGGGTTCTATATGCAAAATACTAGTAGTAATTGCTGCAAGAACTTTGTAAAACAGCAGCGTATTCAAGATTTATTGGACAACCGGATAGCATTCGCGGGTGACGAAAAATAGAATATGTCCTTTAGATGTTGAAATAAACTTATTTATTTACAGATTCTATTAGTGATTTATACTTGCTGTAATATTAAGTACGTCCTTTTGATAAATAAGTAAACCAATACGCTGCTTAGGTATTAATGGTTAACACCCTCTGGGGATAGTACAAGTGTCATCGAATTCACGAAATCAATGCCGGAAAATTTTATTCTATTTTTAGTGGGATCTATTTTCAATGATTTAAAGATTTAAGATTTTATAGTTATCAATGTTCGCAATAGAAATAGAGCTGATACCTGCACGGCGGCTTATCTTGAAACTGGTTCTATGGACGCGATAATGTAGGGCACTTTGTATTCCATAAGTGTTCTAATACAATTCTTTAAAATTCGGCCCCAAATGCGACTTGACCATAGAACCTAGACCATACATAATGGTTTTCGTCGATTCGATGAATCTTGTACGCTCTAACAATCTCTATCGCAGTCTTCAACGTACACGTGAGCTAAGATCACAATACAGCTAAATAATCTTAGTAATCTCATAAATATTACCTTAACTATACAAACTTAAGTAATTTGTACAATACATCTGATTCACAGATTTGTGGTGTAATTAATTATAGACAGAATAAATAATATGATAAATAATCAGCAGTCTTAAGACGCATATAAACGATTGATATTGGAAATGTTTCAATAGGAACACAATTTTAAGCAATCATTTCTTATAACCCACCTGGAGTTTATATCATAAAACTGTTAGGACTAAGAGTTAAAAAGAAAATAGAATTACTTTTGATGGTAGCCGCGGCTTTATAAAATTCAAGTTGGTGTAATTTCTTCAAAAACATTGGAACTTTTTTCTTGTATAGACAGAACACAAGTTACCGTTAATTACGTTACCTCATTCAAATAATAGCTGAAAGCGTAATTCTACTAGTCTCGTTTTGGAATTATTGAAAATCCCACAGATCATCAAAATGAGATTCTGAAACTAGTTATTAGCGCATAGACAATTCAGAGAGAAGTTTAAGCGTAAGATTCGAGCTATTTGTTAATCCTAAGATCAAGAGTCGAGAGTTAATGCTAAGTACGACTCCCGTATGTCAAAAACATATTGGATTTTGACATACGAGAGACTAATTCGCACAGTTCCACTTCTCTCTGAATCTTAGGCGGTTTCCGATTCTCCTATCTCTCAAATAGCCATAAATTTATGTGAGAATTAGTTCCCAGTTAAACATCTCATAAGTCATAAGTCTGAACTTAACAGAGCTATAGCCTCCACTTAATGCAACCTTAACCCTTGCTGTACTTAACAAAATGGCCAAACTTAAAATTTTCTCTAAGCCGGGGTTTATATCTGTCATTAAACACTCGGTTATCGACATGATTCTTTTTATATATTTAACATAATATGCAACCATGTCGAGTATCTTAACTTATGTGATAATAAAAAATTAACTTTCGTAGTATTGTCATAAGGGTTACCTTAGAACAATCAAATAGACAAAAATCTATTACTTCAGGTAAAGATGCCGTTAACGTCGAATTAATAACTGTAGGTTAATTATTTCATCGCATATATAATAGTCCGATAACTCACAGTTCACTTTAGATTCTAATTCTAAACTCAATGTCTCGATGAATCGCTCTCGTGCCCAGAATCCCTTCCATTTTCTCTAGGAGAGGCGCGATGATCTCTCTCATCCCTATACCGATCCCGCCTGTCTCGTTCACGAGAACGATCCCTATCTCTGTCTCTGTCCCTCTCGCGATCTCGATCTCTATCTCTGTCCCTCTCGCGATCCCGATCTCTATCTCTATCTCTGTCGTCGTCCCGGTCTCTGCGACGATCATAGTAGTGGTAAGATCTTCTAGATTTCCTATCGCTCGGTGTCACAACTTCAACCTTTATGTTGGCTGTTGCAGTTACCTGGCAAAGATAAGATAAATTTAACTATCAATAATATAATTCTGTAGCTGTTGGACCAAACGTCTTCGACATCTTAAATCGGACGTAAGAATTAGTATATGTACAATCAATTAAAGTAATTAAAAAAAACGAATACATACTACACGAAATGTATATCTTAGAAAATTTAATTCCTGATTCTATTCTTATTTAATGTGAGTATAATAACTTTTTTAACGCTTACCTTCGTCGTAATAGATCCAGCATGAGAGGACTTGGAAGTCGGAGTAGACCGGCCGGAAGCTGAATCGCTTCCGTTGTATGTGGTAGTTTCAACCACCACTTCTGGCTGTACGACTATCGACTGCATTGATGACTGTACTGAATGTGCCGAACTGTGCCAACTCGAAGGCTCTTCAGTGATGGTGGTAAGAGATGGAGCCGAGGGCCTCGGAGCCGATTTGGTTCTGCTGGATTTGTCACCGCCACTTGAGCTTGAGCTGAACTTGCGAGGATGTACAGGAGAGCATTTTGGTGACGGGGTCGAGAGACGTTCTGGGTGCTCCAGCGGACGGACCTTTCATAAAATATCAAAAATCAAAATCACGAAACATAATTGAAAACACACTTCATTTAAGAAGGGTCGAGCGTAAAAAAATTAGTAGGGTTAAATATTTATATTTATCTAATAATTCGAAGTAAGTATATTTATACAGTGTCTATATATTTAGTATCGTTATAGACACAATTTTTGCATCGAACTGTAAAAAAATATCATATCATATCGCAATATCTACACAGAATAATTAAAAATATCACTTCACTTCAGTCAGTAAAAAAAAGTTATAAAAGATTTACTAATGTGCAAATAGCTCACCTCAGCGGCTGGTCCCAGTATGGATAGAATGATTGGGAAAAAGAGAAGTCCATCGACCAAACCCAATACGACCATGGCTAGCAAGAGTCTTAAAAACAGCCTGGCTACGAAGCCAAAGTCGCTGGCAGCAAGCATTGAAGCGGCCAGGGCTGCAGCCACTGCGCCATGCACTACCGGTGCTAATACACTTTCCAAAGCCAAGCTGGCCCGACGTCGCTTACAACCGATCGACGTGACGAAACCCTAGAAATAAATGTTTGATAATTAGTCCAGTCAATCTAGACCAAAATATTATAGTGAAGGTATTTTGTGCTCAAACATTACACTTTTGGTATATTCATAAGCTAATGTGGTAAGGGGAATTAAGACCGTAGGAAAAATAGCAGGAAAAAAGACCCATGAAGCTGATAATCTACTTGTCGATTTAAATATCATAGTTCAATTATAAATGTCCACTTATCCACTTCAGTTAAGGGACTAAAACTAATGCCCGCCTTCCACTGCGAGCGGAACGGACCCCTTACGGACTCCGCTATACTGCTACTACACATACCGAGAGCGAGTTGAAAGAGTCACATATGAGGTTAGCGAGTTGACCGAGTTTTCCACGGAAATGAAAATGTATGAAAATCATCGTTACGAGTATAGCGGAGTCCGTAATGGGTCCGTTCCCCTTGCAGTGGAAGGCGGGCATTAGAAATGGAGCTATTTAAATGTCTCATCACTATAACCGTCAAATTGTTTATTTTTCTGCATTTTTAGTTGGCGATCAGCGATTTGCCTATCAAACCGAAACAAATTTTTTTTTCAAGGTGAGGCGATACTGGAGATTTTCTACAATGTCTATTGTATAGGAACTTACCAGACACAAATGTAGTGTAAAGTGCACCCCCCTGCCAATAGCTAGGACCAGAAGTACTGCGGGCATCGCAGAGAGCTTCACTCCAAGCAAAGACATTGCTCCCACCAGCTGCAGTACTAACGCACCCAAAGACACCGTCACTAGCAGTGCCGCCCACGCGTTTAGCACCACTATCATCACGCACTGTAAAAAAATATTTATAAAAACACATTAATTTATTTAAATAAATAATAATATTTAGAATGAGGCTGAGAAAAGAACATCCTTTTACATCAGATATCTTGAATAAAGATAAAAGATAGGACCTAATTTCTAGTAGAGCCTGTGTGAGCTAATCGCCCATAAATTAAGTTATTAACTCATATTATACTAGGATAGTGCATAATATTATAAAGACATTTATGAAAATAAAGTGTGTCAGGCTAAGTTCGTGGTGCTTCACATATAATAATGATTTTGTTCAAGTATATCACCAAAATAATAGTAACTTTAGTAATATAAGGATTGGTACTACTCACAATAAATACAGCAGCCAATGCGCAAGCGAGCGCCAATAAAAGCGATGTCCGCAAATACAGGTACTGCTCCCAAAACAGGAACGGTATTCCAGAAGGAAAGTTGGGTAATCCCTTCGCTTCATACTTCAAACACAACTCCCTCACAGATGTAATCAGAGTTGTAATACTATCCGTATCGCTCAATCCAGATAAGTAAAAGGGTAGTTGAGTGTATATCAAAGGAGAAGACTTCTTGATTTCCAAATGAACGTCTTCGGGCGAATGAATCCATCTCTGAGGTTGGGGTTTTAAGTTGCCTTGTGATGCGCCATATGCCAACGCATCATTCGTGGCCCAAGCTGATAAATAGTTGTAAAAGGCTTTTGGGTTGATAATCCCATCTTTATCTACCAAGCGATGACCAGAATTTATCAACGATTTATCAATGGGATTGTCGACGTGCCCGGTTTGAACCATCAGCTTGTACGCCAATATGCCTTCGTCGCTCGCATTCTTGCACCAATATTCTTGGGTGATGCAGCCATTCGCAACTTCCTTATCGAACGCCGCTTGTAAGTCCAAAAGCCACTCGCGGAAGAGAGTCAGCCAGAACTTCGGAAGGCCGCCATTGTCGTTTTTTATTATATTCGGTATTCTAACAAATTGCTCGTGATATTCGTAAAGTAACTTCTGATTGGTGGGATATTCGAAGTCTCCTTGTGTGACCGCGTACATGTTGTAAAATCCGAAATATTTCTCTTGTCGCGACAAAAATTCGTGTTCATCGGTGTTCTCAGGTACAATGTCGGTCAAATCTAAGCCATCCTTCACTTTTGTAGCTCCCCATACACTGACTAGAATCACAGCTATTAGGGCTAGCATTGAAGTCACTTTAACTGAAGGTCTCATGATGAACGGGGCGTAGTGATTTTTGGTCCATTTGGTGAGTGAGATACTGAGACAGCATGTCTTTACCTCCTCTGTAACCTCGGGATCCAATGGTTGACGCGATATATCAGCCCTATTCTGAAAATGAAAATATAGATTTATTAAATTATTCGATAATACCACATCAACATAAATCTATTTTTTTATGAGTGCTATTAAAAGTAGAATATTGAAACAAATAAAGAAAATAATAGGACTAGTCGTATTAAAAATTATGGACATTTCGTTAGTGACACAAACAATAATTATGCAATACCTTTTCATTTCTTCCGTTTCTTCCCTTACGTTCTGGAAGTTTCTTTCTCGGCAGTGGACTTTCAGGTAATAAGCAACATAATAAGTCTGCTCTAGCAGCTGATCTTCTTCTCAAGTCAAGTGATATCATAGCCGGAAATACCAAAAGCATGGATCCCAAGGTGAATAGAAGGAGTATGGCAGCCTGAAAAGAATTGTCAGTTATGAATATATTTTAAATAGTTCTATACTGTTAGTGGACATTAACCTAAAAATATTCCTTTATAAAACATACTTTCCCGTCTAATATTTCATAGTGGTATTTGATATGGTCTTTTGTGCTATTCATTTTTTTAGTTCTAAAGTGATCAAAACTATAATTATATACTAATTATAATAAAATTAGCCAAGCTTTTCGAACCAGTCATAGTTTTTGTTTTTTTCTGAAGACAGTACGCAATACATAGAACTTTAAAATTACCTGTAAGCAAAAGACTCTGAACGCTGGAATTGGTAAGAGAGCCGCAGCCAAAAATGCCATCACATTGCACAAGGATGCCAAAAGGACGCTCAAACCACTCTTCTTTAGTACTAAACCCGTTCTTTCTTCTCTCGGAACATCTCCAGATTGTTCTACGTATGTATGTGTTAATAGGAACATGTCTTGTACTCCTAAGCCTAGTGCTAGGAAAGGCACGATTTGCGTACTCGAAGCATTGAATGGTATACCTACAAAAAAAATCACATTTGATTTATAATTTCACTAACAAATTACGCTAACAATTTTGATTAATTATTCATAAATTAAAGCTGCTTGCAAACCTTATTTATGATTAAATTGATTATGATTTCAACTCTGAATGAGGATTTTTCAACCCGTAAAAATTTTCGTTTCGATGGGAATCGAACTCATGTGCTTGGCTAAGCCAGGAATTCGATTGAATTTTTAAAAGCTTAGTTTCACTACTATAAAAATGTGTTAGAAATAACTTGTATAATAAGGCTGATAACAATTATGTTAAAATAAATATTTACCTAACAAAGCGCAAAATCCTAAGCCCGCAGCAATAGTAATTGATAGTAGTAACACTCCAGCTATGCCGACACCAGCCTGTGATCGAATGGGGTCTCGCCATTGTATCAGCGTAACAGCAACATACATCAACTGCAAAGTAAAAGATAAATTAACAAAAAGGAAATAATTCTGGTATGTATTATACAAAAATCATAAGTTAAATAAATATTATTAAAAGTTATTTTTGGCGAAACTGAGTTTTTCTTTAGTTTAGAATGTTAATTTTATCTATGGAATTATTTTTAATAGATAATTATTTCGCAAATAAACTCTAGATGGTTTGACAAATTAAAACAAGCATAAATTTAAAAAAACAAAGCAACAATGAACAAAGCATTGTCTAAGTTGTATGATAAAATGCCTACCATAAACATGTATCCCAAAACAATGTTTCTTAAAGAAACTTCTGAGAATTTGCCAAGAATGTCATTCAGGGTTGAAGTCGAGAACGGATAAAAGCTGTAAGCCGCTGATACTTGTCCTGATGTTGTTGTTTTTCTGACCTCCTGTAAAACAATTGAATAAAATTCGTAAAATAACGATTTTTTTTTACTAATAATAGTATCCATTTTTTAGGACAGTCTTCAACAGAAACATATTTTTACATTTTGAAATAGATATTTTATATAAAACGTTTACAATTATGACTATATATTTTCTTTAAAAGCTTAATATATGACCATGTCGGGTTTTTCTACGAAATATTGTACTTATAAGGCACACCTTGTGGAGTACAATAGTAACCTTTTGTCTAATTGTATCATTATCTTCATATAATTAATCAATATCTTACCGCTGAGAACTTCCTCTGCCACGCATCAAGAACAGCAGCGGCCTTCTCTTGATTCCAGCCGATTTGATGTACTTTGTAATGATCGGCCCAATATTCGTACATTTCTCGTTCGCCCATCAACTGTACTACCGTCTGTAGAGCTTTGGCACTTCGTAAGGCTGACGTTGAATTTCTGGTCGCACCACCGACTATCAATTGTTCCGGCCAGTGCATGTAGGATGCCGCGAATCCGTAACAACCGTGCGATAACTCGGCTGCGACGTCTGGAATCTATTCAACAAAGGTTAGCAAAAAGGTTTTTATGTAAAAGATTTTGTGATTTGCGTAAAAGTATCTATTTAAATTTGGAACTTAATCGAATCGCAATGGAGTAAGTGGCACGCCTTTTATCATCGTCGACGTAATTCGTGAAAAATATTGAACATCTATTACTCTCAATGCAGTGTGTGTGTAAAATTATCTTAGTACTGAAAATCACAAAAAGTAAACTACTTCGGATAACGGTAATTAAAAAAAGCGTTACTAATAATTTAAACTCCGATACGACAAAATAATGTTTATACTACTAATAAACATAAATGAAAATACGCAGAAATTACGTGCTTACAGGTAACTGAATAGCAGGTACCTTACGTTTCAATTTACAAAGCGAAACACAAAATTTACGATTCCAAGGAATTCGTTTGTATTATTGATATAATAGTGTCATAGTGAGTGTGCCGAACCAGAGTATTGGTGTACAATGCACCCGTATAACTTTGGGACGCACAAACAATGCTGGCTCGTCCCATGCCCGAGACCTTCGCCGAACGTGGGTGGCGACGCCTTAGCTCATACACAAAAACGCACCCACTCAAACCAACTTCGACTGTATCTATTTAACTTCATTAAACCGTGTTCAGAACTATACATTCCAAAACAAACAATGTATCGTATTAATATTCTTCATATTCCACTAACGAAGTGATATTCTTTGGAAAATTTAACGTAAAATTCATGATACATTTACGCAAAACATAACTTTCTCGAAGGCGGGTCGCGGGACAGGTAGTCGAAGCACCATCTGCCGCGCGGCCGCTTTTATCTCGTATTCCCGTTTCCAGAAATATTTTAATGCAGTGTATTTAATCGATACGTGTGTTCGATTTATTTGTCCACGCTATGGCTTTATTTATGCGGCTGTAAAAATGTCGTAAAATTTAACTCATGAAGAGAATCGGGTATAATGCGGCCTCTAATGTGGGTCTCACGCAGCCGTAACAAATGAATGGTATACGTCTCAATCATCCAGCCACCAAACAAGGAAGCTGTAATATACGGTCGAACGTTGGGCTAATGACAGGGACAAAAAAATACGGTCACAATTTAGGTACAATGTGCGGCGAAATCTTCCGAGAATTAGCACCGTTGCGTAAAGATTATGTTGTCAAGAACATCGTTAACAAGAGGTGTTTCTTAGGAGCGTTTAAGTGTGATTTCATATCTTTAAAAATATGTACCTCTATAATCTCTATCTCCGTTTCGCAATTAAGGTATCATGATAATTGGTTGTCAACGCGCGATATTGTGTTGAGTAGAAATTTTTGTAGAGTGAATTACGTTTTAATTACTTTTATAATGTCTTCTATGAACAAGAGATCAGTCTATGGTAGGTTTAAAAGTCATGTGTTGGTTAATGCTTTCATACCAACAATTAATTGTTTCATGTTCATCTAAAAATAATTGACTTACGTGTCCAGACTTTTTGTTGGGAGCTGTGGCTGGGCAGTGAGGGTCGGTGGGATCCAGACACGGCTTCTTCATGTAGGCGGACGTGATGCCAGCTCGCTTCATGTAAGCTTCCATCGTGCTCAAGGGAAATTGGAACTTTAACTTCTTCACTTCTTCTATCACTTCGAGAGGGTTCAAATGTGTCCATTGTAATTTGTTGTGCTTCAGGTGACTGTAATTAATAGGAGGTGTTAAAACTTTTTGAATTTATTATGTAAATATTTATTTTTGTTATGTATGTACATTCATGCATTAAACAGTAATAAATACTGGGTTTGTATTGACTAGTATACTAGTTTAACATACGAAAGCACAAGCAAACACATGTACTTACGGTACAAAAATTGGGTAATCTGGTCCCAGCAACTTGGACCCCTCCCAGAAGCAGTCGAGAGGCGTTATTATGGCGCATGGTATGACGTTGTCGATGATTGATTCGATATGATGGTACCCCTCGAAGTCCGGGATGCTGGGGCTGTAGCACAGGTCCTTGAGCCGCCATTCGATCTCATACATATGCACCGTCACTCGAGTTGCGGCGTGCACTATCTGTTTAACCATTTACATTTAGATGGAATATAAAAACGTATTCAATTCGTTTTATGTGTTGTATAAATTATTTACATTTTTTAAACATAGTTTCATTTAATATAAGAAATAACGAATAAGGAAGAAAATAATAACGAAAAAGAAATAAATGTTTTAAAGAAAAATTATAATAACGTGGTACAAGAGGCGAACCTAGCACACAAAAATACAACTTGTAATATGTATAAATAAATAGTGAAAAAAATACATTATTTATTGAAGTCTCTAAGCAATATAAAAGTAAATAATAGAAGATCACTGAAGTAAAGCTTAATAAATTCTATCTTTAATTTTTTACTTTCATCAGCTAAACAGTTTTACTAAACACAATACTGGTAAAAAACATTTTAACTAAGTAGGTACATACTTAGGGACTGTCAGTGGTCCGAAGTAAATAAATTTACCTTTAAGTGTTCAAGTAAAGCTCCCGGATGTAATAACGACACGTCTGGATCTTTGGCTGTCTGAATTATCAGCTGATGCGTAGAGGAATCTGCTTCGCCCAATGCCTGAGCTGTATACTTTAGTTCCGACTCTAATCGGCCACCCTCTATAAAAAAATATAGTAATACATATATGAATTCTGAATACAATTTACCTTTAAGAAAATTCAACTACCGAAGTTAAGTGCTTTGTACGGTCTTATGTAAATTCCCGGCAAATCAATTATTTTTTCGGTTTGATAAGGCTTATAAAGATAGCAATTGTAAAATTCTAAGCATTAAAGATGTCTTTACCAAGTGTACTTTGAAGTCGTTTTCTATTTGTATGTAGCATATAACACCATTTGATTTTGACATAAAATGGTAATAATAGGAGTCAATGTCGTTGTAAAATGTTTTATTGCGTGATGATAGGTCAGCGGCGTGAGACAACAAAGTTTGAGTCATTACGTCATTGACCTCGTAAAAGACATCCACGATGCAAGCTTCTAGGAAACCGAAGTTAAACCAAACACTGTCCTTTCTCTATCGTTCACTATATACATTATCGAATGTGTGAATTCTGTAGGTGGAAATAGGTTTAGGCTCAAAGATATTTTAAGACTTATAATGCTATGTAGTATTGTAGTCGCTTTGTAAAAACGTATTTTTTTCTGTTTTGGGACACGAGGCAAACAAGCAGACAAGTCACTAAATAAAAATATATTTAGAAGAAAGCCTCATGTTAAAAAAATAGCGTTGCAAATTGGGGATAAGATGCGCTCCAACAGCAATAATAGTTCATAGTTCCACAGATTCTACATCATCCTTAGTATCACGACAGGTGTTGTTAATGTACGATAAAATTGTTTTAAAATGTACGATTTCGATAACAGAAACCTTATGTGAAATATAATTGAGCATCATAAAATATGTTTATTTTACCTGAATATACCATGGAAATCGTTGGTTAATGTAAGGTAATGACTTTATTTTATATTACTTTTTGATTACGTCTCTGCTATAAAGACTATTTGTCAACAGCGTCGTACAGTTAATATAAAAAATGTGATTTAAGCATAATATTCACTCTTTGACAGGAAATCGTGCATTTTCTCCATACAAACTAATTTCCATTCAGATTTTGAATGTATGATTTTTTAACAATCATGTTGCGTGCATGTACATAGTTTTTTTAATGTACAATAATTTGCAAAAAAAACGTCGTAATATTTTTTATATCAAAATTACTGATGAATATATTTGAACAAGTGAATACGCTTCCAATTAGGAAATAGTAAAGAAATTCGTTGAAACGTGAGCCTTTTAAGAAAAAAATTTAAGATTTTAACAAAGTAGTGTATTGTCTATTGAACTCTGCATCTAATTTTAGCCCCCTAGATCAGAGTGTCGACACATTTGTGGGAGGGCGGGGATCCGTTAACACATTTCAAGTGATTTATCGAAACGGTGACACTCCCTACGCTTATGTCAAGACTTAATTAAAAATACCATGAGAAATTAATTTAAGCATCCCCTGATTTAGAAACGAAAACTTTACACCTCAATAATTTACATTTACATTGCTGATTTTAATATACAAATGTTATCTTTTGCCGTCTAATGTTAGAAGTCGGTGTGCAATAAATAAAACCGATATGATCTTCGAGTGATGGACGACACAAGGTGCAAATGATGCAGTAAATTAGTTTTTTAGTCGGTCAAACGTTAATCGCAGCGAAGGTATCAAAGTTGTCAGGTACATTCTGTCCAATTAACACCTTATGTTTTTTTGCTAATGCAAAAAATAACGAGTGAATTTCGACACACATTTAATCTAACGTTCACGAATAACAAACAAAAATCTTGGATGACTTGGACTTGAAGTTTTAAAGGAAGGAGGGATACATTTTTCTCTCTTTATTAAGTTTTAGTCTGTATTAATATTTTAATTAGTAGTCTTTATTAATATTAAAATTTCATTGGTTTTTTTTATTATTATTTGTATTCACATCACGATTATTTTTTTACTGTTTTCTTTAATGAGATTTGCAGTCGCTTTGTAGCCAAAAAGGTCGCCGCTGCGGCATTTTTGTAACTTTACTGTTAATATTATAATTTAATTCTTGTGGAAGAAGTGTAAACAAATAAATAAGCTAACAGGCGTTGTAAATTAATAATTTGTTGCCTTATATTAAAATTATCCTCTTGTCAGTGTCGTCAAGCCGTACTAATGCTAATGCCATGATGATTCGCAGAACACTTTATATGTAAATTAGCTATAAAAAAACTACTATACCAGATGTGATTGACGTGCCAACACTTTTTGTCCATTTAGTGAATGGAAGTGAAATAATTAAAATTTAGACGGCAGAATTTTCCTTATTTAGCACCCAAGTATTTGAACCACAAGTTTGCCTCCAATTATTTTTTGCGGTAAAAAAGAAAAAATATATATATGACTTAATTTTTTATGGATTTATTGGCTATGGTCATTTTAATAATATTAAATACATAACAATTAACATATACTAATTTAATTTAATATTTAAAAAAATCACGAACTTTTAAATATTCGAATACGTGAAAAATAAAACAAAACCCACTTAATTTACTAATCGCATAAGCTGATAATATTAAAATGGTAGCACTAAAACATAGGGGGACCGCACTCGTGCCGGATATTAGGGATTATCATAAAACGAGAAATGGTATTGAGTGTGGTGCGGCCGCACAGGGCGCCTCTATTTTAACACCTACCAAAGTCGTGGGCGCGATTTACGACGCCAACTTTACTGCTCAATCTGTGACGCTCTATTCCTTGTATGGATTAATTAACTTATAGCAAATGCAATCCCGAAATAATATCTCATAAAGTAACGATGAACTGTTCTAACATACTAAAGGCAACAGCTGCCAGTGAAAAGTAAAAAAAGAAAGGACGATCTCATCTTTAAATCCCCGTCGAGAAGGGACAGCGGCCATTACGATTTAAATTTAACCATTCTCCGAGTTACAATGTATTTTCGATAAAGATAATGTGAATGTTTGGCCTTTTTATAGCGTTCTCAATGTGCGCGCAGATAATGACAACATTTCTACTCCGCGGTAGCCAGTGATCAGTGTGGACGATCGCAATGAATGACGTCTTAGCGTGAGGGGTGTGAGGCGCGAGCGCGGGGCGAGTTATACGTGCACGCGCATGTGGTTGTGACCACCCGCGTGCTCAGTACGAGCCCGTGTGGTCCGCCCCGCACACCCCGCAACCCCTCAAGAGCCCTCTATGCAAATTAGCCCGCGTAGACAACAGATGGATGGCGGAATCAACATAGTCCTTTGGTGGCGGCCGCGAGGAAACAGAATATTACAACAGTATGCCCTGACTAGATAATGTCAATGAACTAGGAAAATTTCGTAAAAGCGAGAGTGTGAAATCGAAGCTCAGGCATTTCAAGATCAAGATAGTTAAACGTAGTATTTAGAAGCCTAAAATCTATAGATTAGTTTATATCTAATGAAACAATGATTTAAGTTAAACCAGACACTATACAGTATAAATGTAATACTAAGCCGTAATAATTTTGTCAACGGTGTTTGACAAACACCCAAATGTGTAACAAGTAGGCCATTACCAATTTTTAGGAATGCTGAAATGGAAACTCAGGTACAAAGTTTTAAAATGCGAGTTCAAAACATACTGAACGATTCCTAACCAGTATAAGACGACCTCCGTCATGGTTTTTACTCCATCGCCGAGAGAAGACATCTCAATTTTGAAGGGGCCCGAGAAATAAATGTAAACGCAGAACCGTTCGCTGCACAGCACGACGTCTTCATACAAAGCGAGCCGGACAATCAAACCACTTCTTTTTTGTTACTCAATAGATGTTTTACATTTTTTACTTTTATCGGTCGTAATTTTACTTAGGGATATTTATGGGAGGCCGCGGGCCACCTAATTAAGTTGTTAGGTGACTTAGGCCGGCATTGTTTAACGGAGTCTTGTGTTGTGTTAAGATTGTGTGATGCCGTTAGCTTGGAATATTGGATTTGGACAGTAGCCAGGAATGTTATGCGTTCTTTATTTAATAATTACTTTTCAATTTAATGCAGCACTACTACAGCTGTAGAAATACGAGTCATATTATTAGTTTATTTTTATAGTTTGATCTGATTGATTGATTGTATTATTATAGAGGTTTGTTTAGTTATAAAAATCTTTATCAAAAATAGTATTATGAGTATGTCTGACTTGAAAAGTATCACGTATGTTAATGACGAGACATGCACATGGTATATAAACTCTGTTGGAGCCTGGTACTTAAGGGCAGGTGCACCAATAAATTTGTTGACTTCCTTTTTCAAAATCATAATTTATTTACATACATTGACTATATCATTCATTATTGTCTATTTTAATACGTTATTATCACCGTACTTACACGTGTTCGAAAATTTATAAATATTGTTTTTTCAAAAACAGATAAAGTTTTCAATGAAATCTAAATATTAATGATTATTTTTCCGACCCAAATATCGACCAATAGAATTGCACCATTCGACGTCACGTGGTACAACCTACATGGTATTATACTGATAATTTTTTGAAAATTTTCTCTGGTAGTTGCTTCAAGAAAAGTATTAAGTAGTTGTTTTATTCATTATGAAATTTGTTAACTGTACATTTCGTCTCATGGTGCAATTCTATTGGCCGACATTTGGGTCGGAAAAATAATCCCCGATTTTTGAAAAATTATCTGGCATTTCCTCTCAAGGTTCCCTGAATGAAAGTCGTCAAGTTTTTCAGGTTAAAAAATCACGTGGTTTTTTAACTATATCCCGAAAAAGCCGAAAAACTTGACTCCTTCATTTGTTTGCAACGAACCTATCGGGAAATACCCGATAATTTTGAAGCTCTTGTGGTATTATAAGTGACAAATTTGTAGTACGGGTCGTATGACAAGCAGGAATTTACTTTCTCCTGACCGGTTTTTGATCACTCCACCCGCATAGGATGTACGTCCTCTCTTAGATAATATCCGGAGCTAGGCAACGGCAGAGAACAATCACAAGACATTACAAATCAAATCATACCGAAGTATATTGTAAATACTGGTCTGAAATATACTTAAATCTGCCAAGTTAAGGCAGCTGCCGATAAATATGCCTCTTATATCTGAATGAACTCGATATTTCTAAAGTAAACCAACATTTACATAATACCAACCAGAAAACAAATTAGACACGAACTACTGGTTCTGGTGAAACTAGTTGTAATATCTTTTATTTTACGAGTTGACAATAGACCTCCCAGCGCGCAATTTGCAGGCGTTGCAATAAATTATCAATAAAATCTTATGAAGTAAATAAAATAGTTAAACTTTCAAGTCGTAAACTGGTATATCTGATGTAACAAACACATTTATAGGGAATGATTTATGAGACAACGATGTAATTAAGACATTAATTAATCATAACTTTAAATTCTTAATTCGATATCGAAACAAATTAGGTTTATATATCGTTGTTAATATTTGAATGAGCGTCGGCGCGCATTGTCTCCTAAATAGGGACTTTATAATACCATTACGACTTCCTCTACATCCTGCGCAACGCGTATCAAGCAGCCCCATCAGGATGTCACAGTACAATTATAGGTACATACTGGCAACCATTTGGGTATATAAATTGTGTAATTAGTCAGACATTTTAAGTACACTGGTGTGTTCCAAGCCAATAAATAATTATTATGATTAGCTATATTTGCTGTAAAAGGGGCTCTATAATGCGGCGCGTTGTGTAGTCCAAAGGATATTCAGGGCACGTTCACACGGGACGGAAGCGGCTCTATATAAGCGGCTGCCACCGGTGCATTGGTATTCTAAGAGATGCACAATGTGGCATAGTGTTTATCATGATTTACTTTTACGACTTTTAGATTGTAAGCACACGATAGAACCTCAGTAGAATGAGTAAATTTAACGTACCTTGCACCCAGAGTTGGTCGACTCTTGTGTGAATTTGTGCCGATTTGAGACCGACACAAAACGTGGAGAGAACTAGTGTTGCGACGAATAATACTTTTCCCGCGTCGCCTTGTAGGAAGCAACCCAAAATAAATAGCTGCTCCTGCAACCACGCCCGTATCCACAGCGACGATCTCCCTCCTTCGATATTGCCCTGCAAAAAAAGTATATTTTAATGTCTTTCGATTGGATATGTAAAATAAGACATAATATTATTAAAATAAGCAAGCGCAATGAAAACTTTGTTGCTGGCAAGTAGCTAAAAATACAACATTTGTATAAAGTAAAAACAGTAGGTACATATGTCTTTTCCTGGAACGCTTTGGCATGAGATAAGCCCTGAAGTAGAGGTTTTAAACGTCGAAATAATTTCCGAGTTGATTGTGATTAATGAGAGGCGCGGGCGGCCGCCAGTCCATGGCGCCACACAGTTCCTTAGATCACGAATCACGATACTAAGGGAAATTATATACAGACATCGTTTATTAAATTTAATGTTACGAACGACGATGCAGATAGAATATATATTTGTGATGAATACAGCTTGCAATCAGATTGCTTACACCGCACCTGTTTTGTAGGGAAGCCTTATAAATAAGGAAAAACCTTTTTACATATAGATTTATTATAGCCCTATAGCAAGGAGGTTGGGAAACTTTTATGTACTGTCAGAAAGGCCGCGAGTGCAATGTTTTTAAATATTATACCAAATACAAAAATAACGATAATTGATTTTTATGTAGCTGAACATTTATTCACTACAAAATTGCCAGATTATAAAAATCAAATACAATTCTTTCACGACCCCAAATACCTATACCTTACTGTACATTGTAACATTTCATACTATCAGAACTTTCTAACATAACAATAACTTTCAATCTTTAACAGTGGCTTACATTTTGTGGTAATGATTTGAAAAATACGGTCGGAATATTTATTATGACTATCGTAGGTTACTCTAAGAAATTTAAGCAATATTAGCTTAAAGGCATAGAGCGATTCTGGTTCGTGTAGACTGTAGGCTTACTGGGTGGGCGTGACGTCACGCACGGAATGCGCCCGCGCCGAGCTCAACTCACGTGGACCGAGTACAATCGCACCGATACACCGACTATTGGCCTTCATTCATGCACATGTTAAACGTAGTGTATACTAATATTTTTCTCATGACAACCTTAGACCTAAACCAATAATGATTGGCAATGCAACTCAAAACAAAACGCAATCGCACTCTTTAATTCTTCCGTCAGTATTCAAAAGTATTATTATTAATCGTGAAATCGTATTTCACACTTAATTAATTATAATTTATATGAACATAAGGTAGTGATAAGAATGTATATATTTATTACAGACAATATAAAATTAAATTCATATACAAATAATACATTATAACGTACCTAATGTTTATAAATTGACGCAAGTATAGGATTAATATTTAAGACAGGAACCGCATTGCGCCTGCGTCTACGTACTTCCTGCAGATAACACCACTATATTCCCACGCCGCTTCCTCGGATAGTCAAGGTATTAAGACAACACTGGTAAAGAACTAAACCCTAACTTGACTGATAAGATCGCTTCCGGCGATTGTTTTTTAACATTCGTAATATGATTCGTAAATGATTTTTTTTTATAGAACAGAACGGGGGCAGAACGGGAGGCTTATCTGATGTCAAGTAATACCGCCCATGGACACTCCATGCCAGAGGGCTCGCGATTGCGTTGACAGTTTTTTTTAAATTGGTACGCTCTTTTTCTTCGAAATCCAATAGAAGTCGAATAGAGCTGGTGCGCGGCAAAAACTGCCTTAAATATTTCTCACTGGGGTAACAACAAGTAACTTCGCGCTAAATACATTGGCTATATTCAGTATGAATCTTACTATAATTAGATTATAAAATGCGTTATCAATTATTACGCAGGAAACAGAGACAGTTTTAGAAAACAAATCATTAATGTCGGTTACTTCAGATATATCTTATCTCTCTTGAGTGTAATTATTCGTTTAATAACTATTGATAAATAAATATTTGATAATAGTTGTCAATCAAGTAATCATTAAAAACTAACACGGTGACGAAAACCGCTTCATAGGAATAAGAACATTTATTGATTTATATAAAAGTATAAGTAGTATTGTATAAGTTATTCTATTAAACCGAGGAAACTACATCATAGAAACTGCAACCTACAAGAAAAAAAATAGTTCAGAATTTATTGGCTTCGTGGTTGTATTGAGAAAAATTTCAATAATCAATATTTTCCATCGAGTCACATCAAAACGGCTAAGTATCATAATATATCTATATCTTTCAAATTTTACTTAAGAAACCTTTAAAGATTAAAACCTTATCACTAACTTTAAAATTGACACAAATAACTATTTCGTTCTCAGCGCGTCCGCGTATTATCATACTGTCAAATATCATTACAGATTATAATCTTCTCAATTGGTCGCATTTATATTCTGTGATGTACGACAGAAATCACCGGTGGATACAGCTATACTTTTAAATATATTTTCCAACTTTACAAAAGACTTATTAATTTTATGTAAATTTTTAGTCCCAAGCCTTAGGAATGTTTGTCTTTATCCCACTAATTTTACTTTGAATATAAAAGGACGTTAAAAATATTGCTTTTAAAGCGCGCTATACACCTGTTTTTTTATGGATGTGTGTACGAAATGTGTCGACGTAGCAAGTTGATGTTATTATCTATTATTTAAGATAGCATAATAAAGAAAAACGCCTCTAAGGTTCCACAAAATCTGTTAAAAATATTTGTGTAATATTAAAAGATGAAGAGTGATAAGTGTTATAAATTTAAATACTATTTTGATGTTATAGGATATATGACCTAAGACGTCATCTGGTAAATCACTGAAACGGAAGCAAAAGGCAATGAAGGGGAAAAATTACAATGTGCAATGATCTGAGTACGTGCCACGTGTTGTGGTTAACGGCTTAATTATTCAAGGAGTAAAAGGTAATCTGATATCACTTCACGGCTAACATTGATTTAAGAATGCAGTGTTTATTTACATTACACTGTAGCGTAGTTCACTATGAAGTCGCTTGAAACGATTTGAAAATATAGTCAATTAATTTAAGTATTTTTTAATTATAACATCTATTTTATTCTACGTATTTTCGAAAAAAATAAAAAAATATATACATATTGTTAAAGTTTAATGTCCTTAGCAGCTGACTTCAGTGTTTGGAAGAAGATGCAATATGTGTGGGAATAGCGAGTGGGAGAGGGATAGAAATAACACGTAAAAGAGAAGGAGATATGCAGTTTAACTATAAGCATGAGCGGGATGCCCGTTCGGAAACCACAAAATGTCTCAATTCCTACCCGGCGGTCCCAGAGGTAATGTTAATTCCAAAGAATTCTTTTGTTTTAATTGATTAACAAGGGAATCAGTCTGATAAACATATTTTATGTCGCTTAGACAGCGATGTGATCAGAATGCTGACATAGGAATTTAATGATCGCTAAAAATGGGTTATATACCTAGTAAGACTACACGTTTTAACATTCAACATAATAATTCCCAATAAAATACAACGCGTGGGATAATTGCACCACAATTTTGTTCGCTTTCTCCCGTGGGTCTCGTGTTGCGTGTTTTTGATGTCTCTATCAAGGTGCGCGTGCGAGGCCTTTCCCGCTGCGTCTTAATTACTTCATCTCAGAACATTTACGTTACGAAGATGTTATGTAGGAATAATCATATACATATCTACGGATTTCGTAAGTTTTTCCTTCTTTACTAATATGATGGAATAAGATTTTGCTTGGCAGAAAGGAGTATTAACTGTAAAGTGTGCGACTTTATAAGTTACTAAAGAAACCTGATTGAGACCTGTATACCATTTAGGTAAGGAATAAAAATTTAAACGTTAATGCTTAATTAGGAATATATTTTATTTCTTAGAAATGCCATAGCATTTTTCGCATGGCAAGGAAAGGGTGTCGACCACAACAGCGCGTGTGGCCTTCTAGGAAAGGCTACCTTCCTCGAACCCGTCTCCCACAATAAATGTACATAGTAGGTAGAAACGTGCATTGAAACCTCACATTGTTATTACAAAGAGCTTAAAATAAAGGTTTGAATTGTATTTTTTTTAGTTTATATTGAAAATATACATCCTAACAATTATAATTTTTAATTAATAATTTAAAATATTAAGAATTAGTAGTATTTAATTTTAATTATTCATTAATTCTAATGCAAATGTTTGTTAACTGATCCATCCGACTTGTGTAAAATGTTTTTGTATAAATTATTGGGCTGTATATTATTTGTAACTGTAGATTTAATTACTCAAATGCATTGTTTACTGTTCTAAATACCATTAAGATGACAAAATATGTGTATGTAATATATGAGATAAAATATACTAAACTTGTTGCATTTTTAAACCTTAAAATACGCGCGGCCTTGATAGTACGCACGCTTACCACTAGTCGGCGCCACAGCCACGCACTACCGCGTTCTTATGAACGGTATGACATTTGATGAAAAACAATCGCACGTGTAATACACTAATTTTACTTTAATGACATATAAAAGTAAAAAGTCACTGCACCTTTTCAAGTTCAGAGAGGGCTAAAGCTGCGTCAACCCAGCTGGTACGTATATATAAATCAGCGCTGTGGCGCGCCTCAGCCGCAGAGGGACTCTCGTGTGCAGCCGCTATCCGAGGATTCGAAGTAGCCTCGGAATCGGGAGCCACCATGATCTCGGGGCCAAACTTGTCGCCAGTATCCTCATGAAGACGGCCGGAGTCCGTCTGGCGGTGCAAGATGTCATATCACTCGCCGCCACATAACCACACACGTTTACACCGAAATTCAACACTTCTATATTATAATATCACTACGAAACTAGACAGTGAACACGGAACGATACAGTTTTAGGATTATATTTAAACAGCACTATTACGTGTCGAGTCCGGCGCGATCCGAGCAACACTGAATACGAAACGAATGTTTGTAGAGCCGCCATCATGTTTTGGCTGGATTATGTTGCCTCTCAACATAACGAAATAAGCCGAACGGTAACGAAAGAATCCGAAGATCCAGCCAAAGGACCACACAAGTTATATAACCATCTTTCTCTAATTCTGAGACGGCATGGTTGATAAATAAAACAAAAGCATTGAATGAAACTGATAGCAATACAATTGCAGTTGGAGTTGGAGGCTGCAGCCTGCAATTACGCATCGTCACTACTCACGGTAAAATCTAGAATAAGTCAATTTTAAATAATAAGATAAAATACATATATCATGATATTTAATTGTTTAAGCAAAATAACCTAATATGTATTTTTGTATTAATGGTAGGCTATGGACGGCAAAAAAAAATTAAGGTTTTAGACGTTTAATTTTATTTATTCTCTCTGCATTGGGTAATGTGTAAGAAAACAATACCAGTTTACAGATAATAAATATGGATTAAACTTTTGACCGCATCATTTGTTGTTTACAGAGTTTCCTTCATGAGTAAAAACTTGAACGCGCCCACGGCAGGGCGGCTGAATTGTCCTTTGATGTTGCCGACATAAAACGCCGCCGACGGTGATTTAACTAATGAATTTATTTAGCGGGCGTGCCGAGAGTCACTGTATCCACGAGACTCAACAGCGAACTACAGTGTCAAGAATTTACCACAAACTCTTATTATGTGTCGATTTCTTAGAAATGTTGTTAAAATTTTGAGGGTAGGAAATATTTTATTATATGCAAAATTCCACGTAATGTTTAATTTACATTACCTAGCCATTTTTTATAACAACACATTTATAATCAACCCATATTGCTATTAATTTCAAATATTTATAATTTCACAATAACAGTGACAAGTAATAATTGATATCAAACAATGGTTCACACCAAACGAAAGCCCTCGGTCTGCATGACTTTATGACTTCAAACTAAAATGAAAATGGACCCCATTGACATGACATTTATTATTTGAAAATTAAAGAATTCAATTATCTTTCGTGACTGAATAACGAATAACAGCTGTAAAGCTTAGGTTTCCTAGAAAATCGGTGCCGTTAACTAAAGGCCGTCATTTTACGGTTGTTAATAACGGCCGTCTTTACTTTTTAACATAATGCAAAAAAAACATCATTTTCGCTAGTCCAAGTCACGTTGTTCATTGTATTGATTAAATATGGGCACACACGAGAAACGTTGAACTAATGTTTATCAACGCTATGACGGCTGTCATGCAAATGACAGCACCGCTATTTGACGTTACGGTCACACTCAACGTTCTCTAGGAAACCTACTCCGATGTTATTTATAGACAACGTATGGGTGACGTCACCCAACGCTTCATTACGGCCGTTAGATAACGGCACCGCTTTTCTAGGAAACCTAAGTGAAAAGGCTTCTTTATTTAAATATAAAAATGAGACCTGCGGACAGTTGCAATAAATACTCCTTGACAACCTCTAAAACTTTCCTATCTAAATATACTACTTATTGCGGTATTAGAACCGCGAAATATATATATTAAGACAAACTAAGACAATTTTCCTCGACAGTTATTTCTACTTAAAGGAGTGTACGTTAGGAAATTAGTTTATGGTGTCTTCGAGGTGGTTTTTACCTTTAGACATTTTGACACTTCGGGCGAAAACGCAGCGGGACGTCCTTCTAAACGTCTTCTAGGAACTTCGCGTGGGACACGAAATTGAGATCGCATTATATAACAAATAAATTACGGCTATTGACGGAATCGAACAATGTTAATTAAATAATACATATTTGAAGCCAATAAAGTTGCTGTAAACTTAGAATTGTTTAAAAAAAACAGCTCTTTTTTGTTTACTCATATAAGTATTTTAAATTGTCCTCAAGTTATTAATGTATTTCGCATATTAAAATAGGCTTGCATAATAATATCCGATTATTATTCCGAAGCGCCACCTGGTTTACGAGTGCAATAAAAAACATAACTGACATTCGTACTGTACACTTGTTGAATACGACAATAAATTGGGTTAACGCGCGAAGCTCCTACAAATTATAGAATGAATTACTTTGACTTCTTAATGCTTGCGACTTCGTTTGCGCTATTGGAAAAAATAAAATAATTGCGTCGATCGTCTTCAGTTTTTCCTTTGTAACATCACAAATTTTATGATACTCAGTAATCAATCTTAAATACGTTGATTGCAATTTGAAATGTTATTATAACTCCGAAAAAGAACCATTTGTATATCTGTTTTATTTATATTTTTTTCTCCACTGTAAGTAGGTTAAGTTTAAGTTTCCACAAAATCAACTCCAATTGGTAAATTCACCCGAAGTAAAATCTGGACCTACGGGGTTGTAGTGAGTAAATTTTACTTAATATCAAGGCTTTTTAGTATCTTGAAGTTGTGAATTTTCAATTAAACAAATGCAATAAGACACAAATAAGGATTTAGGGGCTTAAAATAAAAAAAAGTATTGCAAATGTATTATTGCAGTGTTGGCCTAGCGGCTTCAGCGTGCGACTCTCATACCTGAGGTCGTAGGTTCGATCCCCTGCACCAATGTATTTTCTTTCTATGTGCGCATTTAACATTTGCTCGAACGGTGAAGGAAAACATTGTGAAGAAACCGACATGTCTTAGACCCAAAAACGTCGACGGCGTGTGTCAGGCACTGAAGCCTGATCACCTACTTGCCTATAAGATTCAGAAATCTGAGGCCGAGACCTAAAGAGGTCGCCACTGATTTTTTTTTTTTTTTTATTGCAAATGTAATTAAATATCACAATTTATTACCCCAATATCAATATTAATTGACATCTAATACAATTGCAAATCACGGATACAGATTGTTAAATATTAATGATGTTACTGTAATAAATTCTTTGATTTGAAAACTGGTAGAGGTCAGGTTTCTACGTATTAGCCTATGCATAAATTAAATTTTATTACTTTTATTTTCGATCTTTAAAGATTGCAGCAAATAAGTCATAGTATATCTTATAGTCGTTATAAAATACATGTAGGAAACAGGGCGAACGCTTTATCAATGAACGATTAATTTTCGTTTTAAATTGCCGAATTTGTACAACCAAACGTAAATCTGACAAAATCTATATTACAAAGCATTTTACATAGCATTATACAGACATTTTAAACAATGATTCCTTTTTAATCTATAAAAATCTCAATGGAGTTCAGCATTTGTGGAAAGATAAAATATCAAACACGAAATATGTATATACCTAACGTTGTTTCGTTTCGTATGCCTTAGGCGATTTTTTAGATATGCGTTTGTTGATAAGTTCCTTTCATCTTCTGGTATCAGCCACTGAAAAAACGGATCTCATTTACTTTTTTGTATATAAAAATCAGTAGGTATAAATAAGGTGTGTTCAATTTATACTTTTGGTATCGTTTGACCTGTATGGACCATTATATATTTTATGTAATACTTACATAGTTACATATTTCTGACGTATTAAACATGTCCCCAGAAATATGTAGGTAGGAGAGGTATTTAATTTTTTTTAAATTACTTTTATAATTGGCTAATCCATATAAAAAAAGATGATTGAATATGGCTTTATGCATACATAAAACACTTATTTCTAAATTTTTGTTATTGTATGCCAAAAAGGAAGCCGTTGTTGATGGGGAATTGAGGATAACCCCCTTGGGTGTGGACGCTGGCACAAGATTATATATAACTATACATACAGAAAACGAATATGCCTTATATAAAATGCATTTACAGAGACAGATCACAGATTATATTTGTAAACTAAAATCAAATTAACATAATATGATCTTTATAATCGACATATTACATTTTAGAATTTAGCCGATTTTGTTAATAGATATATGACTTGGTATGACATACGACCTGCAGATATCATAGAGAAGTAGAAAATTTGTACGTAAGAACCCATAGCCCAAAATGAAGACAAGTAAATAATTCATAATTTAACTTTAATAGCCTGGCGTCGTGGGTGGCCCGCCGCGAGCGAACCTAATTGGATAAATTACCGACTTAGAGATACGATAAACATTATCAAACAATTTGCTCTTCAAAGTAGCATTATGTAACAATTGAATCGAGTTACTCGTGGTTTACGATCTCTCAAGTTTTTATTAACTTAGCACGAAATGTGTTACACTTAAAGAACTTGAATATATTCTGCGATTGTTTATTGAATTGATGTGTCTAGAGTGGGCTGAAAGAAGAGACAATTATTTTGTTCTTCTGGCCTATGAAGCCAATAAATCAGTCTAATTGTCCTCTTTTAAAGATCTTGGATTTGATTAAATTATAGGGAATATTTTTGAAATTTTAGTATATTTTAAATTAAATTAGTATATTGCATTTGAATGTTTTGTTTATCCAGTTTTATTTTACTCGCTTTTCTTTGTAACACAATAATCGCCAGCATCGCATACGATCATATTTAAAATTTTGTTTTAATAGCCTGATTGTAAAATGTAAATTGCAGATAGTTTTCAGATGAAGCATTCTATAGACTATAGTTAAAATATATTGATACTCACATCCTTCAAGGAACCCACATCCTTTTTAATATTAGCTATTGATCGCTAAGTAGATAGGTATTATAAGGACGCACTGTGGGTGGTCCGACTGACGTCTCTATATCCTGTCTTCGCCCATGAACATGCATCAGCTAAATGTTCTTATAATTCAATACATCAGCCGCTACCGATCTTTTATTTTGTACTACAAAGTTACGA